ATGTATTAGGTTTAACAACCAAACTTTCATTTATATGATATTTGCACTTTAGCAAAAAAAAAACTTATGGTCCAAAAACATTTTAGCAAAAAAATAAAAGTGATTTCACTAGTGAATTGATGTTAAAAATATAGATTTAATTAATAAATTTATAAGAGCCTGATAGACCAGTGGTAACTCTTTGGTACATGATTCAACTCAATTCTTATGTGTGAGACCACTAGTAAAAATATTTTATAAAAGATTGTAAGAAAACTTTGAGGTATATAATAAAACCCACGATAATAAGATAAATTTGTGACAACAATGTCGAGGCAGTCTCCACCGCACATGAAGTTCCATCATTACCATGGTCATGGCTAACATGATTCTCTCTTTCCTTTGCCTCTTGATATCTTCTTTTGGTTTGTTTTTGAGCGAATTGAATTTTCTTTCTATCTCCTTTAAAACTTATAGCTTTAATACATGTTTCTGAAGATGTATCAAGACAATCTAAACATTCTTTTCAATCTCGGATTAAACACTCTTAATGAAATGTGTAAATTAGATTTTCGATCAAATGAAATTAAGAGTTTTGTTGAACAAAAGATACTATAGAATTTCATCTAGTAATTATGACGACCAATACCATCATCATTTCTCTCACTTGGTTCACCTCAAATCTCAAGTGAGAAGTTTAAGAGAAGGTGGGCTTTTGTGAAAAGTCTAGATGTTTCTCATCACAAGTCTGGAGATATCTCTACTATACAAATAACACTTGTTGGCCTATTGAAGCCCATTCATCTTCTCTTCTCGAAACTTCAACTGGGTCCACATTTTCTCTCCCACCTTCCTCTTATCTTCTCTTCCTTCTATATCTCTTCTCCACTTTCCCTTAGGGTTCTTCAACTTCAAACCCTCCTTCAGTCTCCGTCTATTGCTTACTCAATCACTTAGCTCGGAAAAATGGCATCTTCCGCCGCCCAAATTCACGTCCTTGGCGGAATTGGATTCGCTTCTTCTTCTTCTTCTAAGAGAAATCTCAATGGTAAAGGAGGTACCTTTATGCCGAGAAGTGCCTTCTTCGGTACAAGAACCGGTCCTTTCTCAACACCCACTTCTGCTTTTCTCAGAATGGGCACCAGAAATGGCGGCGGCGCTTCTAGATACGCGGTTGGTCCGGTTCGTGTGGTTAACGAGAAGGTTGTTGGAATTGATTTGGGTACGACTAACTCCGCAGTAGCTGCTATGGAAGGAGGTAAGCCTACGATTGTGACTAACGCTGAAGGTCAGAGGACGACGCCGTCTGTGGTGGCTTACACTAAGAGTGGTGATAGGCTTGTTGGGCAGATTGCGAAGAGGCAAGCTGTTGTTAATCCCGAGAATACTTTCTTCTCCGTGAAGAGGTTTATTGGTAGGAAGATGAATGAGGTTGATGAGGAGTCTAAGCAGGTTTCTTATAGAGTTGTTAGAGATGAGAACGGGAATGTTAAATTGGAGTGTCCTGCCATTAACAAACAGTTTGCTGCTGAGGAGATTTCAGCTCAGGTATTGAATTTTATCCCTTTAGATGACAATTTTCGATGTAGGTATTGTGTATTTAGTAGCTGTGATGAATTTGCTTCTTATCTTGGATGGTGGATATTTCACTGCTCTTCATGGTTCTGTAATTCGAGTCTCATTTCTGTCTACTGATATCTGCGATTGTATTAAACATTGGAATTTTACTCTCTTTCTTAAGTTTGGTCATCTTAGTCTTGTCTTTCCGGAATTTCTAATTGTGAGTTGATAGTGTTTGTAGTTGTTCCACTGTTGTTAATCATTTGTTTATGTATGGCTTATTTCCTATGGGTTTGTGTCTGTTGTAGGTTTTGAGGAAACTTGTGGATGATGCCTCAAGATTCTTGAATGACAAAGTAACCAAGGCTGTCATTACTGTGCCTGCTTACTTCAACGACTCACAGAGGACAGCTACAAAAGATGCTGGTCGAATTGCTGGGTTGGAAGTTCTGCGTATTATCAATGAGCCCACAGCTGCGTCATTGGCTTATGGGTTTGACAGAAAAAGCAATGAAACTATTCTAGTGTTTGATCTTGGTGGTGGTACCTTTGATGTGTCAGGTACTTAACAATAAAGATTTGCTTAAATTCTTTATATATCTTCTTGAGAATGTTCTTTTTGGCTGCTATAGTACGTCTTTTGATGTAATAGCACCATGTAATATGTATTCTGTTATGTTTCTTATTATGCAGTGCTTGAGGTTGGTGATGGTGTGTTTGAAGTGCTTTCCACTTCTGGCGACACACATTTGGGTGGTGATGACTTTGACAAGGTGAGTTAAATGCTCACATTAATTTTAAAGTCCTTAGTCAAAGAGCTTTGAATCTGTTTACTCTTTCTTCTGTGCTTTACTTGACAGATCCAACTTTTGCAATGCAGAGAGTTGTTGATTGGCTTGCTGCAGAATTCAAGAAAGATGAAGGGATAGATCTTCTGAAAGACAAGCAAGCTCTTCAGAGGTTAACAGAGGCAGCAGAAAAAGCTAAAATTGAGCTTTCCTCACTGACTCAGACAAATATGAGGTACAATTATTTTTTCCCGTTCAAATTTTTTGACTTAGTATTTTCACAAGCATCTGGCTTCTGATTGATGTGAATTCTGTACCCAGCTTACCATTTATCACGGCCACAGCTGATGGACCTAAACACATAGAAACCACCCTGACTCGTGCCAAGTTCGAAGAATTGTGTTCAGATTTACTTGACAGGTAATTTTAGTTACAGTTCTTATGACTAATATTCATTGCCCGTCAAGTAAACAGATTTCAATATGTTCATTCTATAGCTTTTGATTAATAGTGGGGCTTAAGATTCTTACCATGTATCTATCTTATAGGGTCAAGACTCCTGTTGAGAATTCCCTGAGGGATGCAAAGCTCAGCTTCAAAGATATTGATGAAGTAATCCTTGTCGGTGGATCCACACGTATTCCTGCTGTTCAGGAACTCGTGAGGAAAGTGACTGGGAAAGAACCTAATGTCACAGTAAATCCTGACGAGGTTGTCGCTTTAGGTGCTGCAGTCCAGGTGTGTTCTCGTGAAACTTGTTACTTCACCCTTTTTAGTTATTTATTTTAACAATCAAGGCATCATGCCCTTGATAACCTTCTGACAAAGAAGCCGTGGCCTACTGCATTGAGTTCTTATCAAGTGTCATTCTCTTTTGATTCCAGGCTGGTGTTCTTGCTGGAGATGTGAGCGACATTGTGCTTCTTGATGTGACACCCCTTTCGATTGGTTTGGAGACCCTTGGTGGTGTTATGACTAAGATTATTCCAAGGAACACTACACTACCTACTTCTAAATCAGAAGTCTTTTCAACTGCTGCTGATGGGCAGACAAGTGTTGAGATTAATGTGTTGCAGGGTGAGAGGGAGTTTGTTCGGGATAACAAGTCTCTTGGTAGCTTCCGTCTAGATGGAATTCCACCAGCACCACGTGGAGTTCCACAAATCGAAGTTAAATTTGACATTGATGCCAATGGAATTCTATCTGTCAGTGCTGTTGACAAGGGCACGGGAAAGAAACAAGACATCACCATTACTGGCGCAAGTACATTGCCCAAGGATGAGGTGCGTTCACTTTAGGAATCAAACCACATTGCTTCATTAATAACTTGTTTTTGTCAGTTCCATCCTTAAGGCTTTAGTGATTTTCTACTGATTATGAAAGTGGTAGCCATACCTGATGTTAACTGGTAGCATTCCTTGTTGTTGGTATCACTTAATGGCTGTAGCTACTTCATTATCATAGTACTTTCTCGCTAATATTCATAATGATGGTAACAAAAGTTGGTGTTGATGAATGTTACAGGTTGACCAAATGGTCCAGGAGGCAGAAAGATTTGCAAAGGATGACAAGGAGAAGAGAGACGCAATTGACACAAAGAATCAGGCAGATTCGGTGGTGTACCAGACAGAGAAGCAACTGAAAGAACTTGGAGAGAAAATTCCAGGTGAAGTGAAAGAGAAGGTGGAGGCTAAGCTACAAGAGCTGAAAGACAAGATAGGAAGTGGATCAACCCAAGAAATCAAAGACGCCATGGCTGCTCTTAACCAAGAAGTGATGCAGATTGGTCAGTCTCTATACAACCAGCCTGGAGCTGGAGCTCCGGGTGCAGGTCCTTCCCCGGGAGGCGAAGGTGCTTCATCAGCAGATTCATCTTCAAGTAAAGGAGGAGATGGTGATGATGTGATCGATGCTGACTTCACAGACAGCAAATGAGAAAACAAACTAGGACGGCTTTGGAATTCATACATGGGATGTAGTGGGACACATGATTTTGTAGGTTGGATTTGAGAACACAAATGAATTTAAGCAATGCTTGTGAACAACATCTATTTGTCGTTAGGAGGAAGCAGTGTGGTTACAGTGGATGATGTTTAATACATAATAATATGCAAGCCTTCTCTTACACGGTACTTGTGACAATGCATAAAATCTACTAGTACGAAGTGGGGCTCTTTGAGGCAATTCCCCGCAATTATAGCTACTCAAACCTTAAAATGGTTTTGGTCATTAGCTTTGTACTTTTGAATTATAGCGACCCAATCAACCTCAATCTTGAGGCTATCCACTGCAATTTTAGTATCCAATGCATAACATCGTACGCTTTCTCTAACAAATCTTAATTGGAATCTTTATAAAAAAATGAGTTGATTGTATAGTTATCTTTTCTAAATTCTAACTAAAATATGTTGTTATATACTCAACAATTTTTAAATACAAGAAACGGATTTGAACAAAAAAATATGAGGGTTTAAGTTTGAAATACTAGAAGAAAAATCCTAAAATCTATTATGGTAATTTTGAAATCCATATTAAATCATAGAAATCTATGTAAAATTGAAAGTATACTCAAAATCCCCCACATAGACATAGTTTCATCTTTTTTTTTTTTTAACGAAGGTTTTAAAAATCTATTTAGTTATATAGAAACAAAAACCAAAATAAATCTGGCCAATAGTGTTTCCCAGGTAAAGTCTTTAAAATTGTCACATCTCAGTCTCATGGCAGAGTAGAGAGAGAGATCTCTCTTTGAAATATGAGAAGCTACTAAAATCCCTTAAGACAAAAAAAACATACAAAATCCCAGCGAAGCATATGTAATAATGTAACAACAGGCTGTATATAAAACAATAGCAACGGAGGAAGAGTAAAGTGGGAAGATCAATGGGCCACACACAATTCCCAATTCTTTGACCGAAAGTTGACTTTTCTTCCTCAAGTTTTTTTAACTCATCTCACCTGTTACCATCTACCTTCTTATATTATCTCTTAATCACTTTTGATTAACAAAACTTACAAAAATAAATAAATTATTTACTGCTCCTCGATTGAGGGTTTTCTTCTTCTTCTTCAACCTCCTTGCTGCTAAATCTGTCTATGATTGAGCTCCATGGCTCTGCAATCCTAGTCCGTCGATTTAGGATTCGTTTAGATCGTGGTTTTTGAGCTCTGTTGAAGCTTCTCTTGAAGACATATGCTTGATAACGTACTTTGAGCTCCTACTTGTTCTTTTTTTAACTTTACTTGTTTCTCTTATTCTTCTTTCAAAGTCTTTAAGGTTTTGCAGTCTTTCTATTTGACTTTTGAGCTTTTATTGAATTGCTTTTTGAGACATTTGGACTTGGTCGTCTGTTCAAGATTCTAGGTCATCATCATCGACCTTCAGTTTTTGGTCTATATTTAGAATTTATGATTTCGATGATATCTTCTTATTGGTCAGATTTGGCACCAAATGGAGAAAGTTTTTAACTTGTCTCAGAAATATATCTAAAGTGGCTTTTGATTGTTTTGTGCCTTGTTGATTCTGGGCTCTAATTCTGTTTCTTTGATTTTGGTTTTGGCTAACAGAAGTCTTGTACTGAATCATGGCACTTCGGCTACCAGCTTCTAAAGCAGCTGAAGTTGCGATTGGATCTATTGGCTGCGGTTATGATCTAGCTATTGATGTAAGGTTGAAGTATTGCAAAGGTGGTTCTAAAGATTCAAGATTACTTGATATCAAAGAAGGTGATGACAATTGTGAGATTGTTTTACCTGGTGGAATCTCCATTCCTAATGTTTCCAAGTCTATTAAATGCGATAAAGGAGAGCGTATGCGGTTTAGGTCCGATATTCTTCCTTTCCAACAGGTATATTTCTTTGTCTTACAATGAAAACCTTTAGCTAGTTTCCTTGTACATTGCTCGTGATTTTTAATGTCAGTCCACACTGCAATGCTCTAGAGAGTAAATTTCCTACATAGCATTTTGGATGCTTAGTTATTTATATTTTGTTTCCTTTTCTTATGGTTTTCTAGATGGCAGAGCAGTTCAACCAGGAACTATCTTTGGCTGGTAAAATCCCGTCAGGTCTCTTCAATGCGATGTTTGAATTCTCTAGCTGTTGGCAGAAAGATGCAGCCTATACCAAAGACCTTGCTTTTGATGGGGTATTCATCTCATTATACACGGTTGCTTTGGACAAATCTCAAGTGTTACTCCGTGAGCATGTTAAGCAGGCTGTTCCATCAACATGGGACCCTGCTGCATTGGCAAGGTGATTTGCTGTCTTCATAATAGGATTGTAATATTCATGGATGTATATATGTAAAGTCTATAGGAAGTTACTTAAAGCTGCATATTTTTCTGTGAAATTGTTTGATAGTTTCGCAATAACATGATAAGAATCTTTAACTTGATAGGATTTTTCTGCAATAGTTATATATATAAGTCCAGATTCTTTCAGGCTTTCAGCAAGTCATTTCCTTGCCTCAGTTTCTTTGTATTGGGTGAAATTGTTTTTGTATGACTTATAAGAATCACTTCTTACTTATTGCAGGCATTGTTTCATTAGTAACATTTCTTTATTAGTTGGAGGGCAAGCGTTTATGACTAACACTTAGTCAAATGTTTCTTTACCAGGTTTATAGATATTTATGGGACGCATATAATTGTTAGTGTTAAGATGGGAGGAAAAGATGTGATTTATGCAAAACAACAACACTCCTCAAAACTTCAGCCTGAGGATCTGCAGAAAAGGTTAAAAGAGGTGGCAGATAAGAGGTTCGTGGAAGCTAGCGCAGTGCATAGTATGGCTTCAGAAAGAGTACAAACAAGTAGTAAGGTCTGTGAAACAGTTATTATTATTTTTGTTCCCCATCATCAAAACTTTCTTATTTGTGCCTGTCAGATATGTTGTGGCTTTTTGACATATAAAAGACTTACTACGAAAAATCTAGTGTTTCAACTCTCAAGTCTGTAGTTCCTGTCTTTTATCCCTTGTTTCAGGTGGAAACAAAGGAGCAACGCCTGAGATTTGCAGATACCAGTTCGTTGGGCTCTTATGCAAATAAGGAGGTAATTTGTAATGGTACCATAACTGATCATAAAGACATCTTATCATGTGTGTTAGCTTCTTTTCTCATGAATTTGCATGTATTTGTAGGACATTGTCTTCATGTGCAAAAGGCGAGGTGGAAACGACAATAGAAATCTAATGCATAATGAATGGCTGCAAACAGTTCAGATGGAGCCTGATGTTATCTCAATGTCCTTTATTCCAATTACGTCTTTGCTCAATGGAGTTCCAGGAAGTGGATTCTTAAGCCATGCCATAAATCTGTATCTAAGATGTAAGCTTACAAATCATTTGTGCTCTGTGCATTTCTTTATCGAATTATTCTTCATAGTAGTAGTTGCTTTTACCTTTGGACTAGAAGTTTGATATAGTTAAGAACAGTATAATCCCAAATTTTGCGTAATCTCCAAGTCCAGCTGGGTAGATAGGTTGAAAAATAGGAGCACTACTTGACAATTATAGTGTTTTTATAAGTCGAAGATGATTTTTTCTCCCTTTTGTTATATGATTTGCATAAAATGAAACATACTATAAAAGAAAAGCCTTGGGTTCACAATCCAACATTAATGGAGATTTTTATTTGTAGATAAGCCACCGATTGAAGAGCTACATCAGTTTCTAGAGTTTCAGCTACCACGGCAGTGGGCACCCGTGTTTAGTGAACTTCCTCTTGGTCCGCAACGGAAGCAACAAAGTTGTGCGTCTCTGCAATTCAGTTTCTTCGGACCTAAGCTATATGTGAATACCACTCCGGTATGGGTTTGCTTCACCCCTAAATATATAGCTTGCTGATGCAGGTTGCGGGTTTATTGCTCAGTGAAGTCTGATCTCATTAACCCTGTATGGATGATTCTGCAGGCAGTGCGGTTAGATTTTGTTTAAAGTCCTCAAGTCCTGAGATGCTTGTTCTCGTTTATATGGTTTCAGGTTGATGTTGGTAAAAGGCCTATCACTGGCATGCGGCTCTACCTAGAGGGTAGAAGAAGCAACCGTTTGGCAATTCATTTGCAACACCTTTCCTCTCTTCCCAAGATATATCAGCTCGAAGACGATCTAAATAAAAGTGTCAGGCAGGAGGCGCATGATCGTCGATACTATGAGAAAGTAAACTGGAAGAACTACTCTCACGTCTGCACAGAACCCGTCGAATCAGATGATGATCTTTCCGTAGTAACCGGTGCGCAGCTTCATGTAGAGAGCCACGGATTCAAGAACGTGCTCTTCTTGCGCCTTTGTTTCTCTAGAGTTGTGGGAGCAACACTTGTAAAGAATTCTGAATGGGATGAAGCGGTAGGCTTTGCTCCAAAATCGGGACTCATCTCAACGCTAATAAGCCATCACTTCACTGCAGCACAGAAACCACCACCACGACCTGCAGATGTGAATATAAATTCGGCCATCTACCCTGGCGGACCACCAGTACCCACACAAGCTCCCAAACTTTTGAAATTTGTGGATACAAGTGAGATGACGAGAGGACCGCAAGAATCACCCGGGTATTGGGTTGTATCAGGTGCAAGATTACTGGTGGAGAAAGGCAAAATATCATTGAAGGTGAAGTATTCTCTATTTACTCCAATATTGGGAGATGAAGTGAGTGAGGAACCCTATGAAGGTTAAGTGAAAATGGTGGTTGTGTGGCTCAATGGGTTAAAAAGGATGACATAAAATAGGATGGGTGGTATATTTGTGTCTGTGTGTGTGTACATTCTTAAGCCTTTTGTTATTTGTAATGTTAATGGTGTGTGGATGTGATTGGAAATGCATGTCGTGTACATTTCCTATCTTTGGACCAGAGATTTAATTTAGGGTTTGAATAGTGATATTGACAAGTTATGGTACTTAGCATTTGTAGATAGCAAAAAAAAATAAAAATAATAATCTATAAATTAGATCAGCAGGTAGATTTCATGAAGTTTTTAGAACAAAGTTTCCTTGTTTTTAAATTTATCACACAAGGAGATCATAATGAAACTTATATCTCTAATTATTAGAAAAGAATACCTAGTAAACTGTGTTATTTTTTCAAATGAAAACAATGATCAAATTATGTTGTAATTAAGTTATGGATACAATTACAACATAATTTGATAATTTGATGATTGTTTTCATACTGAAAAGTAATTAAGTAAGTATTTATATGTTTTCATTTGCTTTTATGTTCATGTAATTGAGAGAATCAACCCAAATTATCAAAACAATTATCAAATTATCAAGGCATTGACGAATGGAACGAGAAAAGATAATTGATATTGAAAGAGGAGAAGATCATCCCTACCAAATCCTACCCAAGTCCCTTGTAAAAGGAAGAGAATTGACAAAGACTTAAGGTACCGCCCACCCACGAAACGGCAGAAACTTCCCATACCCATGCCTAGATTAGGTTTGAAGTTACCTTCCATATCTCTTTGTACTCTAAACGTAGCCACCACACTAGCCACACAGAAGACCAAAACCAGCATGAGAGACATTGTATTGACGGAGGAGGTTGTGAGGATGGAAGCTCCTCAAGGCACTCATACATACCAGAGAATGATGAGGGATTAAACTCGGAAGAAGTTTTTGTTTACTTTTGATGAAAACATTGTTCCTTGTACCGGTAGTGATGGTCATGAATCAGGAGATGATAATGGAAGAGGGGAAGTTTCAGATTTGTCTGGAAACCTCCAAACCACAGATCTGACTGACAGAATCAGAGATGATATTGTAGGAGATAGAAGTGAAAATGAATCTACAAGTGTTCCGAGAAACCTCACACATTCGGTAGAAAACTTCCCAAAAACAGTCACATACAGAACCAGAGATGATATAGTACGAGATAGAAGAGAAAAAGATACTGAATTTTCTAAGCCCATTCAAACTTTTCTAGATAATGGGTTCGTGCGGCAACCGCACGGTGAGGATACCGCATAGCGTATTTTAGAACTTTAGTTTCATTTCAGTTTTCTTGCATATATAATACTTAAGTTTTTAGATTTTTTTTTTAATAATACTTTAAGTTTTTAAGATTTTTTTTTAAATATTTTTTTAGTTTTAACATGACTTGATATACTATAAAACATTAATATTCATCCCATATAAAATTTTATTTACGCTTGATGATACAAAATTAACACAACTGAATTTTGTTTTAACTCACATAAAACCAATCAATATTATTTTTAGTTCTTAACATAACTTGATTTACTAAAGAACATTACTTTTCGTCCCATATAAATTTTCGCTTACGCTTGATGATACAAATTTAAAAAACCCAACCAAATTTTATTTTATCTCACATAAAACAAAAAAAAAATTGGCCATGTGATCGCCATTTTCAGAATTGTATGTTTGTTTGCTATACCCGCGATACTAAAAACAAAAATAAATATTTTTAAAAATCAAGTAATAATGATTTTTGTATGACTAATCAAACCTAAGTAGTAAATATAAAGTAAATTTTCAGCTCATATTTACGTAGATACAGTATGTACTTTGTAGAGATAATGCAGCAATTCAAACATTTGTTCACAATTCTGAACAACCAGCTAATTAACTACAAGTTTTTAATACCGTACATGATTGTTGTAAACTCAATTTCCAATGTATATTTCTCCGTTTCATATAAAATTATTTTAGTTGTTTAATCCATCTCGTTTTTATTTAGCAACGAAAAGTCCTGCTTAGATCCAGTCGCGTTTTGACGACGAACAAAGGGGTTAAGTTTTTTTTTTTTTCACTTCAATATCCTGTTAAGAAATTTTTATCCTCTGTTTTTGTTTGTTCTTTTGCTGTTTGAACTATGTTACTGTTTTCATTTTATGATGCCAATTGTCAAGTAATTATTCTTACTTGGTTTGTAATAAACATGCGTTTTTCTTCTAAGTCCACGAATCTTGTTTTATTGTAAATATAATATGTCGGCAATTGAACATATGATAACATTTTCTCGTAAAGGTCTTCTCTGTTCATCTTAACCAAATCCTCAAACGTACTTGTTGATATTCAGAATTAAACACTATCATTTGAAACTGAAAAGTCATTGAAAAGGTCATAATCTTTCTCTGGAAGATATATATCAATCTTCTCCAAATCAAATTTCCTTTACAAAATATGTCTGCATTGAAGCATATAAAACTTCTTTACAAATCATAATTCAATAATGTTGAACAATTTCAATCTTTCAAAAGAAAATCATTAGAGAGATGATGTTGAACTAATCTCAATGGTTATTGTTCAGTTAAAAAAAACAAGGACAAAACCATCGATTACCCAACCACACATTAAACTTTCAAAAGAACAAACCCATTAATCCTTCCTACCTTTTAAATCCAACTACATATTCCTCTGGTTATGGATTGAATTGAACCATGCATGCATATGGATCGTTGGAGGAGGAGGACTCGACTAGAGATAATATGTGAATCTCAGTGTCCGAATCCATTCTTTGCCTGAAAATATCTATCTCTAGGGTTTTAGTGAGCGGAATGAGATGAATAAAAAAAGGATACTTTTTTAGTTCCCACCAAATTTTGAAAGATTGCAAATTTTAACAAAACATGCAAATAGATTTTAAAGATTTTTTTTTTTTTGTTTTGTTTATCCAAATGAGTGATAGCAAAGTGGAATTACGTTTAATTAGTTTTTTTTTTGGAACAAAGTGGGAAAAGGTGTTGTAATATTCTAAGAAAGTTGGAGCCGAGGAACACAAGTAAAGAAAGAGAGTAATAATCAACTTTGAAACACGTTTGAAAGTCTTAAGGGAGGCTTAGAATAAGAATGAATCAAAAGAGACCCGCCCTCTCGCCTCTTTGACTTCTCAAAACTTTGATCACGTCAACAACCATTTTCTACACTTAATCGCACGATCTAGTTTATATATAATATGATCATAGTGATCCATTAATTATCCAAACAAATAAGAAACGAAATAGAGAAAAAGAAAACGAAAGAATGTCTTCATCATCTTCCCTAACGCAGAGAAACCCAACAAGTTCGCAAGAGCAATCGGAGTCTGTTCCACAGCTAAGGAGGCAGACATCTCAACATGCCGCCATGTCACAGACGCTAACCTCAGCTGCAAACTTGGCAAATCTCCTTCCAACCGGAACGCTCTTGGCTTTCACGCTCCTCATACCCGTCTTTACATCCAATGGTTCATGCGATTACCCAACCCGCGTTTTAACCATAGTGCTCCTAACGCTTCTCTCCATCTCCTGCTTCCTCAGCTCCTTCACAGACAGCGTCAAGGCTGAAGACGGTAACGTTTATTACGGTTTTGCTACTCGTAAGGGCATGTGGATTTTCGACTACCCTGACCCTGATGGTTTGGGTTTACCCGATCTTAGTAAATACCGCATAAGGATTATCGACTGGATCCACGCCATTTTGTCGGTTCTTGTGTTCGGTGCGGTGGCTCTGAGGGACAAGAACGCCGTGAGCTGTTTTTATCCGGCACCAGAGCAAGGAACCAAGAAGGTTTTGGATATTGTTCCGATGGGTGTTGGGGTTATTTGCGGCTTGTTGTTTTTGGTTTTCCCGGCCAGAAGGCACGGTATTGGATATCCGGTTACCGGAGACGGAGGTCGCCGTTAGATTTGTTGTTTATTTTGTCCAATTACATATAAACAATTGATTCTTTTAATTATGGTTGACTAATTCGTTTGTGCATGTGATCATTTCGTGTTAAATTGTATGTGTATGCCTTCTTCTCATCTACTTCCTATTCTGATAATGATTATAATTTGTCCTTTGTTAAATGGAGAATTATTTACGCAAGCAATCTTATAATACGTTCTACTTGGTCATAAACTTATAATACACTCAGAGGTATGAAATGTTTAAAATAGCTTGTCTAATATTAAGCTAACACACGATTTAATAATAAACTGAAAGCTATAAAAAAACCTGGTTATATGTTTGGTCAGGAAGTGGCTGAACTGATAGGGCCATCTGCGGACTGCAAATCCAGGTTGGGACCTTTCAAAAGTCCCCATTGCTTCGGTTCTGATAATCAAGGGCATGTGGGCAACAAAATTCTAGTAAGATATTGCTGGGAATAGGGGACTCATACTTGTCATGTTGTGTACTCTGACTTTAATCTCTTCCCAAGCTTATTCGATAAATACATGCCTCTCTCCCAAGTAGCTAAGAAGACCTCTGTAAGTTTATAAACTGCTTTCTCTGCATCCTTTTTACTTACTTGTGGTGGCCTTCAGTATGCAAGCCTGTTAAGCTTTTTAAATTACCTTAACACATACACCGTCAATCGCTTTACGGCTTTCTGTGCGAACACAATAGCTGTCAGACCCGCAAAATGCAGCATCTTTGTAAAACCGTTTCTAGATAATAAGGGACATCTTAAGTTCTGTTTACTCCAATTGCCCACTGAGTCTGCAAGAACCTAATCAAGGACTCAAACACGAAATCTTGCACAATGTTACCATATCAGCAATCAATTCCATTATCGATTCAGCTGTCCTTACTCGACCCAGTCATAGCAACTCATGCATTCTACACTAAGACTATCCTCTCTGATCACTGGCTGCTGCTGTTATGTGCATTTACTTTTATCATTTTCACAAGCTTTAAAAACCCTCTTTTTGGGTTGCTTCTCTCAATTCCATGAACAGAGTCTCGTTTCAATCCTCTCCCTGATTTGCTCATAAGATAAATGTACTGATGCCTCATCCCCATCAATGGATGCTTCTCCAGCAAGAAAACTTTGTGGTAAGCTTCCCTTAGAACAACAGTCTGGGTCCGAATCTTGTGCGACATGTAAAATATACCCGGGTGGTGCACCAAAGCCTTCTTGAACCTCATCCCGAACCCTAAATACTCCCCTAAGCAAAGCACATTATCTGTCTCAGTCTTCTTCGATACTAAGAGGCACAAAAGCTCATGAAGTACTGCGACCGCCCACTTCTCAGCCTGATCACTGTTCGACCCCAAGTGAAAGGCATTTTCGTAAGGCGAAATGTATGGGAGATTTTGCCATTGCTCCACCCAATTCTTCACCCTTTTATCCAACTCATACCCTTTGGGGAAATTCATCGAATACCTTATGCGCAACCCTTTTTTCACACGAAACCCATCAATGGTGGCTTCTCTTCTCTCCATTTCCGACACAGGGAGGTTGTTCCGCGGCGAGGAAATCGCCAAAGCAAGCGTCTTTTCACCCGTTAAACGATCTTTGATCTCAATTACTTCAAAGTAATCCGGGAAATCACCAATCAGCGAAGTAATGTAATCGTGAGGGAGACCCAAATCGAACCTGAAACGATCGACGACATTGAGAGGAAGACTTCCAGCTCCCGTTAGCATCAAGAATTTGGTCAACCGTTGAACGGTGACATTGCGGAGAGGCGGCGAGAGGTGGATCGTCTCTTCTTCTTTGTGGAGTGTGAGAGCTTGTGGAGTGAGACGAACGTGGAGAGGATGAGAACGAGAGGGCTGAAAAGTGGTGAAGACAGAAGGGTATTTCTGGAAAAACGCGGCGGCGGTTATGTGGAGATTGACGAGAGGCTTGAGGAGTGAAAGGGAAGAGAGAGGGAGAGATTTCGACGGAGACGATACGATTCGATCCTTGAGAGAGATAACTTGCTTGAGGTTTTTCTCTCGTTGAACAGCTTCGTCGAGGTAGTAGTCACTGACCCATTTGACTCTGGCGTTTACGAAGGTGCGTCTTTGTTGCAGAGCTCTCGCCAGCTTTGTGGTTGCAGCTGCCATTAGAGCGCTCAGTGAAAAGTCAAAAGAAACAAGTAAGTGTTTGAAATGCAATTACTTGTTTCTTTTGACTTTTGTTATTAATACTTAAATCGTAATTTTTTTTTTTTTTTTTTTTTTTTTTTTTTTTTTAACACTTCGTTTTGCATAACTAAGTGAACAAGAAGCTAGGCCTATAACTTCAAAACTCATCTTATGATTCAAAGAGGTCCCGGAGGATTATCGGAAGCAAGGCCTCGGAGCCACTATAGGGGAAATTCGTGATGAAGTAAAAATCAACTGCAAGTAGAGAGATTCATGAAAGTAGGAAAAATATCTAATGGAAAGGACTAAAAAGGGAGTTGCTATTCCAATGGACGACATGAGACTGTGTCCTTATGCTTGATTCTAGTGACCTCGACTCATCTTAACTTTCGGCATTGACTTTTTCATCTGGCGTGCACGTTCTTTTGCTTCTTTCTTCCTTAGAGCCTCGGCGCTAAGCTTTGCCTGTGCCTCCTCCAATATTTTCTTCTTTTCAGCTTTCTTTCTCTGCAATGCCTCTTGTCTTACATTCTCAAGTTCCTTGTACGCTTCCTGAGCTGCCTTTTGCCTAGCACCGTCAGTTTTGTTCCTTGCCTGCATTACAGGAATTTAGATTTATTCAACCTGTCACTCTTAGCGATAAAATTGCAATTACTAAAAATAAGTTTGCCCCAATACCTGGGAGCTGAGCTTGTAGCGCCCAATTAAGTCAATGTAATATGGAATTAGCGCTATCAACCGAACCATATCATCCATGTGTTTAGCATCAGGTAGGGCAAACTTGAAAAGCAGCATCTTCCTGTGTTTGCCAGGATGTTGATCCGAAAAATGCATTGAGATGAAATACTTCCCAAACTTTTCAAAAGACTTGTCACCAAAAACCTACAGAGCGCAATTGCATCATTGAAGATTAGTACAGCAGATAATTCGAAGAGATACAGAAACCACACATCAATCAGCAAAGTCAAAACTATCTAAGTCCAATATAATCGATATCCATTTCCACATCTACAGACATAGATAGCGAGTGGGTGACAATAATCATGCGCCAATTCACTCAAGGCAACTGTGACTAACAGTGTCTGTGACATATAAAATTGAGATATATATTCTAAACTTACGACAATGAAACAGTAGCCATACCGCAGCAACATCATTTGCTAACAGTCATGTATGCATGCTACTCTTTGATTAGTGGTCAAACATCAGAGAAAAACACAGAATTCAAATGCTCTTTTGAAACTTTTAATGTAAGCGAGAGGAACATTACACACACTAGTACTTCACCCATATTACATTCACAACTCAGGTAGTGATCCTTCAACAAATCACTACCATCGAGCCAAATTATCATGACAAGAGGTACGTAAGGAATTTTTCAGTACATCATAAGTATTCACCCTACATCTATTATACACTTTGACAGAGAGACTAGGCAGTTGGATTCACACCAGAATACGAAGATGTTATGGTTCTTAGCAAAAGGAACTGCCCAGCCATAGTTCTAAGCCAACTGATCACTGGAGTTCTTATTCTGATCAAGCGCCTCCCTTTGAAGTAAAAAGAGCTTACTTTTCTTATTCAACATGATTAGAGGAAATCCAAGTCACCAATGAGGCCAGGGCATATAGGGATTGGAGTTAAAACCAGTTACTCTCTCAAAAATTCTTATGAACTTTCATGTTCATCTATCAAATGTTTAGGCTGAAGTCCAAGAAGAAACTAAACTAAACTGCTATCATTGTAAATCATTAAAAAAAAAGCATCTGACCTGATCAAGTACAACATCGGTGATCATATCTCCAGCTACCTCCTTAGACTCAGAGACCACAGCTAACTCCTCCGTTACCCACTTCCTCCCGCCAGGACTGGGCACCATCCCTCCAAATCTCTGCAGATCCCTCAGCTCCTTGTGCATCGTTTTAGCCGCCTTCTTCCTCGCCATCGCAAACACAATGTGATCCATGGCTTCATCGTTCATGTAAACCTCAAAACTGATCTCATCTTTACAAGGCACAACAGAGTTGAATAGCCTTGAGATCAGATCGTGTCTGCTCTTAAGCTCCAAGGTCGCCAAAAGCCCATGGCAATACCTACGCCCACTCGCATAGAACTTAAACACATTCGTCGCTTCTTTGAGCAACAAAGGAGAGTCTTCTCCTTCACCAACTCCAAGAAAACTGAAGTTTTTCTCAAAAATGGTATCTTTAAGACCAAATTTGGAAGCCCAAGCCAAAGCGAGGTTTTCATTCTCACGTTTACCAGTGAAGTAATTGATTGCGTAACCAATCAATATAGAGACGCAAACGATCTCCACCGTGTACGATTGCATCTTCTTCGGAATGTCAGTATCTACAGTCTCTGAAGCAGACTCAAGATCTGGCGTCTGTGGATCGGCGGCAGGAGAGGCATCATCGGAAATAACCGGAGACTCCGTCGATTTCTCATCCTCCGGTAATCCTTCGAACTCATCTTCATCCCAGTAATCGAAGGAGATGGAAGAAGGCTTCACGGTCTGAGTGGGAGGATCAGATTTAGATGCCGGGGTAGTAGAATCGGAATCGGAAGATGGGTCCAGATCCAGAACCGTTGACTCAGACTGAGTAAGAAGAGGAGGACGGAGAGAGTGGTGAAGCTCAGTGGAATCGTCTAAAACATCGTCGTCTTCAGCATCGAAACCTTCGAAGTCGGAAGAAGAAGCGAGAACACGATGATGAAGGCAGAGGAAAGCGATCAGAGCGATGGAGAAGAGAGAAACGAGACGATTCATTGTTTGGATCCGGAGAGAAGAAGTCTCAGAGCTCCGGAGAAATGTTATAAATTAGCTGGAACGAGTTGAGTCGTCGTGCTATAGCCTAAAGCCTCCTTGGCCACCACCAGATCTTTTTTTTTCCGCAAAAATCATTTGACAAATTATTTAAAGAAAAAATCTCTTACTAATAAAAGGGACTAATTGAAGCTTCTCAACCTATCCACATCAGCAAACTAAAACACATCTTAGAGAAAGCCACGTCAGCATCAAATTCACAAATAGTCTCACTCCAACATTTCCTTACAACACGCTTAAAATAAATTAATTACGATCCATATACTCTTAATTGGCTTTACTGAAAACTCTCAAACTTTAGCCCATTAAAACTAAAACCAAAAAAAAAAAAAATCCCAAACAAGACACCACAAACTCTTCTTCTTCCACGTCTAAACCTACATCTCCATTGACGAACGCCAGACTCAAACCGCTTCGTCTTCCCGATGTCTGAAAGCACAGCCGTTACCACTTACTTTAAATGGCCACTTCAGTCTCATTGATATCATCTCTTCCCATACCCTATAAAATCTGCGTCGTAGTGCAAACCATCACCATCAAATTTTTGTAACGCCACTCAGAAAAGCAATCATGACAGCTCTATATACCTCCGTCCCTGCGAAGACACTGACCAAAAGAACTTTTGAAGAGGAATCTTATTCAAATTGATCCAGTTGGGGAGTTTCCTATTATCACTGCCATTACGATGTATATATTATCACCGTAAAAGAATTAGAGCATTCCTGCTCCTACTCCGACGAAGAAGATGCATGTGGGTGTTCCTTTCGAGAACAAAACACGTCAAAAGGCTAAGTAGATCAATGATACATTTGTGTAGTCCTGTCAATCCTTCCACTCATTCCCATATTGAAAAACTGATTACAGTCTTATTTATTTTTGTTTTTTTTTCCAGGGTATCGGAGATTCAACAGTCAAGAAACCAGAACAATAACAGTGGTAAATTAGAGACTGATCTCATGGTGAGGAGATTGTCTTTAAAATATTGGCGGCGGTCCATTTCTTATTTATTTCTTCTTCTTTTCTTTGCACTTCCCTTGACTTCTGCTCAATTTTCATTAATCTTACGCCTTTACCAATCTGTTTCTTCTTTCTAGGGAGGTATGCATAGGGTGAACACATCTCTACTCGGGAGACCGCATTTTGGATTGCACAGTCTAGATAAGATTCTATTTCAAAAATTAAAATCACAGGATCCTTATACGATACGAAGTATGTTGTCTTACCGTTATTGTTTCATATATATACAATATGTTCCATGCAAGAGTTTCCAGTTTTTACTCCCTTTCTACCTAGCTAAACTTAATTTGTGTCCATTTACCTACATAAAGGCCAACGTTTTAAACATTTTACATTCATGAACTTGGTCTGGTGTAGTAAGCAATCCAAATAGTCTTTGTTGTCGTTGATTGGATGGATACGAAGATATCAAGTTGATGAAATATTTTTTTGTTGGCAACTTAATTGAGAGCAGTGATTATTCTCTGGTCTAAGAGAGGAACCACCATGGAGCCTGATCAACTTACTATGAATTAATATGAGTGGCTTGGCCACTGGTATTAAAGCCCTGAAATATATCGCTTACCCAACTTAGGTAACGTCTATCAACTCCCAGCTCAGGTAACCTACGGATTTTTAGGCAAAGAGTGTAAATAATAAGTTTAGATTTTCTGACTTTTAAATTGTTTAGCATTCCCTGTAATATTGAACCAAGCACATTGATATTAATTATGTAACATTCATAATTATAGATTTCATTTTAATATTTTAGTAGAGTTATGTATTTGGATGTCTTTCACTATTAAAGATATATAGACTAAATATTACGAAGTTGTTGTTATCTTATAACCAAAAGACCAAGTCCAAACCTTTTAATTCTATATCCTTCTCATCAAAGTTAACATAAAAAAACACATAACAATCTAAATTGTTGTATCCCAACTTTTGGTTTATATAGTTGAAAGAAATTATTTGGACACATATAGATTCGTTTAAAATGTTTTAACACCTCTTATGATAATTGCAAAGTCAGATTAAGATTACTTCTACATATTCGTTATGCAACCAAAAAAATAGGGTAAGGTTTTCCCTCTATTTGCTAACTTTAGAATCATCATCTTAATAAAATGAAATTAAGGGTAGTAGGCGTTGATATTGTTTTAATACCTCTTATGATAAGACGATGATTTTAAAGTACCCTTAATTTCATTTAAATAAACAACTCCTTATATACAAAATAAGGATCAATAGAGTAGTATACTTTCGTGTCTATTCTAAAAATTTGTTTTCCACATTTCCTAAAATCTTAAGTCATAAAGAAAAAAGGTTCTTTCACCTTTCAATATGAATAGTTTTCACACATCTTTCAAATTCTCAATGTTAGGTCGTCACAGGTAGTCATGTCCAGTGTGAAGAGGAAGAAATAGAGGAGGAGGTGCAAGCAAACAACGACAATGGCAGCGGTGAAGATGATGTAAATGGTAACTCCCATGTTCCTTTCAGAGACGAAAACGCTAATGACTCATATATATTCATAGAACTTGGTGAGTTGAGGAAGATTGAAAACAATCGTATGTTTAGATGCTTAAGTGAACTAAAACAGAACAGGGAAAAAGAACAGAAAAATAATTTAAAAATAAATTAGTTTAATTATCAAATGTATACCGGGCGTAGCCCGGATTATCCACTAGTAAAAACTAAAACTAAATATAAAAATGAGGATATATAGCTCAAAAATGTATGGTGGTCTATATTAAGATCACTACCAAAAATCAAACCTAAGGTTTCTTTAAAGTATATTAGAATTTAATACATCTTCTATCCATAAAATTCATTTATAGGATGTAACAATTAAAAGCAAACAAATATAGGTGGACGATGTGAACTAAACGATTGAGGATGAACTCTATCAAATAGACAAAAGAATTTAGAATTGCGGAGATCCCTTATGCTAGTGGTCGTCTGTCTACCTCTTGCACACAAAAGTGCATCTACTTCTACTTCCCATAGTGAGATAATTTGAGCTCTGTTAACAAAGAGGTTTTAGAATTACCAAAGTGATACAAGTTAGTTATATCATGGAATGTAATCCATTCAATGAATAAGGAGTAACACAATTCGGTTTGCTTGGGAATCAGATATTCATATTCATTTATACTATAGGTTAGTATGGTGGATTGGTGGTTATGTTTTTTTTTTTTTTTTTTTTTATCACAATTGCAAATGCAAATGTTTATTAAATTCCTAACTAACCCTCTGTCTATATAAGAGGTGTTTGAACAGTTTTCATCTCTTTAATCTAAAACGTGTCAGTAGTTCTCCATTTATCACATGGTATCATAGCAGTGAAAGCACAACTTTCACCTCTTTTTCTTTCAATCACACATTTTCTCTTCGATTTCTTCAGACTTTTTCCAAAAATCACTCTCTATTCTGTAAAATTTATGCTCATATGTGATCTTCAATCAGAAAATCAAATTCTTTAGCTGAGAAAGGCAAATGGAGCTTGTCACTTATAAAGAGGACTCTTGACTGTTGATATTGCTCATCATGTTCTCGCGGAGCTCCAGCATCAATTTTCCAATCAAATGAATCTCCTGACAATGCTCATTCTCTGCTTTTCCTTGCACACCAAACAAACAAGCTTAACTAGCTTCGGTGTTTTGGACCATTATCCACACTAAGGATATCTTTAAGCTCATATCAAAATCCAAAAGTTTAAGAGCGGCCCATAAAGCAACAACCACAAATTAGACAAAACCTCCCTTCTAATAATTAATCTTTTTTGATTAATAAGTACATGTTAATATGTAGAAGCATTTAATCACACGATGGTTTTAAGGCATCAAGCTATATATATTATATTGATGCATGGTCTGCACTCACGAATAAAATACTTTATCATCTCAGATCACAAATAAAAAAATTAACGAAACGAGAATCACATGGAAAGAAGAAACATCATACTAGTTTCGGCTCATGTGAGAGGTTTGACTTGGATGCTATATATATGTAGACATGAGCAGGGCATTTAAATCTCAAACCAAGCATTAATCATATGGCTTCCCTAGACCAAAATCCTTTTCTTCTTCCGCTCCTCTTCATCATCATCATCTCTTCCCTGCACGTTTTACTTGCTTCGACCACACCTTCACACAAACTAAAATCCGCCATTACCATCAGAAAACTCAACCGTAGAGGACCTTACATCGGTCTCGTGACAGTCTTTGAGACCGAAGAAAATGCTTTTCTCGGCAGTGTTGATTTCAGACCCGATCCTATGCATCCTTTCCTCGATCTCTCTGGTATCTACTGAGCTTTATAGTTACCACTTGAATTGTTTTCTTTTCAGGTTTTCTATCTAGAGAGAGTCCACTCTCTTGTCCCTTTTGAGATGAAAATGTAAGTAGTTTATGAGTAAATGCATGAATGCAGGAAGACGTTTTCGGATAGGGAAGATTCATGGAAAGAAGGTTGTGTATGTCAGATGTGGGATAGGAATGGTGAGTAATAATACGTACGTTGACCCCAAAACAACGTGAAAAAAAGTTTATTTGGTTATTCTAATATTTCTTAACTAAAAAATTTGTACACAGCTGGGATAAGCACATATACCAAATCACGGATCCGAATGAAGAAAATAGATTAAAATAACTGAAATGATAACTAAAAATTATATTAAATCAAAAAATAAATTTTATAATGTAAAATATTTGATTGGGGCATATTTGTATATTTAAATAATTTTTAAATTCATATGATATGTATCAAACCAACACTTTATATAAAAAGGAGATGGTGCATATATTATTACAAAAAATGTGCAGGTGAATGCAGCAGCAGCAACACAACAAATGATAGATGTGTTCAACGTGAAAGGGATAGTGCATTTTGGAATTGCTGGAAATATAAACAACTCAATGTCCATAGGAGATGTGAGCATCCCTAAGCAAATCACAAATGCTGGCTTATGGGAGTGGCTGGTAACTATAAAAGTTACACAAGTTATGTTATTGATATATAATTGCTTCTCCTTCTTAATTATTGTCTGATGATTTTGGTTCTGAACAGAATCCAGACAAGGCAAAAGGAAGTGAGGATGTAGCCTACTTAGATGTCGGGAACTATAATGTTCCACAAGGCAAGAATAAGTTAGGGACTATTGGATATAGTTACGAGGAATTATATTCAGTCAATGGTCGCATCAATTCACCACAGAAAGTGTTTTGGATCAATACAACTCAAGAGTGGCTTCATCTCGCAGCTGATCTAGAGGTTGTTCAGAATGAAATATTTGATTAGATTGATTAGAAGTTTTCTAACAAAAGAATTATTATTCCATTGTTGATGGTTGTTCATCGGTCTATGAATGCAGAAGATGGAGTTGTTGCAGTGTGTGAATGCAACATTGTGTCTTCCAAACAAACCAAAATTGGTAGTTGGATTGAAAGCAGCCACTGCTGACATATTTGTGGATAATGCAGCCTATAGAAATTTCTTATACGATTCTTTTGGAGTTTCCTCCTCAGATATGGAGAGTTCTGCAGTGGCCATGGTAATAATATTCATCTTTAAATCCATTAATTTCACTTGATTTTGATCGTTAAGTGATATGTTTGTGTTTTGGATTTGACTAGACGTGCGCGTCAAATGGGTATCCGATAATTGTGATACGGGGATTATCAGATTTAGCTGGAGTTGGAGATAACACTGTTCGAAAATTTGGATCTTTGGCTGCCACTAACACTGCCAAATCTGTTTTGGAGTTCATTAAGAAGCTCCCAGCCTCTCACTGTTCTATATAAATCCCTTGTAACCTATCATTATGAATGTTTGAATATGTATTTTCCCTAATTTTTATGTTAAAAGTAAAATTAATAAAAATCTGTTTCTTTTTTCTTTAATCAAATGGGTATTCAGCTTCTTGCATGGAACTTTTTAACCTCAGCCTTCAAAACTAAAATTACAGGTCTCTTTGTTGATAGCAAAAGATTTGATCAAATCTTGTCTCAATTCAACTAAGGGCAAAAATATATGTTTGTGTTTATAAATAATAGTATTTTTGTATTCTTTTTTTCTTTCTATTTGTAGGATATTTTTGTTAAGTGCACAGCCAGCAGCCTCATGTTGAATGTAACCTAAGGAAACGAGAATCACGTGGAAAGAAGAAACTTGATACTAGTGTCTGCTCATATCAGCCTTCTAGAGGGTTGGACTTGGATGATATATATGCAGCTGTGGATTTAAATCTCAAACCAACCAATCAGATGGCTGCCCTGTACCACAATATTTATCTTTTTCCTCTGCTCTTCATCATCATCATCTCTTCCTTCCACGTTTTGCCTGTTTCACCCACACCTTCACACAAACTAAAATCCGCCACTACCATCAGAAAACTCAACCTCAGGGGACCGTACATCGGCCTCGTGACGGTCATTGAGACCGAAGAAAATGCTTTTCTCCGCAGTGTCGAATTCAGACCCGACCCTACTCATCCCTTCTTGGATCTCTCTGGTATTTTGATTTTTTCTCAAGTTTTCTAACTTGAAAGAGAGTCCTTTGTTTTGGTTAAATGGAAGTAAGTTCTTTTGAGATGAAAATGTTAGTAGTTTCTGATTAGTTTCTGATTTTATGACCATATGAATACAGGAAGACGTTTTCGAATAGGGAAGGTTCATGGAAAGAAGGTTGTGTATGTCAGATGTGGGAGAGGAATGGTGAGTAACCACAACATTAAATTATCCAAAACAAAAAGAAAAAAGAATACAACAAAATAAAAGAGTTTATATGGCTCTTATTTCTTATCTAAAAGTAGTATATACACTATACACAATGGGGCTGGCACATGCCAAATATAAGCGCAGACCAAAAAATCCTGATCCGTATCAAATAATTGAAATGATGATAAAACTTATAAGTAGTATATTAAATATGCATATAAGTAAATTTAAATAGTAACTTTTGAATCCATATGAAAAGTATCAAACCAACAGTTTATATAAAAAGGAGATGGTAAATGTTAAAAGGAAATATTGCAGGTGAACGGAGCAGCAGCAACACAACAGATGATAGATGTGTTCAATGTGAAAGGGATTGTGCATTTTGGGATTGCAGGAAATATGAATAACTCAATGTCCATAGGAGATGTGAGCATTCCTAAGCAAATCACGAATGCTGGCTTATGGGATTGGCTGGTAACTATATATAAAAGTTACACAATTTGATTGCTTCTTCTTTATATTGTCTGATCCATGCTTTTGGTTCTGAGTAAAACAGAATCCAGACAAAGCAAAGGGAGGTGAGGATTTAGCGTACTTAGATGTCGGGAACTATAATGTTCCAAAAGGAGATGGCAACAATGAGTTAGGGAGTATTGGATACAGTTACGAGCAACTATATTCGGTCACTGGTCGCATCAATACACCTCAGAATGTGTTTTGGATCAACACAACTCAAGAGTGGCTTCATCTTGCAGCTGATCTAGAGGTTGTTAAGAACGATACATACTGGTTAGATTATAGATTATAAAAAACTGATGATTCCATTGTTAACGACGGTTTTTCATGTGGTATACGGATGCAGAAGATGGAGCTGTCACAGTGTGTGAATGCAAGTTTGTGTCTTCCAAAGAAACCGAAATTGGTTGTTGGACTGAAAGCAGCCACAGCTGACATATTTGTGGATAATGCAGCCTATAGAAATTTCTTATACGATACTTTTGGCGTTTCCTCCTCAGATATGGAGAGTTCTGCAGTGGCCATGGTAATAATATTCATGTCTAAATCCATTAATTTCACTTAGTTTTGATCGTTAAGTGATATGTTTGTGTTTTGAATTTGACCAGACGTGCGCATCAAATGGTTATCCCGTAATTGTGATAAGAGGATTATCAGATTTAGCTGGAGTAGGAGGAGATAACACAGTTCATAAGTTTGGATCTTTGGCTGCCACTAACACTGCCAAAGCTGTTTTGGAGTTCATTAAGAAGCTCCCACCGTCTTAATTCCTACGTGTAACCTTATTAATCATAAATGTTTAAATCTAGTTCTCTAGTTCATATCAACAAATGATTTGGATTGTAATCAAGTTCATCGTAACAATTCAATGCAAAAATTAACAATTTCCCAGACTTTAACTCATTCATGTGACAATCTTTAAAAAGCTCAACTGTAACTAAAAGGATGTATATATACCTTACATGAAGAGCCAAATTGTTAAAATTAAGGTTTAACAACTCTAGTTGAATCATTCTCATCATCGCTATCGGAACTCTGGCTTTGATCATCGTCTGAAGGCGGAGAAGGATCAAGACGGGCGGCGTCTATAGCCCATTGAATCAGCTTCTCCACTTCAGCATCTTCTCCGATTTCATCACCATCATCTCCGATTTCATCCTGAAGAAGAACAGAGGACGAAGAAGACGCGGAGGGGAGAGAAGTCTTTAGAGCCGTGAATCGGAGCATTAGATCGTCTGGTGTTTCTTCAACCAAATCCTTTAATTTCGTCGGAGATCTCGGCCGTCGTTTATGTTGTTGTCGCTGCTGATCCTTCTTCTTTTGAGATTTGAGAGCGAGAAACCTAGAGTGGAGATCTGGATCTAAGTAATCGGAAGAGGATCGAGATGTGTGAGAATCAACAGAGAGCTTGAGTATCATCTCATCTTGAGCAGCTTGAAGCAATTGTTCAACTTCGTCTTCTTCCTTGCCTCCTTTCCTCATCGGATCTCTAATCTGTTGATCGCTCGATTTTAAAACCGGGTTGACTTATGATATAAACAAAATCCGGTTTAATATTGGTTCGATTTTAATTGGACCGACGCCTAACTTGCGGGCAGACGGTGTCGTTTCCCACGCGATTTAGATTCCAAATTCCCGTGAGATGTTATTTGATCTCCACCGTCCGATGGAAACACTGATTGTTTACCTACCGTCGATGTCTGACCAACATTTGCCAACCAATCAGGTTGGCCCAATAAGAAAAGGAAGAAAACCTGACTTTCTCAATTCATCAACCTTTTTTTGGTATTTTCCATGTGAGTTAAATTAACAAAAGGAAGAAAATAAAAAATAATTATATGATTGAAATGTGAACCACGATGGTTCCTAGAAGAAGGAAGAGATTGCAACAGAGCGTTATAAAAAGGCGAAGCAAGAGGGAGACAACAGATAACAAACTGTGAGAAATGGGAAGCGAAGGAAAATCGATTGTGAGGAAACCAAGGTTTTTGTGTCTCCATGGATTTCGTACGAGCGCAGAGATAATGAAGATACAGCTTCATAAATGGCCTAAATCTGTAATTGATAGACTCGATCTCGTGTTTCTCGATGCACCTTTTCCTTGTCAAGGCAAATCTGATGTTGAAGGCATCTTTGATCCTCCTTATTACGAGTGGTTTCAATTTAACAAGGTCCTTTGTTTTTTTTTCTTCACTTTCTTCTCTTTATTCTTTCGATTCGTGTGTATTTATACGTTGGAATTTGAATTCAGGAATTCACGGAGTATACGAATTTCGAGAAATGTTTGGAGTACCTAGAGGATCGCATGATCAAGCTTGGTCCTTTTGATGGTCTCATTGGGTTTTCTCAGGTTATCTACATTTGAAATTGCATATCAACAGTGTCTGATTTGTTGTTTACTCTCTCTTTGAAACTCAAAATTTGGTTTCTCTGTTTTGAAGGGGGCAATTTTGTCTGGGGGTTTACCAGGACTGCAAGCTAAAGTACGTCAACATTACTATATACTATAGTATTCATGATCATTTTTACATATGCTGTTTCTAATTCATTTGAAAATTGTGCAGGGAATTGCACTTCAGAAAGTACCAAAGATTAAGTTTGTTATAATCATTGGAGGAGCTAAGCTCAAATCTGCCAAGTTGGCGGAGAATGCTTATTCGTCTTCCTTGGAAACTCTCTCCCTCCACTTTTTAGGTAAATTCTGCAAAAGCTGATTTGTAAATTCTGCAAAAGCTTGTTCATTGATGATTGAGAATCTGGTAACTGGCTTGTTTGTTGCAGGAGAGACTGATTTCTTGAAACCTTACGGAACCCAGCTGATAGAATCGTACAAGAATCCCGTGGTTGTCCATCATCCCAAAGGCCATACTGTCCCCAGGCTTGATGACAAAAGCTTGGAGATAGTTACTGCATTCATCGATACCATTGAGCATCTGGTGATGGAGGAAGACAAGAATGGTGAAGAAAGTAATAATAAGCCAACAAAATAGAAAAGCTTCAAGTGTTATATGTATAACGAATAATTCTTTGGATAATAATCGTGAAATGGCTGTAAATAAATCTGGCAATGTTTGTGAAAAACAACAATTATTACAACACAAACAATAATAGACGATTCGTTCGTTCCTTTTCATAACTTTTTCTTCCTTCGCACTACACTCTTCTTGGTATAAGACAAATTCAACGAAGAGTCAAATGGCAAAACAATTCATGCAGTGTAGCTGAAGCACTTACAGTTTACAAACACATTCTCTTCTGCTTGCTAGCTCTGCTTTTCCTCAAGCACGGCCTCATCTGAACCAAAGTTTTTTCTCATAAAATTGTTACAAACTTTGGAGCATCCTTCCTTGGGCCATCAAGGGACCGATACAAGTACAATGTCTCAACATAATCCCCAGTGACAGTGTCGTCGTCATCATCACCATCTGATCCAAATACTTCCACCACTACATTAGGCAGAGCATGAGCAACATCCCTACAGCCTCCCAGAGATAAGACACATGACGACAACCAAACAAACCTCATATTGCAATACCGATGCATACCAGAGCGCAATCCTACATCCCCAAAGGGACTGTCCCTGATTTCAAGCTTTTGTAGTTTAGGACAACCCTCAAGAACATATCTCAGAGCCTTGTCACTGTTCCCCGCAAAAGCTACAGATAGCGTGCGGATCAATTTCCCATATTCTCCTATATAGCTAAAAGCTTCATCTGTTAGTAACCCTGATACTGCAAGTCGGGTTAGCTTCTTGCAGTTTTTAACAATGGCACCAAATCCATCGTCCATTGGCTTTCCTGTCACGTGGTCAGGCCTATGGCGACCCATTATGCAAAGCCTAAACACAGTAAGCTGCGGGCAGTTCTCAGACATGGCTGTCACAGCTCCATTAGTCATCCGCTGGCAAAAGTACAGGATAGATTCTAGTTTCCTACAGCCCTCTGAAATTGCTTGCAGGCCTACTCCTGAGACAGGACCTTCGCTGTCTTCACGAGGATCGAAAGGGAAAATCCGAAGCTCACGGAGCTCCTTGCATGTGGCAGCCACTGCCTGTAGTCCTTCATCGCGTATCGAGTCAAGAGCCTGCATTACAAAAGTTCCAAGATATGCATGTAACTCAAAGTACACGGTTAGCGGATGTTACACTATATTATACAATGAGATCAAGAAAGATGCATACCCAGAAGACTCGGATATTGTGACAGTTGCGTATGATGGGGTTGAGCATTTGAGGAGAGATGTTAGCATAACTGAAGTTAAGAGAGGTGAGATTAGCACAAACTGGAGAGATAGCTAGGAGGTATTCAGGCCTGAATTCCCTGAATCCTGAGAGACAAACTATGGATTTACAAGCAAGGAAAGCAGCTGCATAATCCGGTAGTTGTTCACCCTGAGGCGCGTTGTCTGGACTAAATGATCCCGTACCAAGACTGGTTAACTGCGGCGCTCGAACCATTAGGCGATGCAGCTCTTCAAGGGAAACAAACCTGTTGGTTCTAAGCTTCTTCAAGAACGGTGACCTAATTACGAGCCCCTCCAATGCGTTGAAATTGATAGGGGATTCAACACAGTCAAAAGACAAAGACTCCAGAGGAGATTCACCCTCAGGAAAACAAGAAATCCAATCCACCTCATCATCGGTGACTTCTGACTCCACCAGATCAAGAACCTTTAGCTGTCTGAAAACAAATCCCCAGTTGATAAGTTGATGAAAAAAACCGCACTTTGATGATATGAATCTCTCAAGCAAAGAAAGAGAAGAGATCTAGAAATTACCTGCATTTGTTGGCAACAACAGCAATACCACTAGTTCCAAAACCTTCGCAGCAGACCAAAGTAAGCTCTTTGAACCCAGGAAACGAGTCAGCAAGAAGCGCTAAATCATCATCCGTAACAAACATGCGCTTCAAATGAACCTTCTCAAGCCAAGGATAAGCCTTAGCTGTTGCAGCAACCCAAGGCGCGAATTGAGCTCCCCAATTAGGAGGCATGAGATTAAAATCAGCAAACCTAGGTTTCCCTTTAAGCACAATAGACCTAAGACCCTTGAACCGGTGAGTGAGCCGAGCGGGAGAAAGAGAGTAACAGTTACCGATAAAAACCTCGAATCGGGTCTGAGCCTCGACGCGATACCACGATTTGCAGACCAATGAAACGGCGTTGCGATCGCATCTGGAAGTGAGGAACTGCAGCACGCTCTCCAAAACGTTCTCGAGGACATGTTCTGGACATGGCGGCGAAGAAGATTTGAAAGTGCCAGACTTGTTGGCGAACGCAACGGCGGAGGAAGAAGAGGAGGAGGAGCAAGGTGGATTTAACTTGAGATATTGCTCAACATCCTCTGACATTTTTGCTGAGCTATCTTCTTCTGTCATACAAGTAAAAGATCAAAAAATGACAACAATTTCTCCAAGAAAGACTTTTACTTTATCTTTCAAGAATTTATCAGCTCATGTGCTCTCTTTCTGATACAAAAAGATATCCGATTCAGATGAAGAAGAGATAGGTGAAAAAGGAGGAGCTGGTCTTTGAGTTTGGACTCTCTCTCTCCACTTCACCTCCATTATTTGGGAGATCATTTCCCATTATATTAAAAAAAAAACTAATATTTTTGTAGCTGTCTAAATTTATTTTTGTGTTTGTAGCTTTGTTTACCGGATCATGATATCCGGCATTTTTTACGATACCCGGATCCAGACATCCGGCCATTTTAGGATATCCAGATCAGGATATTTGCTTTTTCATTATCCGGATTTGGATCCATTCCATCCGGATATCCTGTTTTTGAAACGGATCAGATCGGATCGGATCCCAGATCTCGGATAATTGGTCTCATGACTAGTTTTATTGATAAGAAATAAAAAAGAAGAATCATCTATTTTTTGACAAAGGGAAGCAAACAAACATGATTTTATCCATTTAAAAATTCGTCCTTCTATTTTAAGTTGTGATAGGTGACATTTAAACTGGTAATCATGTAAACTTGTTGTAATCTGAACAAAAATTTAAATGATTTAAAAGTGTTTTTCTTTGTACTGTTTCATAAAATGAATAATATTCCAAATCACTGTCATTATTTTCTTTGTATGGCTTTCATTTTTTTTTATTAGTTATGATTGTTAATGCACTTTAGTTGAATTTAATTTTTATCATGCAATCAACTGTGTTCGACTATATGTTCTTTAAAAGACTTTTTATTAGTTGCGTGAGATAAAAAGTTCGACTGTGCTTTTAAAAAGGCTTCAAAATTTTGGTGTAAATGGAAAAAGTTTGGGCTTGCTGTCTGGGTCTTTATATCTCGGCGGATAACAAAATCAAAAGTGATTAATGGTTATGGTATAGGTTTACTGCATTTAATTATCGGTTATTCTTTCAAATGTATTTTTTTTTTCGGAAGGCATTTGTTATAAAATAGATCTTTTCAAAATGATTCTTAAAATTTTCAAAAGATAATTATTAGAGTATGGATAATTTTCAAATAAAATACCCTTAAAAAATTGTTAATGATTGTTAATGCATTTTAGTTGAATTTAATTTTTATCATGCAATCAACTGTGTTCGACTGTGTGTTCTTTAAAAGACTTTTTATTAGTTGCGTGAGATAAAAAGTTCGACTGTGCTTTTAAAAAGGCTTCAAAATTTTGGTGTAAATGGAAAAAATTTGGGCTTGCTGTCTGGGCCTTTATATCTCGGCGGATAACAAATAAAAAGTGATTAATGGTTATGGTATAGGTTTACTGCATTTAATTATCGGTTATTCTTTCAAATGTGTTTTTTTTTTTTTCAGAAGGCAATTGTTATAAAATAGATCTTTTCAAAATGATTCTTAAAATTTTCAAAAGATAATTATTAGAGTATGGATAATTTTTAAATAAAATACCCTAAAAGAATTGTTGGAGTCAAGTTTATAGAATTAGTCATAACGATGTTTGATTCATAGTCTTGCTAACTTCCAGATCGGTCATATAAGTCTTTTAGATATTTAGATACAGGTGAGTAGGAAAAATGGTATTTTTATATTTGAAGAACTCGTAAAATGTGTTTTTATACCTAAACTAAATCGTTGGGTAAATTCATACCCAAACCGCAAAATATTTGGATTTTATACCTAAACTTGACAACTTGGGCATTCATCAGAGTTACAATCGACATTGTAAGTCAACACTGTTACGGTGCTGGGTCAGATTACACGTGTCTAATGACGTGTATCAAAACGACGTCGGTTTGTTTTAGGAAGTTAAAAAAAAATTGTTTTTGCAAAAGCCAAGTTTTGAACCAGCGACCTCTATCGTATTCATGAAGCACATAACCATTTGATCCCACAATATTCTTCGGGACTCAGCCAAGCAAGTAATATTTTTTGTGTTTTCCAATTAACAAAACGACGTTGTGAATTGGGGAAATTAATCAAATTCTAGGAAATACTTTGAAATTTGAGAGCGAGAAATCTAGAGTGGAGATCTGGATCTAAGTAATCGGAAGAGGATCGAGATGTGTGAGAATCTACAGAGCTTGAGTATTATATCATCTTGAGCCGCTTGAAGCAACTGTTCAACTTCGTCTTCTTCCTTGCCTCTCCTCATCGGATCTCTAATCTGTTGATCGCAAATCAATTTTAAAAACCGGATTGACTTATGTTCTATAGAAAATCCGGTTTAATATTGGTTCGATTTTAATTGGACCGACGCCTAACTTCTGGGCAGAAGACGGTTATCTACATTTGAAATTGCATCAAACAGAGTCTGATTTGTTGGTTACTCTCTTTGAAACTCAAAATTTGATTTTTCTCTTTTGCAGGGGGCAGTTTTGTCTGGGGGTTTACCAGGACTGCAAGCTAAGGTACGTGTATAATACTATACTATAGAAGTATTCGTTTTCATTTTTACAAATTCTGTTACTGATTCATTTAACATTTTTGCTAGGGAATTGCACTTCACCAAGTTGGCGGAGCATGCATATTCCTCTTCCTTGGAAACTCTCTCCCTCCACTTATTAGGTAAATTCTGCAAAACCTGATTTGTATATTCTGCAAAAGCTTGTTCATTTGATGATTATGAATCTGGTAACTGGCTTGTTTGTTGTTACAGGAGAGACTGATTTCTTGAAACCATACGGAACCCAGCTGATAGAATCGTACAAGAATCCGGTGGTTGTCCATCATCCCAAAGGCCATACTGTCCCGAGGCTTGATGACAAAAGCTTGGAGAAAGTTACCGCATTCATCGATACCATTGAGCATCTGGTGATGGAGGAAGGCAAGACTGGTGAAGAAAATAATAGTAAGCCAACAAAATAGAAAAGCTTTAAATGATATATGTATAACGAATAATTCTTTGGATAATAATTGTGAAATGGCTGTAAATAAATCTGGCAATGTTTGTGAAAAACAACAATTATTACAACACAAACAATAATAGACGATTCGTTCGTTCCTTTTCATAACCTTTTCTTCCTTCGCACTGCACTCTTCTTGGTATAAGACGAATTCAACGAAGAGTCAAATGGCAAAACAAATCATGCAGTGTAGCTGAAGCACTTACAGTTTACAAACACAATCTCTTCTGCTTGCTAGCTTTGCTTTTCCTCAAGCACGGCCTCATCTGAACCAAAGTTTTTCTCATAAAATTGTTACAAACTTTGGAGCATCCTTCCTTGGGCCATCAAGGGACCGATACAAGTACAATGTCTCAACATAGTCCCCAGTGACAGTGTCGTCGTCATCATCACCATCTGATCCAAATACTTCCACCACTACATTAGGCAGAGCCTGAGCAACATCCCTGCAGCCTCCCAGGGATAAGACACATGACGACAACCAAACAAACCTCATGTTGCAATACCGATGCATACCAGAGCGCAATCCAGCATCCCCAAAGGGACTGTCCCTGATTTCAAGCTTTTGTAGTTTAGGACAACCCTCAAGAACATATCTCAGAGCCTTGTCACTGTTCCCCGCAAAAGCTACAGATAGCGTGCGGATCAATTTCCCATATTCTCCTATATAGCTAAAGCTTCATCTGTTAGTAACCCTGATACTGCAAGTCGGGTTAGCTTCTTGCAGTTTTTAACAATGGCACCAAATCCATCGTCCATTGGCTTTCCTGTCATGTGGTCAGGCCTATGGCGACCCATTATGCAAAGCCTAAACACAGTTAGCTGCGGGCAGTTCTCAGACATGGCTGTCACAGCTTCATTAGTCATCCGCTGGCAAAAGTACAGGATAGATTCTAGTTTCCTACATCCCTCTGAAATTGCTTGGAGGCCTACTCCTGAGACAGGACCTTCGCTGTCTTCACGAGGATCGAAAGGGAAAATCCGAAGCTCACGGAGCTCCTTGCATGTGGCAGCCACTGCCTGTAGTCCTTCATCGCATATCGAGTCAAGAGCCTGCATTACATTACAAAAGTTTCAAGATATGCATGTAACTCAAAGTACTCGGTTAACGGATGTTACACTATATTATACAATGAGATCAAGAAAGATGCATACCCAGAAGACTCGGATATTGTGACAGTTGCGTATGATGGGGTTGAGCATGTGAGGAGAAATGTTAGCATAACTGAAGTTAAGAGAGGTGAGATTAGCACAAACTGGAGAGATAGCTAGGAGGTATTCAGGCCTGAATTCCCTGAATCCTGAGAGACAAACTATGGATTTACAAGCAAGGAAAGCAGCTGCATAATCCGGTAGTTGTTCACCCTGAGGCGCGTTGTCTGGACTAAATGATCCCGTACCAAGACTGGTTAACTGCGGCGCTCGAACCATTAGGCGATGCAGCTCTTCAAGGGAAACAAACCTGTTGGTTCTAAGCTTCTTCAAGAACGGTGACCTAATTACGAGCCCCTCCAATGCGTTGAAATTGATAGGGGATTCAACACAGTCAAAAGACAAAGACTCCAGAGGAGATTCACCCTCAGGAAAACAAGAAATCCAATCCACCTCATCATCGGTGACTTCTGACTCCACCAGATCAAGAACCTTTAGCTGTCTGAAAACAAATCCCCAGTTGATAAGTTGATGAAAAAAACCGCACTTTGATGATATGAATCTCTCAAGCAAAGAAAGAGAAGAGATCTAGAAATTACCTGCATTTGTTGGCAACAACAGCAATACCACTAGTTCCAAAACCTTCGCAGCAGACCAAAGTAAGCTCTTTGAACCCAGGAAACGAGTCAGCAAGAAGCGCTAAATCATCATCCGTAACAAACATGCGCTTCAAATGAACCTTCTCAAGCCAAGGATAAGCCTTAGCTGTTGCAGCAACCCAAGGCGCGAATTGAGCTCCCCAATTAGGAGGCATGAGATTAAAATCAGCAAACCTAGGTTTCCCTTTAAGCACAATAGACCTAAGACCCTTGAACCGGTGAGTGAGCCGAGCGGGAGAAAGAGAGTAACAGTTACCGATAAAAACCTCTAATCGGGTCTGAGCCTCGACGCGATACCACGATTTGCAGACCAATGAAACGGCGTTGCGATCGCATCTGGAAGTGAGGAACTGAAGCACGCTCTCTAAAACGTTCTCGAGGACATGTTCTGGACATGGCGGCGAAGAAGATTTGAAAGTGCCAGACTTGTTGGCGAACGCAACGGCGGAGGAAGATGAGGAGGAGGAGCAAGGTGGATTTAACTTGAGATATTGCTCAACATCCTCTGACATTTTTGCTGAGCTATCTTCTTCTGTCATACAAGTAAAAGATCAAAAATGACAACAATTTCTCCAAGAAAGACTCTTACTTGATACTTCCAGAATTTAATCAGCTCATGAGCTATCTTTCTGATACAAAGTCACGATTCAGATGAAGAAGAGATAAGTGAAAAAGGAGGAGCTGGTCTTGGAGTTTGGACTCTCTCTCTCCACTTCACCCTCCATTATTGGTGAGACTATTTCCCATTTAAAAAAAAAAAAAAACAAAGCTAATATTTTTGTATTTGTTTAAATTTATTTTTGTTTTGCACATTATTTATTTTTGTAGCTTTGTTTATTTTTTTGTTTAGACCATACACAATGGTGTATGTTTTGGTGGGGTGTGAGTATTATTAAAAAGGAAAATAATAGAATAGTGTAACACATGGGTGTGAGATAACACTTGGGTGTGGGTATTATTTTAATGTTTTATGTTTCATCTATCTCTTTCTCTCTCATCTCTCTTTCTCCACTAACCAAATCTCTCTCTTTCTCTCTTAAAAAAAATATAATACATATATTGTTAACACACACCCACCCACATACACCATTGTGGGTGCTCTTATCTGAACCAAAATTAAAAAGGACTAAAAAGTGTTTTGTACTGTTTCATAAAATGAATAATATCTATAGTCACTTTCATTCTTTTTATTAGTTATGATTGTTAATGCATTTTAGATATAATTAATTTTCATATTGCAATCAACTGTTTATGCGTTCGACTGTGTTCTTAAGACTGGTAATCAAAAAAAAAAAGTTTTTTATTAGTTGCGTGAGATGAAAAGTTCGCATGTGTTCTTAAGAAGGCTTAAGGTCTTAATGTAAAGGACAACAGTTTGGGCTTTTATATCTCGGCCGATAACAAAATTAAAGGTAATTTATGATTATGGTAGGTTTACTGCCATTATTTATGGATTATCTTTTCAAATATATTTTTTTAATTTTTTAGAAGATAATTGTTATAAAATAGATTCTTTCAAATATGTTTCTTAAAATTTTCAAAAGACAATTATTAGAATATGGGTAAATTCCAAATAAGTTCCCTGGAAAAAGAATTTTCGAAGTCAAAATTTATAGAATGAGTCATAACGACGTTTTATTGGTAGTCTTGGTACTACTAAATCGGTCATAAAAGTCTATAGATATAGAAGATACCGGTGAGTAGTAGTATTTTTCAAAAGCTACGAGCCTACGAGTCGTATATGTGTGAAATTATGGTATAAATATGTTGACCTTCCTACAAAGAATGACGTGTAAACAAACAACCAAGTATTAGAAGAATCAGAATGTGGCAAGTAGTCGCCGAACACGTCTCCTTCGTCAAAATCTCTTTTTCTGACTCTCTTAACCCCCCAACCCCATGTTTCTTTAATTTGGCTCTAGATTTGTAATCAAAATACAAATCACTAATCTATAACTATTTTCTTAATTACTTTGGCTTTGTATTGATTAATAAAGCTTCTTTAATTCCAATTTGCAATTAAGACAATTTAAACACGTATCTCTTTCCCAAATTTAAGACATTCCCAATTTCCCATCTTCTAATCTACTCTGTATATTTGTCGTTATAATTTTAATTTCAAAATTCGAAAAAGAGAATCCATCCATCAACTCTACTTTTTTGTTTGTGCCTTTCCTCTTTCTCTCTCTCTATCTATCAACACTAGACTTGAGAAATGCAGTGAAATTGAAATCGAGTAGAAGCAGAGATGGTGGTAAGGAAGGTGGGCAAGTATGAATTAGGTAGAACAATCGGCGAAGGTACCTTCGCTAAAGTCAAGTTCGCTCAGAACACAGAGACCGGTGAGAGCGTCGCCATGAAAATCGTGGATCGTAGTACCATCATCAAACGCAAGATGGTTGATCAGGTTCTGTCTCTCTATCTCTCTTCTTACTAGTCTCTTCGATTTTGATTAGATTGATGACATGACACCGTTTGTGATTAGCAGATTAAGAGAGAGATCTCGATTATGAAGCTTGTTCGTCATCCTTGTGTTGTTCGTCTTTATGAGGCAAGTCAAATGTTTTTGTTATTGAAAGGTTCTTGCTTTCATATATATGAAGTAATTTGATCTTTTGCTCCTTTAGGTTCTAGCAAGCCGTACAAAGATTTATATCATCCTGGAGTACATTACTGGTGGTGAACTGTTTGATAAGATTGTGAGTACCTAAACTCCTGGTGATGATTTTATGCGTTTCTCTCTGTATGATATTGTCACTGATTCACTTGTTTCATTGCTATAGGTTCGTAATGGACGACTTGGTGAATCCGAAGCTAGGAAATACTTTCAACAGCTTATTGATGGAGTTGATTACTGCCATAGTAAAGGTGTCTACCACAGAGATCTAAAGGTGAATTCTTGCTGAGAGAATCAACACTTTTCTATCATTTGTTGTTGATCTGATGATTGTCTTGTGTCAACTGCAGCCAGAAAATCTTTTGCTGGATTCTCAAGGAAATCTCAAGATATCTGATTTTGGCCTCAGTGCATTACCTGAACAAGTAATGGGGCTCTCATTTTCATGTTTTTTTCTTTCGAATTTTGAGTTATTAGTTTGTTATTGAATCATTATCAACTAAATTATCTTACTTTGATCTGAAGGGAGTTACCATCCTTAAGACAACATGTGGAACTCCCAATTACGTTGCTCCTGAGGTAAAATCATATCATAATGCTTTGAGATATGATGTAGTTTTATTGTAGCTTATGTGTTCTTCTTCATATTGGTTTAGGTTCTCAGTCACAAGGGTTACAATGGTGCCGTGGCAGATGTCTGGTCCTGTGGGGTCATCCTTTATGTTCTTATGGCAGGATATCTTCCATTTGATGAAATGGATCTACCAACTTTATATAGTAAGGCATGAGCTCTGCTGTTGTTGCCTCTTGATTCTAGATATTTCGTTTTGGAAAGTTTCTTGTTTCTACCTAGTTTAATCATCGCAATGAAGCATTAGGATTGAACAAGCAATATCTGCAGAACCTGTAATAGAAATCGTTTTGGCAACATTATTTTCACTGTAGTCAAGAATCCCTTTCTGTAAACCGAACGTGTTATGTGCTTGTAAGACATCTATGTACTTTCTCTCTGATATGGTATCCTTTTCTTCTTATTTTCAGATCGACAAAGCTGAGTTCGCTTGCCCCTCATATTTTGCCTTGGGAGCAAAGTCCTTGATTAATAGAATTTTGGATCCAAATCCTGAAACTGTAAGTTTTGAGTTTCCTTGCAGATAGCTTTGCTTAGATCTATTACAATCCCGGCTACTGTATTTAAAAGATGTGTTACATGTTGAAAGAACAGCAGCTTGAAAAAACAGATATCTAGATATCACTATAACCAGCCCCATTTGAATCATATCATTCTTTTCTACACTTGAATAGACCCTAGAAGTCTAAGCATTTTCATAATTTTCTGGATCATTTGGAAGGTCTATACAATATGGATAATGTGCCAATTGAAAGCATTACATGACATAGTCGTCGGGTGAAGTTGTCCACAGTTACTCTTTTCATCGCAAGATGCAAAGTCTGACAAATGTCACTTTTTTTTTTTTTCCTGGCAGCGAATTACAATTGCAGAAATCAGGAAAGATGAGTGGTTTTTAAAGGATTACACTCCTGTACAACTTATCGATTACGAACATGTAAACCTGGATGATGTATATGCTGCTTTTGATGATCCAGAGGTAGGATGCAGTTGGCACAATTCTCTGTCCCCTATTTGTTTGCTGTTGACTATCGTGTATAAAGCATGATGTTTTATGTAACATTATACGTTGTAGGAACATACATATGCACAGGATGGAACAGGGGACACGGGTCCACTGACTCTAAATGCGTTTGACCTAATTATTCTATCTCAGGGCCTGAACCTCGCAACTCTTTTTGACCGTGGAAAGGTACAATGCTGTGTGTGACCCCGCTTTGTGCATTCCTATTCCTTATTCAGTTGTTCTTTCTCATTTCTACATGTTAGACAACTATTGCGTTAATCTTTCAAGTGTGTTGACAGGACTCCATGAAGCACCAGACAAGGTTCATCTCACACAAGCCAGCAAACGTGGTTCTCTCAAGCATGGAAGTTGTGTCGCAGTCTATGGGCTTTAAGACACACATTCGTAATTACAAGGTGAGAAACTAGAGTAAGAGTTGGTTAGGCACTCTTATCGGTTGAAATCGCTTCATTGTTTTTCGTGATGTGTATCTTAAACATTTCTCTGGAGTTAATATTTCATTTTATCATCTCAACCTCCTCAAACACCCAACAGCTATTAACCCATTTCCGTATTCAGATGAGAGTCGAAGGATTATCTGCAAATAAGACGTCTCATTTCTCCGTCATTCTAGAAGTAACTTCTCTTAAAAACCAGTCCATCTTTTTTACTTTGGTCTCTTTATGTCTGAAGTCTCACGAATAATTTTCTAATCTGAAGGTTTTCAAAGTTGCACCATCAATTCTCATGGTAGACATTCAAAATGCAGCAGGAGACGCAGAAGAATACCTCAAGGTTAGTACCAGAAGAAGACCTTAGTGTTATAAGTTCACCTTGAGGTTTGTGTGACTCATCTCAGAATACTAAAACCAGTTTATGTTTTGCAGTTCTATAAGACTTTTTGTAGTAAGCTTGATGACATCATTTGGAAGCCGCCAGATGCATCTATGAAAAATCGAGTCACCAAGGCCAAGAGTAAAAGACGTTGAATTCATGTGTGTTATTTCAAGCAGTGCTTTCACAGAAGACAGTTAGAAACAATATTTAACTCCCTTGTGTTGCTTTAGTCGAGTGAATATGTACAAGCTTGTTGATTTGGGTTTAATTTATGAATACATAGAAGATTGTACTAAACTTATACGATACCAAGACTAAATGAAGAGAAAACTGCTGATAGTTTCTCCTGATTAATGTATCTCTCAACTGTTTTTTTTTTTTTGGAACATGCATATTCTCATATTTGAACTCAGATGGTGCAGAGATGACACTAACACAAACCACTAAGGTATATGTCATGATCACTCTCTAATATACAACAAAATTATGCAAACCTTTAGCCACACCGCGACACGGGGATTAGATACTTGTTTGGCACCGTGAGCTTTTTTAAAGCTGGATACTGTGAGGAAAAGTGGACTTGAATACGGTGTCTGATGCTCGACTAGATGATCCATATATGCTTCTAACATCATTCTCATCACTTCATGGTTCTGCTCTTTCTTCAAGGTTGATAAAATGTTCCCTGCCACGTTTTGAAGTAGTCGTTGCAGCATCTCAAACACGTTTTCATGTCATTCTATTATCCCTCCTCTTAAGGATTAGATCAGAGTTAGACTCTTTATTTTCTTAGTCCACACAAATGTGTGGTTTGTTTGCTCTAGAACAAAAAAGTGATATTGAGTTTGACATTCACATTATTCCTTAATGCAAGAATAATATTATATTTGTAATATTCACTTAGGCGTGAATAATATGATTCGTTAACCCTGAAATTAGGATTTAAAAATGATATTGAGTTTGACATTTTATTATATTCCTTATTGTTTTATTATATTCCTTATTGTGAAATAATAATACTCGCCAAATATTAGCATACTGTTTTTGACACTCGAATCTAATCTTTCATTATGTAACTTACCGAGTCTTGCAGGTGCTTATCAGATGCGAACCAAATATATCGTAATCGGAACTATATATATTTCTTATTATTTTGATTGAAGAAATTTAGAATCTAGCTAGTTGACCTTTAATGGTTTTTTCAGTATGAAACACTTTTTTCATTATTTATGAATGAATAATCATTTATTTCATACCTCCAGGCTCCAGGATTATCTTTGCTTAGCCAGGAAATATATATGTCCATCTTATTAAGTTTACTGCAATGTATTAAAACATAAATAGAAAATCCCATTTCTCACGTATCTAATATTGTCTTCTATAAAGTAATTCACAGATTATTTTTGTTCATGTTTTTAAATGGTATAATACACGAGAATTTGTATAGTTTACATGAGATTTCCAAAATTAAAACTATAATATGACCATCATAATACCATCATCGTGATCATTATCCATCATCGTTATCATCATTTTTTTAATGTATTATTTTACGGCTTGAAAACCTACAGTGGTCGTGGCGCTTCCAACTTCACAAATCTAAAGTTGTTTATGGCAAAAAGACGAGTACAAGTTGGTCCATAATACCATAAACATATAACCAAGTAGCTGCAACTTGGTACTTCATGCTTAGTATTATATACTTAAATATAATTATACTTTTTTTTGTGACGACGAAGAAATTCGATATCAGTAGAAGTTTGAAAATTTTCATGACTTAAACTAGTGCAAGTTACAACACATCTTTCTATGATTCTGTTCTTTTAACTAAAGTTTCCATATTGCTTTTGAAAATTATTAGTTATTTAACAATAGTATATTTCATCAATTACTAAGTTTCTTTACAAATTAATATGGCAAGTTGCTTGCTTATTGTGTGGCCTAGTAGTGCCCACATGCAATGGATTTGGTTTAATAGAACTATATATCATTAGAAGCATGCAAACCATGGAAACAAATTTGTAAAGTCGAGTTACGTATTTGGAATGAATTTCTTGTTATTCATTTAATTTGGCCGAATAGTCTTAGCTTTATGTTCACGAATAGACACACGAAGAGATTCCTTACATGATCTAAAATTAAAATACATCAAACTAGATGATGATCAAACTACAAATATTGTCATTTTGAAACACTAGCCACTTCTTTTTCTTCTAACCAAATATCAAGCCTTTAACCAATAATATTTTGTGCACATCAACGTTTCGTTCATTTAATGAGTAGAAAACTAAAAACAATTTCATATATGAATTTTAAACACGACCAAGATTACTAAAATTACACTTTATGCAAGTGTAAGGACATACATTGCAAAAATGTACATCTCCAACTATTTATATAAAACTGAGAATTTTGGATTATTAACCTTACATGAGACATAATAACATAACCTCTTGAATTGAGCTTTCAGATTCACGTCAGATCATAAAACGTATGTGCAATGTGTTTAGTTTTACTACGTTACTGATCATTGTTAACATTTCCGTTAAACATTTTTACGTCAATTAGTTCAACTCAACCACACTATTTTAATTATATTATTAAATCTATCGTTCTAGAACCTCTTAAAGTTTAAATAATTCTTAAAAATCCCGAAGAAAAGTCTTTTTAAAATCAAAAGAAAGAAAACAAAAACTGGACGAGCCAAAATGTGACCTATGAGAGCTATGATCCGTGTGGTCCTTCAAAGAATAACCAGCGAAATCTGTATAAAGATTATGGAATAAATATATAGGTATCAATAAACTATGAGAAATGTACGAGTATATATAAAATGAAGAGGCTGACAGATCCAGAAAGAGCTAGAAAAGAAACGTGACACATTTGTATTCATTCAAGGAGACAACTAATTAAAAGCTTAACTTTTATTGGTCCATTTGGGAAGCTGGACATGTGTCTATTCCTCTTTTTCTTCATCCTTCGCGACTCTTCTCTTCTTCTCTTTTCTTTTCTATTTTTTTTTTCTTTTAAAATATTTTCTTTGTTTAAGATTTAGGTTCACATAAAAAAATAAAAAATTATACTACTAGAATCCACTGTTCAGCTAACGGCTTGCCCTTTTGTTCAGCTTGACCGACATACCCTAACACTTTTCTTCTTCTTCTTCTTTGGTCTTCGGTCTTCCATAGTGGATTTCTCAAAAGTTAAATTTGCAAAGTGTCAATACTTAATACATGTAATTAGTTTTCTGATTAGTTGTATCAAAATAATCCAGTTTGATTTGATTTTACTTTTTAGTGGTAGAATCACATGTATAATATTTATTAATAAATCAAAATTTTTTACAATGAACAAATTCAACCCGTAATATATTCTATAGAAAATACCTATAAAACCGTTTTTCGATTTCCGGATTTTTTTACCAACATGAATTTAAGATATAATCAATAGTTTTTACGAGATCAAAAAAGTAGATTAATTTTAATTCGATTATAAAAGAATATTACGTATTTAAAAATGAGTATTTGCACTTTATGACAATTAACACGTAATATTCAACAAAAATAACAAACTCAATTCAGTTCATAGAGAACAAAAGTAAATTACCGGCAAAAAAAAAAAACAGAAAGAACACGAGTTAATTAATTATTTTATTTTTGGTAGGAAGAGTTAATTTTGTTTAAAACTATTTTATTTCTTCGATTTAGCTTCTCACGGGACAGATAATTTTTCGCATGAGCGGCTTTATGCGAGAAATGGAAGCCCGCACATGTCCCCAATTCAAAATAGTATAATCTAATGAAATCTGATTAACGCACTAATCGATAATTAAGTTATATAATTAGTCTCATTCTTCGCTTACATTACTTATATAAAACCCTCTCGCATCCCTCACTTAATCCTCCTCACTTGCTCTCTCCTCCATTTCGCTTTCACTCTCGCTCTCTCCCTTGCCCTAGCTCACCTCTTCTCCTGAATCGGCGGCTTTCTCCGACTGTTTTCTGTCGAATTTCAGTGGGATCTCGTGACGAGGAACCGCCATTTTCGAAATTCTTGAGCTAACGCGTCTCTATTAGTTCCGCGGTTAGTCTGATTCCGTGTATCTCTTCTCTTAACCTGTAATTTGATTTGATTTTACAGATATTACATTTTTTTTGTTGATATACGTTTTTGTGATATCCTTTAGAATTCTCTTGTGGTTTGACAAGTGGGACTTAATTTCGCTGAAATGGCTTTGTCAATTGTCATTGATAATAGATCAGCTGCATGAGCTTTAGATTGTAGAATTTCTGAGCTGAGGATCCAATTTTTACTAATGTATGGAATGTTTTGAAGTAGTAATGTATCAAAATTTGGTTTTGCATGTGCAGATTGGTGAGAGCTGCTTTCTCAACCTTTAAATGGATCTGTCTCTCATGTTTTCAGGTTTTGTTTCTCATCTCCTTTATTTGTGTTTGATGCTTTTGCTATTTAATTTTTTGGATCATACTTCCTTTTTGTGTTGTTTTTGGGTATAATTTTTTTCTTAAGATAATAATGCATATTGTTTACATATACATTATCTTATGATCCTTTTCATTCTAGTTTGATTGTGATTATCATTTGTTGATTGTTACTTAGTTAGTCCATATTCCTTTACTTAAGAATTTCGTAATAGTTATGAGCATAAGATAAAAGCAAATAATAGACTCGACTAAATTGATCTAAAGAAAGACATAAAACAAATTAACACTGCTTCTTCACCCACTAACGAGTTTTGAAGTTTGTCTGAGTATGGTCTTTTTTTTTGTTTAACATGGCCTTTTATGTTAAGCATTCACTATTGGCTCTCGAAGAGATGATCTATTTAGAAACTTCTGAAAATTTAAGCGTGGTCTTTAGTTCCTTGTCATTCAACTTTGATTCTTTGTCAAATAAGACTTTCCAAAAAACTATATGATAGGAGAATATGCCCCTTTTAGAGAGCAGTTATAGGATAGTTTCATTTGTGTTCACAGTCTCTACGTGTACAAAAATGCATTTGCACAATGTCTTCAAAGAAGAGAAAGTGAAGAAAACTTGTTTTACCGTGGGGAAATTAAGAATTTTTTTATAAACTAGCAATGCATAAATTTCAGTGCTGTTGCATAAACTAGCAATGCATAAATTTCAGGTTTATATCTGCATAGTTTTGTAATTGCATGCTGTTCGTTGTTTTTAATATGAATATGAATCTGAAAATTCATCTGCCTTTGTTAATGCAGTGGAAAATTGCTACAGTTGACAGAGATAAGGTTCTGACAGTCTAGCTGAGATGCTGAGTATCACCATTTGAAGACTGACAGGTGTACTTGAGTTGTCTCTCATGTCTAGACCATTTGTGAGAAGGGAGTTTTTGTTTGCACCAATACCCCTCAATCTCTAAATTTATTAGAAGTATTATGCTCAATTAAAGAAAATAGCTAGTTCAACATACCACACTACCCTTTTAAAAACTATACTATATGTTAGATGCTAGCATCGAGTAATTTTGTGTTCTCATTGTGCAGCAGGGTTAGTTTCTTGTGTACCTCTAGATATATATTCTCTTGTGCGTAGGGTTCCCAAGCTGCCAAAAACTTTTAAAAATTAGTGATCTGTTAGCTCCATCCAATAAGAAAGGGCTACCTGTAGCTCACAGCTATTAGAGCTGTTCTCGGGTCTTGGTTTTACTGTTTTAGTTACCCCATAAAAATCTGATCCTTCAGAAGTTAGGTATAGAAGTAGGTCGATTAAGTTCATTCATGACTTTTCCAGATGTTGCATACATAACTTTTTCATTTGTATTCTTACTAGTCCCAAGCCGATTCTCGAAATCATTTAAAATCATTTACACCTTGGTCATGGTAGCTAAGAATTTGTATCTTACACTAGCTTTCCTAATAAATAAAAATGGGGAGTGGGGAGGTGTTTGGTTATATTCCCTTCTCATCGATGGTCTAGATGTGCGAGGTGACTCTCATGGAGGTAAAGAAAAATTGTAATTTTGTGAAGAAAAATGGTAATTCCGAAAAAGGTTAGAAGTTTTTTCAGCTTGTTGTATTGCTAGATTTCAAGACCAATTGATCTGCCAATGCAACTTAGGTGATGCTTCCAAATGTACTTGTGTGAGCTTTTTTGGGGGTTTGACTACAACATCCCATTGTTCATACTAATGTAAATGGTGAATGCAGCAGTGATTTTGTTGCAAGGTGAATGAATAGGTTTTGTCTTCGCAAGAACTAAAAGAAGACAGAAGAAACAGGTTGTAAAAGAAAGCCAAAGTGTGTGTTTATGGTAGAAAGAGCAAAGTGGACGAAAGGTGTACCTTTTGACTTGTTGTCACTCATTCTCTCTCCCACTCATCCATTTCATGCTGCATCAGAAAACAACATAAGGAATCGACGTAACGCCAAGCTTTAGGAGTTGCTTGTAAATGAATACATTCCATTACTAACGTAATTCACTAGATTCTGTCTACAAATGAAGTCAATGTATCTATCTATCTACTCTAGCCAATGTATACTCTCTTTTTAAGTACTTTCATAAATATGGATACAATTACGTTTTTTTGTATACATACATGATACATGGATTATATATTAAACAAGTGAGATGCGAGTTAGCGTAAATGATGATATTCTTTTTTATACAATGTGAGTGTGTGACCATGGTTTTCAATTACATGTAGCATCAAAAATTGGATTCACATGAACGCAATTTTAAATGACATTTATTTTCTTTTTACTTTTGTCAACAACATGTAATATAGGGGTTTAAATTCGGTTTGTGACCACTGTTATATGTCCTGTTTTTTTCAATAAACGTTGCCGGGAATATATTTACGGGTACACAAATGTAACTGCTTGCGTGAGAATCCAACAACAAATGGAATAATATGTTGGACTTACCCAAAAAGTAAATTAAAAAGAAGCTCAAAGCTTAAAGATACCACTTGTCCAATCTTGAAGAAGAATCAAAAGATCTCTACAAATTGAAGATGAATCAAACTTATCTACAGATTGTTTCTCTACAAAAGCTTCAACCTCATATCTCTGAAAACACACACACGAAAGAAAGATAGCGAGAGAAAGTGATGTCGAACCAAGATTCTGTTCAGTTGGATGTCCAAGAAAGCCATGTAATATTCCTGTCTCTTATATGCACATAGCTTCATTTATCTGTTTTTGTCAATATATGAATATGGCAAATGCAGGTAGTGATGAGCAATGGTATAGTGAAAGTGACCATATCAAAACCAGATGGTTTTGTCACCGGAATCTCTTACCAGGGCGTCGACAATCTACTAGAAACTCACAATGAAGATTTCAATCGAGGGTACGTAATGTTGAATGTTTTTAAGAACATTATATACATGGATCAGTCTATTCATTACTATTACAACATATGAAATGTTGTGACCAAAACTCAGGTATTGGGACCTTGTTTGGAGCGATGAAGGGGCGCCTGGAACCACAGGGAAATCGGAGAGGCAAGTATTCATCGTTCCATCGAGCATATAAGATATGAAGTCATTATATAATGTTTATAAATTTGGTTGAGGCAGGATCAAAGGTACAAGTTTTGAAGTAGTAGTGGAAAATGAAGAACTGGTAGAGATTTCCTTCTCCAGGAAATGGGATTCTTCTCTCCAAGACAGTATTGCTCCCATTAATGTTGACAAGAGGTATCTCATTTTAATGTAACATGCATTTATGTAATTATATATGTGTGAGAGTAGTGGCAGAGAGTTTGATTTGGATACTGTATAATTCAGGTTCATAATGCGTAAAAAGGCAACTGGATTCTACTCATATGCGATATTCGAGCATCTAGCGGAATGGCCTGCTTTTAACTTGCCTCAGACAAGGATTGTGTACAAGCTTCGTAAAGACAAGTAAATAAAGTTCAGAATCAATATTTCCCTTAAAACTGATATTAGTATACTTATGTGGAAAGAAAAATTGCAGGTTTCAATATATGGCGATTGCTGATAACAGACAGAGGAAAATGCCACTTCCAGAAGATAGATTGGGTAAAAGAGGAAGACCCTTGGCTTATCCTGAAGCTGTTCTTCTTGTTCATCCTGTTGAAGAAGAGTTTAAAGGAGAGGTTGATGACAAGTATGAGTATTCATGCGAGAACAAAGATCTCAAAGTGCATGGATGGATCTCACAGAACTTGGGTTTGGGTTGCTGGCAAATCATTCCTAGCAATGAGTTCAGATCAGGTGGCTTGTCGAAACAGAACCTAACCTCTCATGTTGGTCCCATCAGTCTCGCCGTATGTTTCTTTTCTCTCTTCCTCCTTGAAACATGTTATATTATTTATGAAAATGGGTTCTTACTTAGTGATTGTGTAAACACAGATGTTTATAAGCGCTCACTACGCGGGTGAGGACATGGTGATGAAGGTGAAAGCAGGGGAGTCATGGAAGAAAGTTTTTGGTCCTGTTTTTACTTACCTCAATTGCTTGCCTGACAAGACCTCTGATCCTCTTTTGCTATGGGAAGACGCGAAAACCCAGGTTTATCCATTAACCAACCTTCTACCTTTGGTGCATATTATAAAAACTTATCTAACATTTGTAGGAAGTGGTGTTTAATTAGATGTTAACTGAAGTCCAAAGCTGGCCTTACGATTTCCCTGCTTCAGAAGACTTTGCAGTGTCGGATAAGCGCGGTTGCATCAGCGGTAGATTGCTAGTATGCGACAAGTAAGCCTCACATTCCACCATTTGCTCTGCCTTTCTTCTTTTTATTATCAACCACTCACTGTTGTTTCCTTTGTTTTTTTAATTCCTTCAGATTCCTTAGTGATGAACTTTTACCGGCAAATGGTGCTTTCGTAGGTTTGGCTCCACCAGGAGAGGTTGGATCATGGCAATTAGAATCTAAGGTCAGCCCTGAAAATTATATTCTTAGACCATATAATAATATATATGTAAGCAATGAACTTATGCTTGCATGAATTTGACTTATATACATAGGGATATCAGTTCTGGACAGAAGCAGATGCAGATGGTTATTTCGCGATAAATGATATCCGAGAAGGCGAATATAATCTAAATGCTTATGTGACAGGATGGATTGGAGACTATCAATATGAACAATTGATTAACATTACTGCAGGTTAAATTTCCTTTAACTTACATTGTAATCATCAAGATTATATACTGCTCTGTGTCAAGAAGTGCAAGTTAACTTAACATTTGCTACACTCTGCACCCAAAAACCAGGCTGCGACATTGACGTTGGAAATATCGTGTATGAACCGCCCCGACATGGGCCAACGGTGTGGGAAATAGGGATACCTGATCGGTCTGCAGCTGAGTTCTTTGTTCCAGACCCAAATCCCAAATACATCAACAAACTATATATTGGTCATCCTGATAGGTAATCCATGATTAAAGATATCACAACATTAAGGTTTCAGATTGTTAAAAGCAGTAGAGGCCTAAGTATGATTGTCCTTAAGCAGGTATAGGCAATACGGTCTATGGGAAAGATACACAGAACTATATCCTAAAGAAGATTTGGTGTTCACCATTGGCGTCAGCGATTACACCAAAGATTGGTTCTTTGCACACGTTACCAGGTAACATATATTTCACATATTCTAAGAAGAGTAAAACAAAGAAACCTCACATGTCTTTTGATTATAGGAAAATGGGAGATGACACATATCAAAAAACCACATGGCAAATCAAGTTTAAGCTAGAGAATGTGCAGAAAAACAGCACATACAAAATCCGGATCGCGCTAGCAACTGCAAATGTAGTAGAATTACAAGTGAGGATGAATGATGATGACACTGAAAAGAGTACTCCTCTGTTCACAACGGGTGTAATCGGGCACGATAACGCGATTGCAAGACATGGGATACATGGAATCTATAGGCTTTATAATGTGGATGTACCAAGCGAAAAACTTGTGGAAGGAGACAACACTTTGTTCTTGACACAAACCATGACCACCACTGGAGCCTTCAATGGTCTCATGTACGACTATATCCGCCTTGAAGGACCTCCTTTAGATTCAAACTCTCACTAGGACTTTGTCACATTATTATATACGCAATTTGTATTGGAGGTTACTTTACATACAAATAAATAAAAAACATTAAATGGGCCTTTGTATTGGGCCTTCTTCCAAATCTCAGATATAACTTTATTACAAACGAAAGGGTAAAATCGTAATCTTCCACCGCCCCGATCTATCGCTGCCTATATATACAGTTACCTGCAAAATCTAGGGTATAAAAGCCCCTAATTTTTTCTCCGCCCAAGAGACAAATCCTTCGCAATCGACCAACGGAAGCTCCCGCATCCACCGTCCATTTCTCTTCTAACGTCGCCGGCGATCGGTAAACCGGTTATTCATCCCGTATTCATCTCATATTGAGGTCTTAGATTCATCTAGCTCCTTTTTTTTGGCGTCGAAACTTTCAGATTCCCGATTTGTTATTAGTTGCGAATTTGATTCGACGATTTGATACTCGAATTTGAATCGGCAGATCGTTGGGAAGTAGAGAATGGCGACGTTTGAGCTGTACAGGAGATCGACGATCGGGATGTGTCTGACGGAGACTTTGGACGAGATGGTTCAGAGCGGTACGCTGAGCCCTGAGCTAGCTATCCAAGTCCTTGTTCAGTTTGACAAGGTTTCAATTGAACTATTATTTGACGTCTTGATTCGTTTCTGTGGTTTTTTTTTTTGTTTCTTTCTCTTTTTGATATATGTATGCTTGTATAGTCCATGACTGAAGCTCTGGAGAGCCAAGTGAAGACCAAGGTGTCTATCAAGGTGATTTTCTTAGCTCTGTTGCACTTTTAATCATTTTTGATTAAATTTTCGTGAAATTGTGAATAATAATAGTTAACTGAATTGGGTAGAAGAAAATATCCTGTTTATGTTTGTGAATTGGGTGGAAGACGATTAATAGTTTCTAAGCTATCTTGCTCTAGTTCGGTTATCTTTAGAGTTTCTTCGGAGTCATATGAGTAATTGGTTGTAGCTGAGCCTCAAATAATTTCTTAGTGTTAAAAAGTTCAACTTGATATTAAGCTGTGTAGATTCAGTTATCTGCCTGATAAGGTGCTTACATATTTGCTAGCTCAGGAAATACTAACACTGTCATTTCAAGTTTATAGTTTCATTGGATGCCATATATGAATATTAGGTTGAAGCTTCCCATATGTGATTTCCTAGAGTTAAGTGTTAACTTTAGATTAAGCTGTATGGATTCAGTTATCTGGCTCATAATTAGGAGCTTATATCTGTTTTACCTCAAGAAATACTTGCAATTTCATGAATACTCTCGAGTGTTGTAGTTTAATTGTCTGGATATTCTATGTACTTCTGGAAGCTGACTGATCTATTGTTTTTGGTGTTCTTCACTAATCTGGATAGCCTTGTCTACATTTTTTCTAGCGTTTCTGATGATTGACATTATCTATCTTCTGAACCACTGCGATTAATTTGGCTTGTTTAAAAATACTGTTTTCATAGCCATATAGTTAAGTCTGTTTTCAGCACACTCAATAGCAAATGTGGTGCAAAACCAAGAATTATTCTTTGTTCCGACGACAATTTTTCTCATATCTGGGTCTCAAAATAAGAGAAAACTTTGGCAGATGAACAATCAGATACTTAATCTCGTTTCTTATTTATCATTTCTCGTACAGGGGCACCTGCACACTTACAGGTTCTGTGACAACGTCTGGACCTTCATATTACAGGACGCAATGTTCAAGTGTGACGATCGTCAAGAGAATGTGAGCCGGGTGAAGATAGTGGCATGTGATTCTAAGCTGCTCACACAGTGAGATGCAAATTCTCAGCAGGGAATATGCTTTCCTTTGTAATAGATTTTGAGTTTTTTTACACTTTGTAAACTCAGCACTTCTATATGTTGAGCTCCATCTGCAGCCATCAATTTAGCCTATATGTAAATTCTCGGCCCGAGGACATAATGAGACATTCTGTTGCTATGAGAAAGTTCTTAAGATTCATCTTGAGTTCTTATGATCTTTATCTGTAAAATTCCGAATCACTTGATATATATTTGGACATAACTTTGTCTCAATGGAACTGATTGGTGTCAAAGCCATTGTTTAATCTTGTCTCACTACACTCTCCTCTTTTTTTTTGGTGTGAAGAGGAGACAACTGATTGGAATCAAATGTATGCATGTCTTTTTGCCTTTTCAGATGTCTTACTTCACCAAAGCAGAAGAGAATATGATTCCTGCAAGTTTCTTTCTGTGAGGGTTCCTGTATGATTCTGTAACTTTGAAGCATAGCGGTTGATGTCCCTTTTTCTCTCTTCTGTTTCAAAGCCACACGGCACTTTTGGCACCTTTATGTGGTCGTGTGAGAGCCAAGTATATAGAATCCTTTGGTTTATAATGGAACAGAGTCTTTGCTTTTCTCAGGTTCTCTCTTATGCTGTACCTATAATTGATGCTGTTTACAAGAAGTTTTTTTTGATGCAGGAAACTACCTGTGTATAATTTTGAAGAGCTTCTGTAGATTTGCTACGTGAAGATAGCTAAAAGTGGAACAAGGTAAACTTATGGAAAAAGTTGGCTGGTCTATTAGTTTGTTTTTAGTGTCGTTTTTTGATGTGTTATTATTAATAAAGAAGGCATGTCAATAGGAATGCGTTATACAGTAAATAGTGATGCTGTTCCAAGAAGACAGTAATGATCAGTGGTCCATCAACTAGAACTTTAATTTTTCTTGGCACTATCTGAGATCATTCATAAGTTTAGTTAAGGCTCACTTGTTACCTCTTCTTTATGAATAGCTGCCATGGCAACCTCTAAAGCCCAACAATTCCAGCTAATTGAAGGGATGGAGCTTCAGGTCTGTTCTTTCTTCTGTCCTTCTGGAATTTACAATATCAGATTCTGGACTTAAATCTCCGTATCGATATTAGATCACTGTCACTGGGTTACCGAATGGGAGCAGTGTGAGAGCTGAGTTTCACCTTAAGAACTGCACTCGCACATGGATTCTTCATTGGGGTTGTATTTACCAAGGAAATAAGTGAGTGATGGATGATCTTTAAGATAGAATTTACATGGAAAATATCTGTATGTTTTGACTTATGTTATCTACAGCAACTGGTTTGTCCCATCTGAACATTTCTCGAAGCAAGGTGCATTGCAGACTCCCTTTGTGAAGGTCTACATAACCCTTACATTTCTTGTTTATCTACAAAGTTTTTCTAGAATCCCAATATTTTTCTGCAAAGTGTTTCTTCTCAGTGCAGAGTGGGAATGCTTATGTAGTGATCCTTGAGTTGCGTGATCCAAGAGTACGTGCCATTGAATTTGTTTTGAAAGATGGTAGTCACAACAGATGGTGCGCATTTCTCTCTTTTCTATAACTGATTCATGCTTGGTGACTTGTGAGGAATGAACGGGCTGCAATTCACGTCTCTACCTTGTTGCCTAATGGAAATTGTAGGTTGAAACAGCATAATGGAAACTTCCGTGTTGAGATTCCCTGGAATGATCTGCATGTTCATCATCAGATACCGAAGAATCTGATAGAAAGAAGAGCACATAAGATATGGGACCGGAAGGGCCGACCACAAAGCTCTGCACATGAACAAGAGGTAAACTTGGTCCATTTAGTATCTGCTGATTTTTATTTAGCAAGTCTTTGCTTGCTTTAATGTGTAGCTCCTGCTTTATAATAGCTCATCTCTGTTTTTATGAGTTGTGAAGGCGGTGCTGTCTCTCTTTTTTTGCATGTGTGTCATTTCAGATAGACTATGACAATGCAGTAAGAGAGCTCCAAATCGAGCTCGCTAGAGGAATATCTTTAGACGACCTTCAGGCTAACTCTACAGTACCAGTGGAGAAAGAAGTAACCAATGAGCCACATCAAACTATGAACAACCAATCATATCGTCGTAAGCATGATGTTCAGAAATGGTTACAGAAATATGCCGAACCAATCAACAGAAATGGAAGTGTTCAAAGTTCAACTCTTGTTGAACTCTCCAAGAGATCTGTAGGGCAAGAAAATGTAATTTCACAAAAAAGCTTTCATGTCAGAAACTACGAAATCACGGTTTGTAATACAATTGCTCATACAGTCATTTTTATTATTGGTAGTTTTCAATAACTTCTAGATAGCTTATGGTTTATATAATTTGTTTATTAGGTCCTCCAGAGGAATGTTAATGGAGATTGTCGCTTATGGGTTGCCACAAACATGGCAGGTCCAACAGTTCTCCATTGGGGAGTTGCAAAGTCATCTGCAGGAGAGTGGTTGGTAAGATGTTCTTGCTTCTGTAGATATTCCTTATCAGAATCTTCTCAATAAGAGCCTGATTTTTATGACTCTAAAATAGATTCCACCACCTGATGTGTTACCTGAGAAATCAAAATTTGTTCACGGAGCATGTCAAACACATTTTACCGATATGTCGAGCAGAGAACACTCTTATCAGGTGAAGCACGCAGTGAATATATTTACAGAGATTAGTACTTTTACCCTAATATTATAAAGGACTATACTAGATTAATGATAGAAATGTAATCTTAATTTACTAACGCATCTAATGTTTTTAACATTGGAAAAGTTTATTGATATAAATTTAAAACGAGGCGGTTTTGTTGGTATCCAATTCGTAATATGGTCTGGAGGCTACTGGTTAAACAATAATGGAACCAACTTCATTGTAAACCTGAAATCAGCAGACAGTACGAGCAGTGATAAGGTGAGTAAACTTCATCGCACCATCAGTGGAATGATAATGTTGGAATTCTCTTATAACTAAGGTGAGTTCAAGTTTAAACATTTTTATTCTCCTCAGCTTGACGTGGATGAAAAGTATATTCTCAAATGGTTGCTTGATGAAATATCTGAGCGAGAGATAGAGGCTGAGAGATCATTGATGCACAGGTAAGTCAAAAGTATCTAGAATCGTTAAGTGAATGAATCTGTATAACCTGATTTTTCTTCTTAGTAATGTCAGTGAAGTTTCTTATAAGCATAACTTGGCAGGTTCAACATTGCAACAGAGTTGACCGATCGTTGTAAGGATGAAGGAGAAGGTGGATGTATTGGTATAATGGTGTGGATGAGATTCATGGCCACTAGACATCTCACCTGGAATAAGAACTATAACGTGAAACCTCGGTAGAGCTATTGTTCCATAGGCTACTTTTGATAGTTGATCCTTTTTCTTCTTTCTTTTGATCAGACCTTATATGCCTTAAGTCCTTTTCCGCAGGGAAATTAGTGAAGCGCTAGAAAGATTCACCAATTTGATGGAGAAAATATATTTGCAGAAACCAAACAAGAGAGAAATTGTGAGACTAACTATGGCACTTGTGGGTCGTGGAGGTCAAGGTGATGTTGGGCAGAGAATCCGTGACGAAATCCTTGTTATTCAGGTATATAGTACAACATGTCTGCAGCTAAAACTTTTCCTAGTCTTGTTACAGTAGTTTATTTTTACTTTTTTTTTTCCCTGTGTTTAACATTTTCTTGTCTTTATTATCTTTTGTTAGAGAAATAACCACTGCAAATCCGGCATGATGGAAGAGTGGCACCAAAAGTTGCACAACAACAGTAGCGCAGATGATGTGATAATTTGTGAGGTAAAGATACTTCCATTTGGAGTAAGATACTCACATTGAGATTGGTAAAACTCGCTACTTATTAAAAAGCAACTAACTAGCTAGTTCAGAAGTTTAGTTTGCTGTTATAAATATCAGCCCTTTTTTCCCAGGATTACATACCTGGAAAATCTCTGATGAGTTTTATTCTTCTGCCATAGGCTCTCTTAAACTATGTGAGATCTGACTTCAGGATCGATTCCTACTGGCATACACTAAAGACTAATGGTCTCACAAAAGAAAGGCTTGCAAGTTATGACCGCCCCATAGTATCAGAGCCTCGTTTCAGAAGTGATGCTAAAGAAGGACTCATCCGTGACCTTACAATGTACTTGAAAACATTAAAGGTATTTCTAATAACAATCGCATCCCTAGTTTCTGCTACCACCTGCAGCCTAGTTTCGTTTCTTGATCCATTGAAGAAATCTTAGGAGAGAACTGTAATGGTTAATTAGCTTAGTAATTAAACCCAACACTGTTTGTCGTGATGAGCATATTTATACCTCTGGCCTCTATTAGATGATGATTGCTTTGCAGTTTGGACTCATAGTATCAGGAACATACACATTACACAACAATCTTTAGCTCCATTCTCGATTTTCAGTATCTTGAATTTCTAAACAAACTGTTTGTACCTGCCTTTGTAGACAGTTCATTCAGGTGCAGACCTTGAGTCTGCTATTGATACGTTCCTTTCTCCATCTAAGGTAATTAGTTCATGATTCAAATTTCAAACCGTCGCTTTGATTTTTCTGGGACACATTTCATCAAGAACGTTATATCTATGTTAAGAGTAATACCTCATCCTTTCATTTCCTTTTTCAGGGTCATCATGTCTTTGCTGTCAATGGTTTATCACCAAAATTGCAGGTTCAATTTCCTCATACCATCTTTCCAATAAGATATTTTTTTATATTATTATTCATTATAAAGACATCAGAAAGCCTAACAGAGCGGCCATTTCCATTGTATGGTAGGATCTACTGAATTTAGTTAAGAGACTTGTTCGTGAAGAGAACACTGAGCCCCTAATAGAGGTTCTAACAGCACATCTTCTTCACATTGCCAGTATTCTTCTTCTTCTTATTGTTGATTTATTTTATCCTTATGATTGCTTTGTTTTTATGTACTTGAGTAGAAGTTAGTTGATGCTCGCATTCAGTTACACCCTGCACTACGAGCACCTCGTACGAGGGCAAAAGATTTACTATTTCTGGACATTGCGTTGGAGTCGTGTTTTAAAACAACAATAGAGAAGAGACTCATCTCTTTAAACTTTAATAATCCACCGGTATCTATTATCTCTGTAGTTTAAAATTATTTACTTTCCTTTTTATCCAAATAGTAGTCTTTACACTAAAGAGTAAGGTATGGATTAATCTGCTTTCTCATTCTTTGGAACAGGAAATTATATTTGTCATCTGCGTGGTGCTTGAGAATCTGTGCTTATCTACAGTTAACAATGAAGAAATCATCTTCTGTACAAAGGCATGTTATTTCTTCTCATTATTTTCCCTTCGTTTCTCTTTCAAATTTTGACTCTCAATGTTCTTGTATGAATATTAAATGTTATTCTCTTTTGCTTCCAGGATTGGTACCGTGTCAGCGAGGCTTACAAACCTCATGATGTTCAGTGGGCATTGCAAACAAAAGCGGTTCTTGACCGTTTACAACTAGTACTTGCTGATAGATGTCAGCATTATTTTACATTAATACAGCCTTCTGCAAAATATCTTGGTCAACTGTTACGTATTGACAAGCATGGGGTACTTTGCAGTTAAACTACAACTTCTTCTTTGTGTAAGAAAGTCTAAAAGTTGATATATTATCCATCTGGGTTTTTTGTTTATTTTTCAGATTGATGTTTTCACTGAAGAGGTTATAAGATCAGGGCCAGGAGCCGTTCTATCAACTCTTATAAACAGATTTGATCCTTCTCTCAGGAAAATCGCGAATTTAGGCTGGTAAGATATGTTTTACCATGAATTTGTACTAAAGAACTACATTTAGATTTGTTTCATGTAGAAGATGATTACTGAACCCTTTATCATATTTTTTCTCTAAACCAAAATGGTTCTGGTTGAGAAGTTGGCAGGTTATCAGCTTGGCTGATGCATATGGGTTTTTGGTTTGTGTCAATGAGTTAATTGTTGTTCAGAATAAAGTCTACTCGAAGCCAACTGTAATTATTGCAAGTAAAGTCACAGGAGAAGAGGAGGTCCCTGCTGGTGTTGTAGCTGTGCTGACTCCTAGTATGATTGATGTCTTGTCTCATGTCTCTATTAGAGCAAGAAACAGCAAGGCATGTACTATTTTCTGCTCCAATATATACCATCAGACAATGCTGCAAAAATAAGAACCAGGATCTTTACATTATATCAGGGAACTCATATGTCTCTTCTCATCTTAAGTTCTTCTGATGCAGATATGCTTTGCGACATGCTTCGATCAGAATGTTCTCAGCAATCTGAAGTCAAAGGAAGGGAGAGCAATATCTATTCATACAAAGTCTACTGGTTTAGTTATCAGGTAACCAAACTCTTATGTTGTCACTGTTCTTTACACTAAGAGAAGAATTTGTTAATAACTCTGAAATTATATCACTTGCAGTGATGGCAACAACTCTGATGTCTACGTTCGTCATGTTTATATTTCCTCTGTTCCACGGGGAGTGATCTCCAAGGGGAAGAAGTTTTGTGGCCACTATGTGATTTCATCTAAGGAATTTACCGATGAAAGGGTAAGTAAAAATCAGATTCTTGGAGATAAAAAGTTTTCATTTTGAGAATACCATTGGGATTTTCATTTCTATGAGATTTTTAGGTCGGTTCAAAATCATACAATATCAAATTTCTACGAGAAAGAGTTCCATCATGGATCAAGATACCTACCTCAGCTGCTCTTCCATTCGGAACATTTGAGAATGTACTCTCAGATGATTCCAACAAGGTATAAGCTTAAATATTGCCTTATGATTTTCTTTCTGGAACTCTCTAAAAGTAATCCAAGGAACAGCTTCTCATTGAGCTTACGATCAAGAAGTCTCTTGAATATTTTTGGTGGATCTATCGCTTTTCAGGATGTAGCACGCAGGATTTCTACCCTTAAAGATTCTCTTAACAGAGGAGACCTGACAAAACTTAAGGCGATTCAAGAAGCTATATTACAAATGTGTGCTCCAATGGCTCTGGTAATAACTGGGCATATAGGTTGTCTTTCTCTCTGCTCATGTTTTCTTTGAATCTCATGTTGGATTTTGAACTCTTTGGTAGAGAAATGAACTGATGACAAAATTGAGAAGTGAAAGAATGCCTTATCTTGGTGATGAATCAGGCTGGAACCAATCCTGGGTGGCAATTAAGAAGGTAAGAATCTATTTGAAGGTTTGTGTATTAAGTAGAATTAAAGGAACTAAGTGCTTCCCTGATCTCCACATCTGCATAGGTCTGGGCTTCAAAGTGGAACAAGAGAGCTTATGTCAGTTGCAAAAAAACTAAGCTTGATCATGATGAGGTCTGCATGGCGGTGCTGATTCAAGAAGTCATATGTGGCGATTATGCTTTCGTCATTCACACAAACAATCCGATCTCTGGTGACTCTTCAGAAATATACACAGAGGTAAAAGAACTATCTCCATTTTCTGCATTTTTGAGTTTAAATATTCAATAACGCAGTTATCAAGAAAATGCCTTTCTCAGATTGTGAAGGGTTTGGGAGAGACCTTGGTTGGAGCATATCCTGGACGAGCAATGAGCTTCATCACCAAGAAAACAAACCTCAGATCTCCAACGGTAAGAAACAAACAGATTGTAATCGTCTCTTAATTTGAGTTATGAGTGAGTGGGAATTTGGGGTGTACAGGTGATCAGTTACCCAAGTAAGAGGATAGGTCTCTATTCTAAACCCTCAATCATATTCCGGTCAGATTCAAACAACGAGGATCTCGAGGGAAATGCAGGCGCTGGACTTTACGACAGGTTCGTTTTGTGTGTTTCTCTGTTTTTGTCATTTTTTTGGGAACTCGGAAGCTGAAAGGGTTAAGTTTTGCAGTGTGATAATGGATGAAGCAGAGGAAGTAGTGGTGGATTACTCAAGAGAACCACTAATAATGGACAAATCCTATCAAGTGCGTCTGTTCTCAGCGATTGCAGAAGCTGGAAATGTGATAGAGACACTCTATGGTTGTCCTCAAGACATTGAAGGTGTTGTCAAAGGTGGACATATCTACATCGTCCAAGCTAGACCCCAAGTTTAAGCTCTCTCTCCTGCTATTTCTACCATTCCCTAAGTTTTCAAACAAATCTTATAATTACAAGGTAAGCTGTTATATCTCTAAATCATGGCACACTCCTGATACAAACATGATTCATAATAATATGTTCAAAACCACGATTGTGTGGGTGGGTTCTATGTATGTAAACATGTGATAAAAATCCAAAACTCGTTTAAACAACATCGTATGAAGAAAGGATATAAAACGCTGTCGTATAAGCGAAGAAGGATATAAAAACAGACGCCGAGAAAGTCCCGCTAATGGATACCGTTCTCATGGCTACAACACAACCAATCAGATATCTTCATGCTTCGATTCCTACTACGGTATCTCGTTCGCCGGCGATTTATCAGATCAGCTGCCGTAGCTCAAGACTGTTGTCCTACCGATCGACGACTATGAGCACGTGTTTTCTCAGACGGTCCGATTTGAGATCTCGCTTCCTTAATACTACTTTTCCGATGAGACATGGCTTTTCCGTCAGTGCTTCGACAGAGCAGTCTTCAATTCCTTCTAATCGGAACCTTATTGTGGTTAACTCCGTCGTCATCGTAGCCTTAGCTGTAGCTAATCGCGTACTCTATAAACTCGCCTTGGTTCCCATGAAACAGTACCCTTTTTTCATGGCTCAGCTCACCACTTTCGGGTAACCTAAACGATGTGTGGCTATGACAAAAATTAGGTGGTGAAGGAGCTCTTAGCTTATAAGAATTGAATGGTTTTTGGCAGCTACGTCTTGATTTATTTCACCATTCTGTATACGAGGCGCCGTCTAGGCATTGTGACGAATGAAATGATGGATGTACCCAAATGGAGATTCGCAATCATTGGGTTTCTTGAAGCTATTGGAGTTGCCACGCTGCAGCAGGTATCCATTTATACTCATGATGTTAACTTTACATATTTGTAAGGTTACATATGAAAGTGATTCCACTCTCTGTTGCAGCCATGCTTCCTGGACCAGTTATACCCATTTTGAATCAGGTCTTTTGGTTTTAATGATTATCCTCTTCCTCATTTATTCTTATTGTGTTGTTGAACTCATGCCTCCCAATGTTTGGCAGACATTTTTGGTGTGGCAGCTGCTTTTTGCTCTTCTTATTTTGGGCAAGAGGTTTTTGCTTAACCAAATTGCTGGTTGTCTCCTTGTGGCTGTGGGGGTTGTGGTGGCTGTTTCAAGGTAGTCATTCCCTCTTCTCTTCTTCCAAATTTACTTTTATCTTCTTGAATCTGGATGCTTGATCTTGGGGTAGAGAAATTTGTGTGTATCTGTAGTCATTTACAAGTGCTTTCAGCTCTTACAATCTAGAAAACTAGTTTTCATGGACCAGAGTCACCTCTATCAAACTACTATGCTAAATGAACGGAGACGGCTCTACTTAAGTATTTATCATCCACATAGCAGATAGAAGGCCCTGATTCTAGAGAAGCATGTGTGATAGTGTTACTTTCATTTCCGTGAATGCTGACTATAACTCATCTGCAGTGGATCTGGTGCAGATACTACGCTATCTGGTATTGGCTTCTTATGGCCTGCTGTATTGGTAGCATCTGCTGCTTTTCAAGCTGGTGCATCTATCATAAAGGTGAAGGTCGCTCTCTCTTATGAGTTGTGAACATTTCTATTTTATTTTCTTTTGCCCAACACCCAAGTTGTTAAGTGTTTTGTCTGTTAACAGGAATTTGTTTTCAATGATGCTGCAAAGCGTCTTGAGGTATCTCCCTTATCCCCTGCATCAAAATGGAATGTGTTTCTTTCGAAACTTTTCTGAACTCTAGGCATAACTCGCTGATGCAGGGAAAGTCACTGGATATATTTGTGGTAAATTCATTTGGATCTGGATTTCAGGTATCTACTACAATATCATGATGTAAATGTATTTGTCCCTGCCAAAACAATCCATATAATAGGGTTTTCCACGTAGACATGGTTATCCATTACCTGAAGAGTCTGTGCAGAAAACATTTGAAAGCTGCTTTCCTCTGTCATTCACTTATTCTCTCTTTCCTACTTGTAAAGAGTTTTTGTTATTTGGTTTAGTGTTACGGATCACTGAAATTGTGTTTGCGCAGGCTCTTTTTGTGTTCCTGTTGTTGCCTTTTCTCTCAAACTTGAAAGGCATTCCATTTGCCAGCCTTCCTTCGTATCTAAAAGATGGTGCCGGCTGCTTCTTCAATACTGGAGCGAAGATTTCTGGTTAGAGACCATTCGACACTTGTTTTGTCTCTTCATTATATCTATTCACTGCAAAAACTGTTTGTGATCCATTTGAGCATTTCAGGCTGTGATGGTGCCCCTATACTCCCACTACTCTATATAGCCACCAATCTAGCTTTCAACATCTCATTGCTCCATCTAGTGAAAATATCTACAGCAATCGTTTCCTCTCTCGCTGTGATGCTCTCAGGTCCATTTTTCCATCCTTTCATGCGCAAAGTCTCTTAAGTGACACCACATATCTTAAACCCACATGACTACATGAGTTTAATTACGAGATACTTTTGGTGTTGTTGTAGTGCCATTATCGGTGTACATAATGTCAAAACCATTGCCGTATCTACCGGGAGGATCAAGTTTGAGCTCAAATTTCACGATGGGGTGTATAGTTCTGGTCCTAGGTCTTCTTCTCTACAACATTCCCACTACTCCAACTAAATAACACACCAAGACCTCCTAACACTCTCTCTCTCCATTTATTCTTTTCGTGCATGCTTTTTTTTTTGTTGATAAACCAAACTGACATATAAACGGGTTCGTGTAATTTCCGAATATTTTTCCATATCCTTTGACCATTAAAGATACATAGAATATTCTTAGATATTTTTTTAAACGTGAAAGCTAGCCTAATGAAAAAAAAAAAAGGAAATTTCACAATTTTTTGTAAGAATAAAAAAGAAAAAAGAAGGGGAGAAATTTGTGATTGGTTAAAAATCCAGTTAAGTGGAGTCGTCGGGTCGTCTCGGAAGAAGTGCTGCGATTTTACCTAAAGTCACCTTTTTTTTTACCGTCGGGTGAATTCGACGACGGTTCTAATCTCCCCTCCTCCACACGCGCCGACCACCATCTCTCTCTCTGTAATTGCTCTTCTCGATGTCAACTATTTCCTTCTTCCTTTGCTCTTAGGGTTAGGTTTTTTTTTTTCTCTATCTCCTTCAATCAATGTGAAAAAGGCTCTCCTTTTTGGCAGTTTCCGATGTTTGGTCGCCATTCACAATCGGTGATTATCCCCAATAACCAGATTGGTACCACCTCTGCTTCCGCTGGTGAAGACCATGTCTCTGCCTCCGCAACGTCTGGTCACATTCCTTACGACGATATGGATGAAATCCCTCATCCTGACTCCATCTATGGTGCTGCCTCCGATTTGATTCCCGATGGCTCTCAATTGGTTGCTCACCGTTCCGATGGCTCTGAATTACTAGTTTCTCGGCCACCGGAAGGGGCTAATCAGCTCACGATCTCGTTCCGTGGACAAGTTTACGTTTTTGATGCTGTTGGTCCTGACAAGGTAATTCCACTTTTTGCTGTTTCTGTGAAGTCTCATGGAATGCATCTGATGGCTTAGGGCACGTAAAAATTGCCTCTTTTTGCAAGTGAATGCACAATTCTGGGCACTTTTTTGCTTCACCTAGTCTTACCAAACTTTTGGAAATCGATTTCCTAGGTGGATGCTGTGTTGTCGCTGTTGGGTGGTTCTACTGAGCTTGCTCCTGGTCCGCAGGTGATGGAACTTGCTCAGCAGAATCATATGGTAACTTTGTTATTTGTGCTCAAATTCTGCTTAAATCATCTCGATTCCACCTTTGTCATTTTGGTGTTATTTTTAGCCTGTTGTAGAATACCAGAACCGCTGTAACCTTCCGCAACGGGCACAATCCTTGGATAGGTTTCGGAAGAAGAGGAATTCTAGATGTTTCGAGAAGAAAGTAAGATACGGTGTTCGCCAAGAAGTGGCCTTAAGGTCAGTGTATCATCAGTCTTGAGTTTTACCAATTTATGCCAAAAGCTGTTACAATCCCAAATTAGTTAGCAGAAGATTTTAACCAGTTTCTTAGGCCTATGGAACCATTAGTATTGAGCTAGCTTTTGTTAAGTTGGATCTTAACAAAATCCATGAGTAGTTAGTTTTGTAAATGTCACATCTGGCAGGAAAATGGATTATGTGATGGTTACTCTTTGAAGAGGCTGGACATATTTCTTCCACATTTCCTGGGATCAAAAACATTGTAATCTTATATAGCTAAGCTAGAAATTTACTTCTCTTTTGGCTATGCTCTGGTTTGTTAAAAACTTCTTCATTTTTGTGTGCTACGGATTGAAAGAAAGTATTGCTCATATTCAACTAGTTTATTATCTTCCTACTTTTCTTATATTTGTTTCAATAAGTTTGGTGACCATGTAGGTGCTTATGTAGTGACTCAGGCTTAGTGTCCATGACTTGCTATAGTATATGAGTATATGTTTGTAGTTGAGTAGGATATATCTGAGTCTTGGTTAGTGTGATAATTAGCTTTAACTGGGAATAATCGATATGTCTATTTCATCTACAAGGGATAGGATTTGTCACCATTTCTGCCTCTCTGACCTTTGTTAATCTTTACCAGAATGGCACGTAATAAAGGTCAATTCACCTCTTCAAAGATGTCAGATGGGGCTTATAACTCGGGCACAGATCAAGAATCTGCCCAAGATGATGGCCATCCAGAAATATCGTGCGTTCTTTCTCTGCTGCCAGTTGACTATTCCTGCAATTTGTGTTTTGCACTAATGTGTGAAAAAAAAAAATTTGTTCTTATTTTAAACGTGAGTGTGTCTTATGTAGGTGTACTCATTGTGGCATTAGTTCCAAATGTACACCAATGATGCGACGTGGCCCTTCCGGCCCCAGGACTCTCTGCAATGCCTGTGGACTTTTTTGGGCTAACAGGGTGCGTATGGATATCCACAAATTGATATAAATACATCACCTACTCATTCTATTTCCACATATATTATATTTTCACTATGCTCAGGTGATAAGAAACTGATATAGCCAATATGTTTGACATTTAGAATTGTTCAATTCTTGTAGGGTACATTGAGGGATCTCTCAAAGAAAACAGAAGAGAATCAGTTGGCTTTAATAAAACCGGTAAGCTCTTATAATTTTCACCCTGTGTTTCTGATTGGCTTACACACATAAGGCAGAGCTTGATTCATCATCGCTTATTGTAGGACGAGGGTGTGAGTGTTGCTGATGCTGCTAACAACTTAAACTCTGAAGCTGCAACTGTTGAAGAACACACTTCCATGGTTTCTCTTGCCAATGGGGACAATTCTCATCTCTTAGGTGATCGCTAAATACTGTGATAAGATTCAGAAGTTAGAAAATCCTTGTAGAATCAGTTGGTCATCTCTATGAACTTATCTTTTCACCATCACATGTATTATAGAAACCATAACCGAACCTCAAATCAAATACCATATCAGATTTCTTTGGTTTCAGAGTTTGTTAATTGGAATAGTGTTGTTACTTTGCTTGGAACCAATTAACCATTGACAATGGTGTGGTTAAACGGTAAAGTCGATTCTGAGGATGAAAAAAAAAAGCTTACTTATTGCGTTGCATCCGCAAAAGATTTGATCAGATAGAAGAGACGTATTGATTTGTCTAGTGCATCCACCTATCTACTCAACACTTTAAGGCTGTTTACTTCTTCTTTTTTGGTTGTATTGCCCAACGAACACTACGCTTCGAAATAACTACTTATTAGAAGTGACAGTTTTGTTTCCCGTTACTAAATATCCGAAAACATTTTAAAGTTGTGTTCGAATGGGACAATGCATCTTAGATCTCACAATCCTAGTTTACAAGATTATTTTATAGGATGATACGCATATCATATACCAAAACCATGTGGATTACCAAAACCATGTGGATTACCAAATCCGGCTCGGGACCACAAAATAGATAAGATTATTTATTAATCACATTATTGTGTACATAACAATAGAATACATATATAAATCACACAAAAATGTATCGAAGAAAGAGGACCATCGAACCAGTTTGATGATAATCAACGAAGAGTCGAAGATAATGTTTTTTTCCTGTCAAAAATATAGATACAATAGTTTATGAAGGAATTTATGATGAGATTATTCGAGAAGGTGTCGCTTTAAGTGACTCGATGCTCGTGACGACTCGTTGCTCTTTCTTTATTTTAGTTTGTTCAAACAAATTAAAAGTATCTGAGACGAATAAATTAATGGGTGGTCTGTTTCTGTACTAAAAAGAAGTCCATGCATGTACCATATCATCCTATTATGTATTAAATTAATAAATAGTCTATAATAATTATGTTATTTTGCAATTGAAATTAGTGTATGAGTCACGAGTTAAATCTGAAGGCTTCACCAAACCTAAATCTAAAGGTATCAAAACAGCTAAAACACTCTTGTGATATCATCCCTGTATTATTATTATTGTGGGATTGCTTTTGTTGTGCTAGCTTTTCACAACTTCAAGTTTCGTTTTAATAAAAATGAAAACATTTGAACGCAGATATAGAAACAAAACAATGATACATTTCTCGTGTTTGAGCACTAACGGAAACCTTTTTAGACATTAATATATAGAGTCTGGTGGTGGGATGATAACTTTGTAAGAAATTAAGGAGAATTTAAAAGCGCTCACATAGAAGCGAAATTTGGTTTCATGCGATAAAAGCAAGTGAAGATCACTTGTTGTTGGTCAAAAAAAAAAAGATCACTTGTTAGTTCTTTATGTTCCGTTTCCACAAAATCAGTGGATATGCATTAGTTTTTATCTTCTTTCAGTTCTTTGTGTGCGTGGGTCGTATCTAGGAGACAAATAAAATATGGGAGATTTACTCAGATGTTATACATTTTATATGAAATTACCAGAAACATACAGATCTTTTTTTTATTACTATCATATTTCGGGTATATTTTTTATACCCAGCGTGCCCCTGTTAAACGTTACAGGAAAAAACGTAATTACAAAGAATGCCACTGCCATGTCAGCAAAGCCGCGTCGCCACGTCAGAAATCGCTGACGTGTATTAATGAACTCAGCCGTCGAGCGATATAGCGGCAGTGACGGCTGAGTTACGGTATGTTGCGGCTGATTTAAGAAAAATGGCTGAATTATGAGCAAACGACTGACTTACGAGTATAACCCAGCCTGGAGTTACGGCTGACTTACTGAAATCTGTCTGAGTTATGATAAAATGGCTGACTTTCGAGCATAACCCAGCCTAAGTTACGGCTGAGTTTTCACCCGATGGTTGATTTGTCAAATTTTTGGCTGAGTTATTGCTTCGACACGGCTGACTTAACTTTCTCCGGCTGGCTGAGTTATCAAAGACGGCTTAGTTATGGGATGACGTTACGGCTGATTTATGTTCGAGTATCATAAATCAGCCGTAATGAGCTGGATTAACGGAAAACTCGGCCTTATTATGGCTGACTTAGTAGCGAAAGATTAATTACTAGAATAGCATGCAATGACGGCCGACTTATTAAACGACACGACTGAGTTAAATATTTTTGGTTGAGTTACGACAGTAAACGGCTGAATTTGGCTGCCGTTTTTTCGTTTTTTAATTACTGTAATAGTATTCATGTTGCGGCTGAGTTAAAGTTTTGTTTGATGGCTGGTTTAATTAAGCTGATTTACATTTTTGTTTGGTGGCTTACTTGCCACTTCATCAATTAAAAAATGACGTGGATGCAACATTCCATGTCATCATTCCATGTCATCATCATCAAAGGACAAAAAAAAGGGCCAAATTTTTTCAACTCGTCTTCTTCACCTGAGTTTATCACATCACCGGAACTTCCAATTCCTCATCGTCTTCCTCATTCTTCTTCAATTTCTTTCATCCTTCTCCCGATATGGTTGATCCGGTTCCGGTAATTGGGTATAAAAACACAAATACGTATTTAACACCGATGAAAGAGGGTGTAGAGTTGTGCAGATAGATGCGAAAACAACGCACGAAAAACTTGTGAAGTTGGTGCTCGATGATAAAGTTAGAGGAAATGTTGCGTCTCTTATTGTTTCGCTGCAAATTTACATGTAACGGCTGAGTTATATGCTTAAGGGAAGACGAAAGGTTCGGTCAATTTACATGTCACGGCTGAGTTATATGTTCCAGGGAAGACGAAAGGTTCGGTAAAATTACATTACGGCTGAGTTATATGCTTAAGGAAAGACGAAAAGTTCGGTCAATTTACATGTCACAGCTGAGTTATATGTTCCAGGGAAGACGAAAGGTTCGGTAAAATTACATTACGGCTGAGTTATATGTTTAAGGGAAGACGAAAGGTTCGGTAAATTTACATGTCACGGCTGAGTTATATTCTCCAGGGAAGACGATAGATGGGTGTAAATTATATGTTACGGGTGAGTTATATGCTTCAGGGAAGACGAAAGGTTCGGTAAATTACATGTCACGGCTGAGTTATCATTCAGGGAAGACGAAAGGTTGTGTAAATTATATGTTACGGCTGAGTTACATCACGTTACGGCTGAGTTACATCACTTTACGGCTGATTTATAATACAGATCGGAAAGCAACATTTTTTTGGAGAAGACAATATGAAATTTATTGGTCAAATAACAACAATCAAATTAAGATTCGTAAAAATATGTTTGAGGGATACATAGGAGGAAGACTAAACCGTATGAATCAAAACATAGATAGAAGTAGAAATGTCTCCAAATAGATCGATTGAGAGGAAGATTAAACGAGAGACATGTAAAATCAAAGTAAAAGAGTAGCTATTCTTGATTTCAACTCAAACCTGTAACGAATCATGTAGAATTCCATAGATCTCTTTGTTTTGGGTTTTGATTTTTGATGACTTTTTTCGTGAGCGTGGTTGCGAGTAGATCTGACGAAGCTTTTGATTTGGGACCCTATGGCAAGCGTTGTGGCTGTGAGGTCTAGGAAGATCCAGCCCAATCCTGCAGTTTGAAGATATCTGTCAATGTTGTACCCAAGTTAGTTGCAGATTATTAGATCTAAAAGATTTTCTTGGATTTGGAGACAAAAAAAAGAGAAGAGGAGAAATGATCTAAAAGCTTTTCTTGGATTTGGAGACAAAAAAGAGAAGAGGAGAAATAACGTGAGTTTGAGGAGTGTGAGATTGGTGATGTGGATTAATGACATGGATAATCAAATTTTTATTTATTATTTTTAATTAAAAACGAATTAAAAATTATTAATTAAAAAAAACTAATGAAGGGTGTTAATTGTAATTACACAAATGCTCAAAACATATGAGTAATTTTTAGAAAATATATGATATTCTAGTAATATTCGAACTTTTGGTTAACATCTGAGTAAATATTTCATAAAATATTTGGTTAAATAAGTTTGATTTCTAAATATGAGAAGCGTCAGCAATCCAAACGCTTAGTGCTTATAACACTAAACTAGAGTGCAACAATTTGATGTTTATAAGATAAAACAGTATACAACATGAGAAATATCATGCATGATTCATAATGAATAAAATTTTAAAGCTTCTTAATCCCAAAATTAATCAAAGCTTTGTAATAAATTAGAAAGAAAAAAGTATTATAAATATCAAAACTAAAACAACAAAAACAATAATATCAGAAATAATAATTAGACAATCAAAATGTTAAACCTTATGATAAACAAAATACAAAAAGTAATTAATCTAAACACAATCAACTAACTATATATTTTTATCAAATAATTGACCATATTAGAGCCAAGAGATAAAGATAAACCCATCAAGCCACTTCAATTTACATCTAACCAACATATGCTGACTTTGATTACCATAATGATATGGAGTCAAAAACATAAATTTAATTTATGTATAGTTTGATTAGTGATAAGATTTTAAATCCAGTTAAGTAACAAAAAATGTTCTAATTTCGATAATTAAGAGATAATTACAAAACAAATTAGCACCTAGACACACCCCTTAGATCTAGGAGAGAATGCATCCTCCTTAGTCATTAGTCATCACTTCCTTATAAAGTAAAACTATAAAACTGAGATCATGAGAGAAAGAGAGAGAGCCAAGAAATGCAGAGTAGGATGAAAATCCACGTGTCATAATGCTATTGCATGAAGAGTATACGTGTAAGCTCCTCACATAAAGTTTCTCCCTTCTTCTTCCCTCTTCCTTTTCATAGTTTTTAATTGGCCATTTTTTAACTTTTCTATAAATAATTAATAAAAATTTCAAATATTTAATTCCCCATTTGCTGTTGTCTTTCCTTTTCTTCTTCTTCTTCTTCCTTCATTTTCCCGTGCAATCTCTAACACCTTTGTTCATCCAACAACAAAACCCTTTCTCTTCCTCATCTCTCACACATAAACCACTTTAGTTTTTGTTTTCCGGTTATACGTTTAGATAAGCTTCTTCTTTTCTCCGGTGGTTTACGTTGACGATTGACTACTTCAATTCTAAACCGAGCAAGCAAATCTCTCTTGACGAATTCAGCTATTGATCGTCTGTTTTTGTTTATTTCTGGATTCAATGACGGGATTTGGTTAAACGAACAAGATTCATTTCTCTGTTGTTCGATTGCATCTGTAAAAGGTTTTGATTTCAGAGTGAGATTTTAACGAAATGCCTCACCGGACTACTTACTTCTTCCCGAGGCAGTTTCCTGATCGTGGATTCGATTCGTTGTCGCTTAAGAATGATCACGAGAAGAAGAAATCGTCTTCCAACGTTAGTGAGAGTTTTGGATTTCAAAGAGAGAATAAATCTAATGGAGTCGGCGAAGATTCGAATAAGGAGAAGGAGACGACTGTGTTCTCATCTAATTCTCTGCTTTCTAAAAGCTCCGTCGTTTCAGATCTCTTTAGCGGTGGCGTTGATGATCGCAAGTCGGAGAAGAAGCATCAGCAGCAACTAGCGGCTTTCTATGAGTGGTTGGCGGAGAAGAAGGCTAATCTCTCTAGGTCTTCTACTACTACTACTCATGGACGCGCCGTGAAGCCCACGCGCTTCTCTATGTCTAGTGACGCCGATGAGGAGAGAGAGCACCTTCTGTTGTCTCCGGCTGATCCGGCTTCGCTTCCTGCTACTTCTTCGCCGGATTCTGTCATCGCCGCGTCTTCTTCTTCGGCTCGAACGGTTAACATCAATGAACGAAACATTGATCGGAGCTTTGACAGGGAAGTTTCGCTTCCCCGAATGTCGAGTGAGAGCAGCTTCGCTGGAAGTTTCTTCTCCGGGACGACCGTGGACGGGAATTACTCCAATTTCTCAAGTCATACAGACGCAAGGGAAACTTCGACCACCACGCGTGTCTCTGTCACCAAGGAGGGAAGAGAAGTTGAGGTTAGGGAAGAGGGCAAAGAGCAAAGCATAGCGCAGAAATCAAAAGAAGGCTATTACTTGCAAGTCACGCTTGCTAAGAGGCTAAGTTCTCAAGCAAACCTAGCCTGTGACTCTGTTCATATACAGAGCACAGAAACTATCTCCTACCGTTTTTGGGTATGAAGTCGTATGTCCCTTTTAACTTTTGTCTCAATTCTATAGCTGGTGATATTTAGGTCGAATTGTTGATTTTTGTTTTCTCCATTTTGTTTGTTTCAGGTAAGTGGTTGTTTATCATACAGTGACAAGATCTCAGATGGATTTTACAGTATATTAGGGATGGATCCGTATCTTTGGTTGATGTGTAACAATTCGGAGGAAGGAAAACGAATTCCTTCTCTTTTGTTACTAAAGGAGACTGAGCCGAATGATACATCAATGGAAGTGGTTTTGATAGACAGACGTGAGGACTCACGTCTTAAAGAACTGGAGGACAAGGCACATGAGCTGTATTGTTCTTCAGACAACATGTTAGTGCTCGTGGAGAAACTTGGCAGACTTGTTGCCGTTTATATGGGGTACACTTTTTGTTCTTTTTTTTCAGTTTTCTTCATATATAGTTGTGCATATATAAGATGTGTGTGCTGAGCTGAGGTTATAAAGCTTTTAGGGGGAATTTCCAGGTGGAGCAAGGTGATCTTCAGAAACGATGGAAATTGGTTAGCAATAGACTAAAGGAATTTCGGAAATGTATCATTCTTCCTATAGGTAGTCTAACAATGGGCCTTTGCCGCCATCGTGCCATTTTATTTAAGGTGAGCCATGGACTTGCATAGTAATAGAGAAAGCTAGACTGTATTGAAAAACAGAAAATTTTGTCTAAAATATTGGATGTTGACTTGTTTATCATGAATATGCAGAAATTGGCTGACTACATAGGTTTACCATGTCGGATAGCTCGAGGTTGCAGGTACTGTAAAGAGAGCCACCAATCTTCTTGCCTTGTCAAGATTGACGATGACAGAAAGCTTTCAAGGTTTGATAGCGTTAAAGCTTTTAAGCCTCCCCATTTGCCTCTTTTTGTTTCCATATCTCTGTCTACTTAACTACAGCCAGATTGCTCAGTGGGTTTACTATTTGATGCCTCCACTTGTAGACTTTCAGGGCATGGTATTTAGGAAGTTTCTACCTGCTTCTATTTAAAATACCTATTGATACTTAATGTTTTACTAACAGATGGGTCTCTACCTCCTGGGGGTCTACTTGTGTATGTCCTTGATTCTGTGCTTACAAATAGTTGCTAGCTCTGGAGTACCATTGAGTTGTTTTGAGCTTATGTTTCACATTTTGAGTAATACTTGATATTCTTTCTCAACAGGGAATATGTAGTTGACCTCATCGGGGAACCAGGAAATGTCCATGATCCGGATTCCTCTATCAACGGTGAAACACAGTGTCAGATTCCTTCACCCCTTCAAATGAGTCATCTTACAGATTTTCCCAGGCCTTGTGTGCATAGTACATCTCCTTCTCATACTGTAGAGTCAAAGGCTTCTCGTGCTCTTTCTGAGAATATTCAACGTTTAGGTAGGCTGCACTTAGCAAAATATGTACTGCAATTATTATACAAAATTGTCGGTCTATATATAGTTGAGGTAAAGATGGAAGAAATTTGTAATACAATCCGCTAACTGAATTCTTGTAGGAAGTCAAGGCCATGTACACAAAGAATTTGAGTTGCCTGATAATGCAGCGACAATATGTTGTGCTCATGTTGATCAAACTTGCTGCGCAAAAGCATCATCAATGGTTTTGACAGAATCTGTTCTTCGAGCTCTACCTCTTGATATACCAAACCTTAGTGAAGACAAGATTCCTCCACAAGAAACCTGCAAAGAAGAAACCGTTCTATTAGAAGATCCGATTGAAAAAACAGCTATCAAGCAGCCAAACTTATCAGTTGAACCAGAGATAGTAGAGGCTGACACTCGAAAAGATAAAAAAGGAAGGTTACCTGTTGACGCCATCTCACCTTACTTGATTATTGAGCCTTCGTTGGCATCGGATTGGCTGGAGGTCTCATGGAATGAATTGCATATCAAAGAGCGTGTTGGTGCTGGTATGTCCTTCTATGATATTTGAGTGTACAAAAAGATTTCCTGATGTAGCTCCATAATAACAAAGTCTCTTTTAAAATTATCTCTACATTTTTTTCAGGATCATTTGGAACTGTTCATCGTGCTGAGTGGCATGGATCAGTAGGTTTCAACTCTAAAAAAGTTCATCATTTAACTTGGAGTAGATTTTTCAGTACAAGATGCTAATTTCGTTTTTGTTTATGGTGAAGGATGTTGCCGTCAAGATTTTGTCTATTCAAGATTTCCATGATGACCAATTCAGAGAATTTCTGAGAGAGGTATGTAAGCAAGTGGTTTCTCTCTTTTTATAACCAAATTCATGTGATCACTAGGAACCTTTCTGAAAATTCTCAATCCTGTGATTTTGATTGAAGGTTGCAATAATGAAACGTGTTCGTCACCCAAATGTTGTTCTCTTCATGGGTGCTGTGACAGAGCGACCCCGGTTATCAATAATAACAGAATATTTGCCAAGGTAGACCCATCTACATAGATTTTTTTTTTTTTTGAACGCTTACATTACCAAGTAGCTTATGTTTCCATCTTACTACTTGAGACAGGGGCAGTCTTTTTCGCCTTATCCATAGGCCAGCTTCTGGGGAGTTGCTAGATCAGAGGAGGAGGCTACGTATGGCATTGGATGTGGTTTGTGGTCTTTCCCATTATGCTAATGTTTTGATATATTATTCTAAGTTAAACATATCAAAAAATAAGTGTGTCTTTTCTTGGACAGGCCAAGGGGCTCAACTACCTACACTGTCTTAATCCTCCTGTAGTGCATTGGGACCTGAAATCTCCAAATCTACTGGTTGATAAGAACTGGACAGTGAAGGTAATGATGTTAAACCAAAATAAAAACTGTATTGATACAAAAGCCTCCCATCGTCTGTTTCTGTAACATATCAAACTTGACCTTGCTCCTGTCTCAGGTTTGCGATTTTGGACTTTCAAGATTCAAGGCAAACACTTTCATACCATCAAAATCTGTTGCAGGAACAGTAAGCTCTCTTAAGATTTAATTACTGTGGATATGGAAAAGTATGTTCTGACATGTGAAACTTCTTCTCTTTGGTCTGTTTTAACAGCCTGAGTGGATGGCTCCAGAGTTTCTTAGAGGGGAGCCAACAAATGAGAAATCAGATGTTTACAGTTTCGGAGTAGTTCTATGGGAGTTAATTACTTTGCAACAGCCTTGGAATGGACTCAGTCCTGCTCAGGTAACCTACTTTCTCTCCCCTCTTCAAAACTGGTGTTCACACATGAGTTAACTTAGATACCATTAGTATTAGAGTTTTAGTTATAGTATATAATTTGAGTCTTGGTCTGGTGAGTAGGTGGTTGGAGCAGTTGCATTCCAAAACAGGCGGCTTATAATTCCTCCCAATACCTCTCCGGTTTTGGTATCTCTAATGGAAGCTTGCTGGGCAGATGAACCGGCTAAGCGGCCAGCATTTAGCGGCATAGTGGACACATTGAAGAAGCTACTAAAGTCTCCAGTGCAGCTGATCCAAATGGGCGGAGACAAAGGGGTAATTCCAACTAAATGAGCTCCCATTCTATAGTTAAAATACTTAACTTTTACGGTGCTAACAGAAACACTGTAGGTGCTTTGCGTTGATTAGCTCCTGAATTTGATTTTAAATTAGAAAAATCAATGAGACGAGAGAGGCCTTGCCTGGAAGAATGGAAGGCTTTTTTTTTTTTTTTGGTTTTGTTTGTATAGTATAGTTTTTATATACTCTTTACTTGCGAGACAATGAATAAAAAAAATTATGAGATTTGGTTTCTTGCGGTTGGAGACCGTTATTTATTGTAAATTTGCATTTGTTGTAAATTTGCAATCCTTGTATGTCATCAAAAGTTATTTAATTAAAAGTTGATTGGTAAAAGAAAAGGAACAGAGAAAAAAAAAAACCTTAACATGTTGCTAACTTGTGTTCGTTCGGTTTCAAAATGTTTTTATCGAACCATAACCAAAATTTATTTGGGTAGATTCAGTCTCGACAAAAAGATTCAGATTTTTAGGAAACATCAATCCGAATTTGGTAAAAAAGGGGTGCAGAATCAATTAAACAAGGAATCAATAAGATTGTTAAGAAACATATCACAACAACAAACATCATCAAGAGAACCCAAATTGCTTTGGGCATTTGATGATCTAAAGATAAAGTAAACAAAAGTTTGACCTATGATCTAATTCCCCAGTTTCTGGCCATCGAGCCATACAAGCTTTGGCACAACCTGGAGGACAAAAGAGCTGAATTCGTTCCCTGAAATTTCATTTCCTGCTATATCTAACTGTTTCAGATTCAAATCTCTTAGGACGAAATACGCATCCCAGTATTTGGTGACCAACCCAGGATTCTGTCTTCCTACATCATCCTGACTCCACTCTGAATTAGAGAGCGGTGAAGAACAAAGGTACCGTGTTGTGTCCACTGAGTGCTTGCCAATGTGGTTGTGTGAAACATCCAACACTTTCAGCTGCTTCACATGTCTTAGAGAGTCCAGCGCTGAAAAACTCCGGATTCTGTTGTGACTCAGATTTAGGCAAGAGAGAAGTTGCATTGCCTCTAATCCTGCAAGACCCACATACACCATTTAGTCACATCTACCACACAGATGCAACAACTGAAATCGAGAAACTTACCTTCAGTTGAATGAAGCTCATTGTGACTAAGGTCTAACATTTGGACAAACAGCAACTTCTCAACAGAGGCTATCCGAGATAGTGATAAGTTATTTAGCCGTAGACACACAAGATTGTTCATACCCCTATATCGAAAGAGGTGTCTTGACAAGGATTCACTGCTTGAAGTCATCTGCATGAACATTCTCTTTATGAGTAGTAGGCATGGTGAAACAGAATTAAGAAAAAAAATCTAGAATCAAACAATCAATCTTATACTGTAGACGAGAATTGGGGAAAATCATAAATCCGATAAAATTTTTAAGAGCAGAAGTTCAACTTGAGATTCACAGCAAAAAGGAAGGCTAAGTACCTTGTGGAGAAAAGCTACGCTGTGCTCATCCTTGTAGTACTGGTAATGTGAAGAATCCAGCGCCATCAAATCGTTATACAGCTGGAGGATTTCTTCATAGCGAACACCCTTAACAGCATCATCCGATACCATAGCTTCACGAGCCATCAAAAGCCTTGCAAGAGTGAGCTTTCCAATTTTGCTATAAAGGAAAAAAGAACACAACGTTCAAGACTACAATTTCTCTTTCCAATCAAAGAGAGAAAGTACATAGGATATACCTGTCAGACAGTATACCGAAACATTCAACCTCAGAATCTATAGCTTCCTGACGCCATTTAAAATCTATCTCAGCCTGTAACTGATCCAAGGTGATAAGAGAGTTCAAATCCTTTGACTTCGCATCCCAAATATCAAAACCATCCGTCCATGAAACAATGCCTTCTTGAGAATCTTTGACGGTATCATGAACATGGGCTGTAAAGACAAACTCATAAGGTGCTCTGAAGTTATGTCCTCTGGAAGAAACGATTCCTGGAGAGTTCCCAACTCTGATCTTCACTTTGTATTCGCAAAGATCTGTACTGACATATTTTAGATGAGTGACCCATACACAGGACACCTGAGAATTTTTATACGAAATTGGTTCCCAAACCAGGTCCTCGTTTCCTTTTAGTTCAGAATCAATTGTAACAGTAGATGAGCTTACTCCACCAACAGCTTGGTCAAAGTAGAGAATCAGTGGAAAAGAACCCGACTCAGAACAAAAAGTAGTGAACTTAGAGGAAGAGCCATTCAAGCACCCAGCTCCAGATAGAATGATAGTTGAACCATGGGAAGGCCATGAGGAAGTGAGAAGAGGAGTCTCCACATTAAGAGTTTGATCAAGAAGCCAAAGATGATAAAACCAGCCACTTTGGTCATCTGGGTCCGTAAAAATAGCTGAATGTACAAGGTCATATTCGTCAGGAATCCTTTCATTTGGCATAAACCCATCAGCATTTTGTGCAAGCAAACTTGATAGAAGTACACTGCAGAATTTGAACAATAAACAAAGACATATTGTTAGTTAATAGAGCCACTGATTCAGACATTTTTTTTTTCAACGATTCAGACATTTATATATGCTGATGTGCAGAGAAACTCCTCTGCGATGTAACAATGTTGACTGAATCTAGAAGGTATAGCTTAACTAAACCTTAGCTTTTGTTAATATCTATAAATATGTGGTGCTGATATCAACCAAATAGTAAAGAAGCCATACAACCCAAAAAATGAAAATGTTCCATAGAAGAAAACTTCTTATAGTTCATGAGCAAATTGCATCCCTCCATGAATGACATCCATAGTTGTACTATTAATTACTTTGGTTCGGTCATGTGCCTATCAATCTAGTCCACAAATGCTTCCGTTTCTTAAAAAACAAAACAAAAAAAAGTATTTCTGAACATGTAAATCAGCAAAGTATACAGATACTATTTACTAAAGAATATACATACCTACGATTATGCCATGCTGAATAGTTGCTGAAATTGTTATTGATCATATCATCTGTATACTGCAACTCATCCTGTTCTGACCTCTTGGTTAGCTCTACAACAAACCTGGAAAGGGACAACACATTAATATGCAAGCTTGATTAACATACACAATGCATGCGCCTTACAAAAAGTGTTGACATCCCCTAATTTTCACCTGCGATAGTTCCAAGCATGAAAATTTCTGGAATCCAGCCTCTGGAATTTATCCAAAAGTTTCAATTCATGCGCTATGGAGGAATGCCCTTTACTCAAAACCCACTTTCGATGATGCCAAGCACCATAGGACTTGAAATTCTGCCTCAGAGCACTTTCTACCTGAATTTAGAACAGAATTCACAGTAATCACTAAGCAACTACGTTCATAAAGAGCAAATTTGTTTCTTTTTTCTCTTTATTGACAGGAAAACTCACCACTCTGAGTTCTTCATCAAGAATTGAGTTGACCAAGTTTGGATCAGAATCAATTCTGGAAAGGCTATCCTCCACAGCAAGCTTCCGGTAGTTCCAAGCCGTGTACGCCTCCGGATTGATTTCGAGAAGCTTCGTACTTAACTCAATAGCTTCCTCGGTATAACTACACAACAAAAATCCCAGAACATCCATAAATCAACGGATCCTGTAAATCATACTAAAATTCTGGAAAAACTAAACTGATCGGATGGAAATGAAAGAGAAGATTGTACATTTTATCGTGATGATTCTTCATAAACTGGGACTGGAGAGACCGAAGCTTAACCGCTTTAGCAGCTGAAGCAGCTTCCTCTTCTGGCTTAGAAGCCTTCCTTGGACGACCGTGCATTCTTCTCCGACGAATGTGAGAGTGGGATTCAGCTTTTCCGGTTAAATCTGATCAGAAATTCCGAGTACAGCTAAGACAAACACTAGATCGAGCAAAGAAAAAGCGTGATCAAAATCTAGAAATAAAACAACAGATATGAAGAAAAGGAGAAGAAGAAGTAGATCACCTGAAAGGAGCACGTAGCGGCGTCGATCGAGAGAAACTTTGTTTTCGTGCAATTGAGAGACTGCGAGCAAGTTCTATAGGAAATTTTCCGGGACGGTTTAATGATTTCAATCTCCATAAACCAGTAAACCGGGTATAATTGAAAAATACATACGGTCGAACACGAACAGGGTTTTGGAAGTCTTCGTTTATGAAAGGCTTTCGTCATCATCGTTACTTGTTTCATACTTTCATTAGTTGAGGGTTTTTATTCGACCTCTACCTTTGGCGACGACAAAGTGAAGATTTTTGGGGGAAACAGTACCTTGTGAAGGTTTGCATCACTTTCAATTTCGTTTTTCCAATTTGGGTATCCGATTATTATAAGAATCTGGGGGTTTAGGGTCAGATTGTTTCTGTTTCTAATGCTTATACGTTGTAGTAGCTTGTCTTTTGGATTTGATGGATTGATTTCTGAAATTCCTTGTGATCTTGTGTAGTTATTTAGCTTTAGACCTAAGCCACAATGGAAGATTCAGAGAAAAGAAAACAAATGTTAAAAGCAATGCGAATGGAAGCTGCTGCACAGAATGATAATGATGATTCTACTACAGGTCCTGAAACATCTATGAGCACAGGTCACCTCTCCAATCCCTTGGCAGAGACATCCACTCACCACCAGGATTCATTTGAAACATCAAGGTTTGATTATTATACCGACCCCATGTCTGCTTATTCTAGTTTCAAGAAAAACAAGACCCCTAAGCAACAATACATCTCATCTCCTAGTCATCAAGCAAGCTCTCCTGTACCGCCGCAGTTTCCGCCATCAGTTCCTCCAGGTACTTGTTTCTGCCTTGATAGTCAATGATTCTGTCTTAATTTTCAGTTTGGCTATATTCTTGTGAGGCCAAAGAAAGTAGTCCACTGAATTGCCTAATACCATGTCAGTTTAACTTACAGTGTGTTAGTTGGTCCTTGGTGAGTATAAGTATAGGATTGAACATATTTAGGAATTAACTTTTGGTATTTGGTTGTTGGGCTTTCCGAAAGTTATGTGATCTCTTCAACAAATCTATTGGAAATTTTTGTTCTTTATTTGGGTTTAGTCATGTGTTCTTGATTATAATCGATAAATCAAGATCAATGAAGGAAGAAATTTGCCTCTGTTCAGCAGGAATTAGGCTCCGAACTTATTAGCTTTAGCTACCTTAATTTGATATATCTCTTAATGTTTCACTTTCTAGGAATTGGCAGTGTTATAATCACATCACTTATAGATTTCGTTTATGTTTGTGTCCTGCGTCTTGCAATGAATAGTAATCCTGTTCTGATCGTTGCATTATATATAATTTTGAACAGGGTCGTTAGGTAGTGAGTATCAGGCACATACCAATCCTGGCAGCTTTCAAGCGGCTCATTATGAACCAAGAGGGATGTCACATCTTTCACCCTCATACAGAGGTTCGCCTGCCGGTTGGAATAACAACTTTAGGCCTCCACCAGTTAACCATTTAGGTCCACCTCAATGGGTACCTCGCCCTTTTCCATTTTCTCAAGAAATTCCAAACGTGGGGAATAATAGATTTGGTGGTCGAGGCAGCTACAACAATACTGCTCCACAGTTTTCCAATTATGGACGACAAAATGCAAACTGGGTTGGAAACACATATCCTAACTCAGGAAGAGGCAGAAGTCGAGGACGTGGTATGAACACAAGCTTTGGTAGAGATGGAGGAAGAAGACCCATGGAACTAGGGGCAGAACGATATTACTCCAATTCCATGGCTGATGATCCATGGAAGCATCTTAAGCCAGTCATATGGAAGAGTTGCTCAGATGCTTCCAGCAGCAACTCAACAGGTCAAGCCTGGCTTCCCAATTCTATAGCACCAAAAACATCTGTGACCTCAGAAGCTTCCCACAAACCTAGCAATAATCAGCAGAGCCTTGCTGAGTACCTCGCTGCATCTCTAGATGAGGCTACATGTGATGAGTCAAGCAGATGATCAAGACAATTGGCCTAGTGATATACACCAAATCCAAGCATCTGGAGTACGATCAGGATATCCGGAAAGATCATTGGTTACAATTTCAAACTAGGTATTGTTCAATGACTAGTGTTTATTTTCTTAACAAGACACAACAGTGAATGATGATCATCTTGGAAGGCCAGATTTGTAATAGAATGGTTGCCAGTAGAGGTGTTCTCCACTAAAATATTTAGTGTTTTTTTTTTTTGGCTCAAGATTTAGTTATTCTACAATTTTGTAAAATTATTATCAGAAAATTTTGTTTCGTGATTGTGTTTGAGATGGAAATGAACCGCATTCATATTTATATCATTTTGGCCGGTAGAACTAGAAACAATGTTACCAGGAAACCGTATCTGTTTTTTCTTTGATTCAAGTAACTTCGTAAAAGTAATATGATACTCCCTCCGTTTTCGAATAGTTGTCGTTTTAGAGCATTTTTTTTTGTTTTAAATTAGTTGTCGTTTTAAGGTAATAATGTAACTTATGCCAATAACTACCCAAATTACCCTCATTTAATTAAACACAAATTATTTGTAAATAATTACTTGTCATTTTTATGAGGTTAATATAGTCATTGTATACCTTTTCTTAATTTGTCTAAATACAGTTAAAACGACAACTTTTCAAAAACGGAGGGAGTAGTATGTTGTGAATCCGAATTGAACAATTCTAGTTGGCTACGACACGTACATGTGCGTTTATTGCTTGAAGCCAATAGGACCAGGTGGATGTAATAAAGGGTGCTTGTTGTTGGATGGATCTGAATCTGATCACTCAACTGTCCAACCCTATAGTTGCTAAACACCCAAATCCCACCTACATTTAATGTTGCCGTCACAAAAACTGTTGTCCCAACTGTCTTAATTCAGTGATACCCATACCTATTCTGAACTCAGCTTTCTTTCGAAACTCAATTCTTATATAACACATCCCATTTCAGCCTATAAGCTACTCATATCAGCTCCCTCAGATAAAAAAATGGAGGGAAGCCCAGTGACCAGTGTCAGACTATCTTCGGTGGTGCCTGCTTCTGTGGTAGGCGAGAACAAGCCACGACTGTTCACACCCATGGACTTAGCCATGAAGCTCCACTACGTCCGTGCTGTCTACTTCTTCAAGGGTACACGTGACTTCACCGTCGCCGACTTGAAGAACACCATGTTTACTCTACTACAGTCTTATCACCACGTCTCAGGTCGGATCCGGATGTCCGACAACGATCCTTCAGCTCCTGCCATACCTTACATTCGCTGCAACGACAGTGGCATGCGCATCGTTGAGGCCAACGTCGAAGAGTTCACAGTGGAGAAGTGGCTCGACTTGGACGACCGTTCCATTGACCACCGGTTCCTTGTCTACGATCACGTTCTTGGTCCTGATCTTACCTTCTCTCCACTTGTTTTCATCCAGGTATATACATACACAAAATTTAGTTTAATGGATCATTTAAGTTCACATGCAGGATAATAAATAATAAGCAAATCTTTCGTAGTTACTATCAAACATTCATTTCAAAGTCTTTCAGTTATGAAATGAATAATTGGTATAATTGTGGAACTTGAGGGAAAAAATCTCTTTTACACGTGAAATTGATTCTTTGCTATATAATCAGGCTAGAAGTTTTTTTTTGTTGTTGTTCATATCAAGCTAAACTATATGATTGAATGCCTAGGATTTGCTATTTTAACATAAATCACTTAAAATGCTTAATTATTTTTCCTTTGAAATTCGTTTTACAGATAACTCAGTTTAAATGTGGTGGTCTCTCTATTGGGTTGAGTTGGGCCCATGTTCTAGGAGATTTGTTTTCAGCAGCAACTTTCATGAAAACACTTGGACAGCTGGTGTCGGGTCATGGCCCAACAAAACTGGTTTACCCGGAAACCCCCGAACTGATCTCTCATGCTCATAATGGTGAAGCTATTTCCATTGAAAAGATAGAATCGGTTGGTCAGTATTGGTTACTTACCAATAAATGCAAGATGGGGAGATACATTTTTAATTTTAGCGTCAACCAAATTGATCGTTTGATGGCCAAGTACACCACGCGAGACCAACCTTTCTCGGAGGTTGATATTTTGTATGCATTGATATGGAAGGCCCTACTGAATATCCGCGGCAAAACAAACACGAATGTTATAACAATTTGTGACCGTAAAAAGTCTTCAACCTGTTGGAATGACGACTTGGTAATAAGCATAGTGGAAAAGAATGACGAAATGATTGGGATATCTGAACTAGCTGCACTGATCGCGGGTGAAAAAAGAGAAGAAAACGGTGTGATCAAGAGGATGATAGAAGAAGATAAAGGGTCTTCAGATTTTATCACGTACGGTGCAAATTTAACGTTTGTGAATCTTGACATGATAGATATGTATGAAATTGAGATCAAAGGGGGGAAGCCAGATTTCGTAAACTACACGATTCATGGGGTTGGGGACAAAGGTGTTGTTTTGGTTTATCCCAAACAAAACTTTGCAAGGATTGTAAGTGTAGTGATGCCTGAAGAAGACCTTGCAAAACTCAAGGAGGAGGTGACTAATATGATTACGTAACTTTGTTGTATCTTGTTCTTGTGTTACAACTACTATTCATAAATGCTGCTAGCTATTTAATCTTTGTAATTTCATTTGCATATTCAATTCTCTTTGACCCTTCTTGTACCGGTGATGGTTTTCATTATCGAATTGTTGGTAAGCCAATCAATAAAGTGTTATGATTATTTACTTTTCCTGTCACTTTTTATCGCATCAAACCATCGATCCAAAGCTTACAATGTGATGGATTCTTCTATTTTCTACTCCTTATAATAAAGTTTACAACTATCAAGATTGGATCATTTGTCCCATTGGGTCCATCTGATAAAATTGGAACGATACAAAGAAGATTAGCATGGCAAGGCTTGAATCATTTGCATGGATCGAGTGAAAAATTAATGGTTTACCAAACACTCATTAAATTTGTAGTTTTGGGCATGTCTGATTTGCTCTATGAATCACATTAAAAAGTTGATATTGATTTGCAATGCAATTAATAGTCTCTTAGATTGATTTTGATGGGAATCCCAACAAAAAAATTAGTGTGAATCGATGACTATTGACATCACTACTAAAGACAACATTTTTATAGAATGATATATACATTTAGTTCTTTGCCAAACCATTAGTTAATAAAAAGGTCGAGGCTACCTTGAGATCGTTCTTGTTTGGTGTCACTGATTCACAATGCTCCACCATTGACAATAGAAAGCATGATGCTGAATTCTTCTCTCAATTTTATAACTCTCCAGATTTATTTGATAGTTTATACTTTTGTTCATACAAAGACAACTTTGACAAACCATTCATGTTTGACTATAATAAGCAAGAAAAGAAGGGAGACGAAGGAAAATAAACAAATAAATATCTAAATGGTAAGAACAGTCTTCGTACCAAGAAAGCTTTAAAAAGTAGAGAATACCAATAAATCATCATCAATCACCAGACATCTCTGAGGTATCTTCCTTCAGTTTGAAGTTTCTTAACTATAGCCTCTGCCTCTGACGAACTCACACCTTCCTGAAAATTTGTAAAGATAAAAATAGTTGGATATCGAACTTCTAAGGAAGTAAACCAAAGTTAATACCTAAATTTCATCTCAATGCTCAGTCATACCTGCTCCTGAACAATGGTATGTAGAGTTCGGTGGACATCCCTCGCCATGCCCTTAGCATCACCACATACATAGAGATATCCTTCTTCCTTTATTAGATTCCAAATTTGTGCTGCCTGAACACAGATGAAATGCAAAATTAAGGAGATTATGTGACATTCCTTTTCCCAAAGCATGATGCATCCCTCGATATACTTACCTTCTCCATCATCTTATGTTGAACATACTCCTTCTGAGCTCCTTCACGGGAGAATGCCACGATGAGCTCAGATATTACGCCTTGATCAACAAAATTATTGAGCTCATCCTCGTATATAAAATCCTGCAACATACATATAAGCAGCTCAATATGGTGACACTGCAAATGAAGAAGTTGCATCAATTGTAAAAGTCTTACCATCCGTCGATTTCTACACCCAAAGAAGAGCAAAGATGAACCGAGTTCTTCTCCATCTTCTTTTAGTGCCATCCTTTCCTGCAGAAACCCTCTAAAAGGTGCCAGGCCAGTCCCAGGTCCCACCATAACGATTGGAGTTGAAGGGTTGGATGGTAATTTGAAATTAGATGCTCGAATAAAGATTGGAGCTCCGCTACATTCATTACTTTTCTCCGCAGGAACTGCATTCTGAATTTTTTAAAACTATTAAAAAGAAAGAAAAGAAACAGTGAATTGGCAGATAGTAAAAAAGAAGGTAAGAAATACCTTCATCCACGTCGAACACACACCCTTGTGGATTCTACCAGTAGGAGTTGGACCATATACTAGTGCGGATGTAACATGAACTCTACTTGGCGCCAATCTGTATTGTAAAAAAAGATAAAAGAGAGATTTTGAATGACAGAGACGCTCAAGAATAGTTTTCCTTCTGCCACAACATATATCTCAAAAAGAAATAAATCACCTTGGCGAGGATGAGATGGAGTAGTAGCGAGGTTGTAGACGGGGAGCTATTGCAGCAAAAAATACACCTAGTGGGGGTTTTGCAGATGGAAAAGCAGCCATCACCTCTAAAAGACTTCTCTGACTTGCAACAATCCACTGTGAGTATTCATCCTACAATAAAGAAAGCGATGGTGTTAACTCATGAAAACTTAAAATCATGAAAAAAATACAGATACACCAATGATTTCAGAACCTTTCCATCAGGTGATGTCAGATGTTTAAGTTTTGTGGCTTCACTTGGTTCAGTGGCATAGGCCGCCAAGGCAACTAACGCAGACTGAAACCAAAAAAAAACAAGTTAGATATTCGGGAACAAGCAAAGACCAAAGCAACCAGAAAAAACTATGTGAGGCTAATCTCAAAACAAACAGATGTTCACCTTTCGAGGAGGGTTCAAAAGGTCTGCGTATCTTGCCAAACCAGTCCCAAGTGTGCATGGACCAGGGAATGGAGGCGGCACTGCGCTTCCCAATGGGGAGCCATCTTCCTTGTCAGCATGTATGGAAAATACTAAATCTAGAGAGTGGCCAAGCAATTTTCCAGCTTCTTCAACTATTTCAACATGATTTTCAGCATATACACCTACATGGTCACCTGTTTCATATCTGCAAAGAAATGCCACAGTTTTTATACACGGTTTTCTAACGATGAACCTTTTACAGGACAATCAACTGTTGACTAAAACATCAAAATCAACATGTCAATATAGTAGCACACACAGAAAACAAATATTATCGCAGAAACCAATACTAAAAATATTCAATGTGAAGGTTTTCTTTCACATGACCCAATGTGACTGATATTTAATCACCTATAATCTTTGTAATAAAATTGAAGAGAAAGATCTACTAGCTGTAAGAAAATATGAATTTATAGCAAAATTTCCCAGTTCTCTCTAATAATCATATAAAAACAAAGACTCTATGTAAGTTGAGATAACTGGACTGCCATGCAACTAATCCAAGGGCAGGAGGTAATAAATTAAGTTAGAGTTGGATGCTTACGTAATACCCGTCCTGGATATGTCGAACTCGAGATGAATGCAAGACCGATCAGATTCATGTGTGTGGAGCTCCTTCTGCACAGCAACATCAACTCTGTTTGGAAAAACATACAATTTTTAGAATGCAACAGAAACCGTAATACTATGCTCCAGTATTTATTACATGCATCTTCATATACCTGCAGGGATGATGAATGTCAATAGCACTATTTCCGTTGGCCACATTTAAGTCCATTGATTTTTCAGTTGTAAAACTAGGATCATGAATCACCAGCCGGTATTCAGGAATAACAGCTGTATAAGGAGTTGCCACACTTTTATCATCCTCGTCTTTGAGGAGCTTGTCTAGCTCAGACCATAGCGAATCTTTCCTGCAAACCACAAAAAAGCATGAATAATACAGCATGGAGACCCATGCAGAAAACAAAATTAACCAAGTCAACTCTGTAGCTTCCCTTTCTATAGTAATAGAGTAGAAGGACTAGAGAAAGTCTACCAAAGGAGCCAACAAAAGACAGAGAATCAGAAACAAACCAGGCATTAAAATCATCCTCAATGCTCTGATCATCATCTCCTAGACCGACTTGAATAAGACGCTTTGCACCTGCATCGAATGTGATAATACCAGTTACGTTTTCTCTCATGCATCAAAGTGACTAGGAAATCGGCATCCATGTTGCCAGACAGGAAAGAGAAAACATTCAGCATTATCATAGATCAAATATCTCTGACGGTCATCTCTTTCCAGTATCTAGCATTGCCTAGGACTTACAAGTTATGTAAACATACTCATGTACCTTTCTTACAAAGCTCTTCATCAAGAACTATCCCGATCTGCTCCAAGAAAATTAACATCAGATAAGGTCAGAAGAAAATGAATAAGATAGACAGAAACAAATTCTCATCAAACTACCTTATTAAAATGTTCATATTGGCGATTACCAAGAGCAAACACACCATATGCTAGTTGTTGAAGCCTTATCTCCCGTTCATTTTCCTGGAAACATAAAACACAGAGAATTGATCCACTACAAACCTCAGTAAAAAAAGCTACACAGAGCATATCAAATCAAAGGAAAACAACATTTTGATTTGATTTATCGCATTGAGACTACAAACCTCCGTAAACCATTTGTAAAATCTGGCAGCATTGTCAGTAGGCTCTCCGTCTCCATAACTAAACATGTTATCAAATAAATGAATCCAACATACTATTGAAGGGCATAAAGTAAACGAAATCATAATCAAATCGGATAGTTCTTACGTAGCAACACAAAAAAATGCCAAAGTTTCCTTCTTCAGTTTCTCTTCATATTGGTCATCATCGGCAGCATAGTCATCCTAATTAAACCCATAACCAGCAAAAGAAAAATTCAATAAAAGTAGTTTAAAGTAAACTACAAGAAGTGAATAGAATCATAATGTAAAGTAGTTTAATCATACCAAGTCAATGACTTTGACTGCTGCTTTTTCATATCTCGCTTTGATTTCTTCTGATAATGCCTAATAAATAAAAATGAAACTGATTCTGAAATGACCCGACTCATAAAAGACCAATCTTTGAATAATCACGAGAACATGGATCCAAATTTCAAATTCAAAAGAGTGGTCACAGTACCTTAGCAAACCCCTCAGCTGTTCCAGTCTGCGTACCAAAGAAGATAGAGACTCGGGTCTTCCCGGATCCCAAATCCAAATCATCGTCCTCGTCTTTAGCCATAAGAGACTTAGGGATCATCAAAGGCTTCAGCTCCTGGCTCCGATCCGCCGTCGTTTTCCTCCATAACAACACCACAAACCCAGCTACTAGTGCCAAAGATGTGGTTGCAATCACAAGTACAACATCGTCGGATAACGAATCGGTTCCTATAATTGACTTGAGCTGCTTAAACAAATCGGAAGCATACAAAGCAGAGGTCATCTTCTTCCCCGTCACACTCTCTCTCCAGGGTTTGAGGATTCAGGAGAGATCGAAGAAGAGGAAGAGGACGATGGCTTGGCTTGGCTCTCAGAGTTGCAGAACCAAAGAGAGAGGGTTAATTGAGTTATCGGTGGTGGGGCGTTGAATCTGAGTGGGTCCTTCTCTCCTTTTCTTATTTGACTTTTATTTTACCTTTGTCAAATAAGTAAAATCAATTTTAATCAAATCAGAAAAATCTTATAACAAAGTTTTTTTTTCTCTTCATAAAATTCAACATTTTACAAGATTAGCTTTTTTGAAGACTACTAAACTGGTGTTAAGTGTATATAATATGATTCCTCAACTACTAATTTACTAATCATCGAGTACATGAAAACTATATATTAAAAAAAAAAAATCAACAAAAGATTTGGGACAATAAAAAGGGGAAAGCTAAGCTGCTTTACACATGCAATCAGGAGCTGGATAAGTGTAAATAGACTGTTTCTGTTTGCGTAGACGAAGCTGGCCTTGCCTGTTCTTGTGCCCATTCACTACTGCGCCTTCAAACTCTGACCAATCTAAGCTCTTGTTCACGAAAACCTGTCCTAACAGTATCATGTTGGGTCTTATGGTTTTAAGATTCAAGTAGGCTCTATGTGCCAGCAATGCGTTGTGCATGTTCCCGGGAGATGCTGAGATGAAGATGTCGCTCTTCATACTCACGTAATAATCGACTGCAGCCATTAGAGAAGCTTTCCCTTCTACATCAGCTAGTTCCTCTGTGGAGGCTAGGCTTTTCTTGTTTTCAATCCCAGGGAACAGTTTACGCAGGGTCGAGATTCTTGCCTCTCCTCCGTAAACCTGGTGTGAAGCTAGATAGAGACGGGTATTGTTACTGAAACCCAAAGCTGAAAGCAGTAAACCAATCTCTTCTGGTGTCAACGGGCAGCGCCCTTTGTTTCTTAGCTCCTCATCTGTGAACTGGGAATTTAAGACCCGTCCTTGCCAGATCACCTGGCGGTATTTTGCCAGCGCCAGTCTTTCTGCTTTGCCACCTTCAAAGTCACAGCCTGAATGAGCAGCCATATCCTAAAAAAAAGATGAAGCTATGTCAGAACTAAAAATAACTGCCAGGAAATGGGCACAACTTTTGAGAATTAAGACCATACTTTATCGAAACGAAGATGAAGCACTGCAAACTTTCCAGCACCAGCTTTTACAATGGTGTTTATTCTGTCTGTCGGATCCACAGTTCCTGATGTTTGAGAGCTGGAAGGAGGATATCTGAATCGATGCACAAGAGCGTCCCCTAGCTCCCGAATATGAGGAACAAAGTTTAATGCTTCAAAATTCACTTTACAGCGTAACCGCTGTATACTTTCAGGCAAATTGTCAAATGCCAAACGGTGAGAGAATGGAGCAACAGCAGCAATGCCATAACTGCAGAACGGAGTGGATGATTCATATGAGTAACAATGCACTGAACAACAGAAAAGTCTAGTTCCTTAGATAGCCAAAAAAAAAAATCGTGACTTGACAGAAATACATCTACATCAAACACCCTTTAATTTTTTCTATAAAGCATTCCAAATCATATGAAGTTCCATATTTTCCAGGACTTTACAATACAGTTATTCATCTGAAAAGATCACTGGGTTTAGAAAGCACAAACCTCTGGATAACAGGTAAGACATTTTCCAAATACCACTCTGCTGAAGCGTGAACAGGCGCAGTCTTAATCCTGGTAGATCGAATACCTGTGGCGTAATAATCACGAGTGCTCCAGGCATACTGTACTGGAAGCTCCCTAACAATCCGCACCTCGTCTTTAAGGACACTTATAAAGTGATCCAAATCAAATATATCTGTGAAGGAACTGCAAAGAAATGCCAAAGCATGAATCACCAAATTCATCAAGCAACCGGTAACTTAAGTTTCATAGTAGAGTACCTTGAATCTTGCCAAACAGGATTTACCTCAAGGCGTGGAATCACGAGTGTAACGTTCATTATCTTAGCAACAGCAACAGCATCACATATCTGCAGAAACAACTTGAAAGAGTCAGAAGAAGAACCACAATAAAACTCTATAAAATTGACTGAAACAAGAATTTCTTATAACAAACAAGATTCTACTCACTCCCATTCTTTGTTGATTTAGTCCGCCGTCAAGGAACACCTGAAGAAACCCATGAGACTTCTCTGGCAAGGCTGTAAAGAGCGACAAACCCGTCAATCAAAATACAAACTTTTCAGGGCACATGAAAAGTAAACGATGAAAGAAGGAAAAAGCTTTATCTTTGGAAACTTACGAACGCCTCTATAAGATTCAGTGCAAGGCTTCCAACCTTGATCTGCCAAGGGAGACCATAACTCAACCTGTTGTCTGATCGACTACACATTGATTCGAGGGAGAAGAAAAGGTTAAGAGGAATGTAGTAGATACATCCAAGAAACTGAGCTAAACCCACTTACAATTTGTCGATTAAGAGCGCCTTCGAGTAGGCGCAAATGTCTAGGCCTTGGAGAATTCCATTCCTACAAATGCCGCACTTAAATTCTTCAGCTACACAATCTCAAAATATGAAATCGAAGACACCTAAAGAGTAATATCGATTCCCCCAAACAAATCATCGGAGACAGAGAGAAAACTGACGGAGAAGAGGGAAGGAGAGGCGCGACCAAGAGGGCTGAAGAGATTTGGAGAGAGAATCGGGAAAAGGAGCACGAAAACACCAGCTAAGGCTGTCCTCTGCGACTGATTAAGGTTCTGTAATGGCTGCTTCATTTGGAGCATCGATTTCAACAATAAGAGTCGAACGATGAAGACAACCCTTATTCTAAACTCAGCGACGAACGAATAAAGGACCAAACTTTGTCCGTGTATCTCTTCATACAGAGCATGTTTTTGATCCGAAACTCCAATTTGTTGAAATCTGATGGAAACTGGTAACAGAGATCTACGGAGCACAACGATCTACGACGACAGTTGATACTTCCGGGTGGAGTCTCCTGAGGGAGATGTGACGTCAGCAATTCCAAATATTCTTTTTTCTTTTTGCAAAAACAAATATTTGGAAGAAAAAAAAAAGTTATATTCAGATTAAAATCTTCTAATATGGTAGCAAATCCTAGGTTCTAATTTCTCAAATGTAGGATTCACCCGCTAATCTCACATCTCATATACCTTTGATCCTAAGGATGAGGTCGTAGCGAGAGACATGATATTAGAATTGTTTGTCCCACATCGAAATGTGAGAGATTTGTGAATTAGTATATAATGTGTTATAATGATCTCCCCTATTGTTCTAGGGTTTTGGGAGGAGATGGACTCACACTTTCTAATATGGAATCAAAAGCAATGTTAGAAAGTTTGGACTAACTCCTTCTCATATTCTAAAAAAAGTAAAGGATTGCTAAACACTTATATAATAGTCTATAAATCTCTCAAGTTTTGATGTGGGACAAACAATTCTAATAGATCAATTATGCATGTACATCGAAAAGTGAGAAAACCGGCGACACATAAATATTTTTAGGTTAAAAAATCCTAACCCGACTTGAAAACCTTTTGAAATTTTGTAGTGCATAAGAAAAGGTTTGGGAAGACTTAATAATTTCACAATATAGATCACCTTATTTCATTGAGTTTTTAGTAATTGCTTCTTACACAACTCTATAGTTTAGTAAAATGCACATGAAAAACTTTTTTGGTGATTTGTAAGGTTTCTCAAAAGTGGCAGACAGGACGTTACCCATTTGCTTAGGCATAAATGTGTGTTTCCTTGAACGTGAATACATATTTCTGGCCACGCAAAAAAGTTTTCTAAAGAGTGAAGCTAAGGAGTTTTCTTTTCGGCTATATCAGAAATGGAAACCCTTAGGTTTATACGAATCGAGATTTGACGAAAACATAGTTGTAGAAATCTACAGCTTTGTTCTTGTAACCCCTCTCTAATATTATATTAATTGTTTTATAAGATCATATGTATCCTGTTAAGTAAACCGAGTAAATTTTGTCAAAACCGATAAACCGGATTGGGTATTTCACTATGTAAGATGAACCAAGTAATTAACCAAATACATATGATCTTAATTATATGTTTCATTGTAGATTTGTAGTTAATGAAAAGAATCACATAGTTGGACCTATCCTTTTTTTTTATTATGCGCTTTCATATTCATTGCCACTGAATCATTGATTGGATTATCTATACATAATTTGATTAGTTTTCATGCAGTCGGTAATACTTTGCATGTTAAGCGGACCTATATTTGGCACTTGGCAGTTTCAAATCTTAACGTTCCATTGCATATATAAGACGAGAAATTTTTAACCGGATTTTTTTCTTGCTCGCGTGATTGTTCAAAGGAATATTAATATAGATAGAAAATCTAGAATTTATGTATGTTGATAACTTGATATTCATATTGTGTGATTGCGTGAAGTAGCATCCTCTTGGCTCTTCACCAAAGAAATTATGTCTGATTGACTGACTGATTCCATGATGTAGGGCACGGATGATTTGTGCTCCAATCCATTTTTTTGCTTATTTCCTCAAACTCTTTTCTCGTTTGCTCAATTATTTCAGGGGCTCTAGTTTTTACAACTTTTAATCTCTTAATTACTTTCCTTATTTCTTCACCCTGAAAAACTAAGCCAACGCATGTTACATTTCGAGAGACATTAAAAAAAAAAAAAAAATCATTCCTAGGATCAGATGGAAATCATGGAGTGTAAAAAGTAAAACTGTAGATAAAATTAGTGCAACGTTGAAAAATATTTTGCTTCCTACATTATGAATGAAAACAAAAATGGGGATAAAGAAAAGAATACGAACAATATAAGATCCATTGTTTTCCCTCTTTGGTGCAAAACAGTTATAAAAACCAATAACACGTACAATGTCTGAAACTTGCTTCTCTGCAATGCAATGAGAATTCATTCTTCCCATCTCAATTTTTTTTCAACACTTATTTCAAAGGAAAGAAAGGGAAAAGGTAGACTTAATATTTTGTGGGCTTCCATATATATCGAAGTCAACTCTGCTGGATCTTTCTCTCTCTCAGATTCATTCCCAATATGGAAGCCTAACCAACAAAAAATTAGTAACATCCACATACAAAATGTTAATAAAAAGTTTGAAATATGTTCAGTTAAATAAATTATACCCAAGCTTCAGGGAAGTGTCGGAGTCATCCTCAAGGGGAGCTCCACTGTCGTAGCTTGACACATTTGTGGTCACCGACTCTGTCTCCAAAGCCTCCTTAAACGTAATCAGTTTAGCCCTTTCCAACGTCTCTAGCTGCCGATATATAATATACGTTCCCTCATCATATTTTATTTTATATAGAAGAACAAAAAAACAGTTTAAGGTTATTACATAATTTCTATAAGGGTTTAGAGACATACTTTATCCCTCAGTCTCTTATTTTCATCCACCAATTCCGATCCCTGTTTCACTTATTAAGAAAGAGTCACTGGCTATAGATAGGCTTATCATTTCCATTAGTTATACGAATTGTATGTACTAACCCGTTTCTCAAGTGAAGAAATCTGGCTCATCACACACTCGCCCTATTAATAATTACCAAAAACAACTAGTGTCAAACTTTTATATATTACATGCCACGTTATGGAAATATGCATGATATTAATTAGTTTATGTATAGTAGTAAACCTTCTTTTCAGAGACACGGCTAAGTCCGGATTCAAGCAGTTTCTCTAGCCGCTGCAACTCTTCAAAGTTCAATCCATCAAGATCCTCTCCTCTCAGTTTCCTGTTTTACGTTTAATTAATACAACATAATAATCACTCATTTCTAAACCACATCATATACGTACACTCATTTCTACCAAAATATCTTACAGAGTTGTTTTGGACCCAGCTTTGAGAAATAATTACCGTACCAAACAAAAATATTATCTACCTATGCTAGATAATGTTGATAATTAAATAAAAATGAGAATAATGACCATATTTGAAAACTACAAAACTCTTGTAAACTTTAGAAGTAGCTCTTAATTAAAATCTACAAACAAAACATCAATTTCCAAGACACACACCAGAACAAGACGAACCTACACATGATGAAATGACCTTTTTCCATGATACAGATTCTATAACCTATATAAATAACATTCACACATCATTTGGTGAAAAACAAAAAAAAACATTCACACATCATTGTCAAAACATAAAAACCACAAACATGAAATAGTATATCTCTTACAGCTATATAAAAATTACATATAAATGGAGCCATACCGTAGCTGCTTGGTTTTGTCTTCGACTTCCTTACTTAGTCTGGAGAGGTTACAATTCTCAAGCTGCTAGATGCAAAGTCAACATTTTCAGGATTCTGCTATTGATATGTAAAACTAATTAACTAGATGCTTCAAGATTAATGATTCTATGCCACGTTATGTTTCTATATTTAGACGTACACCTAAAAAAAATAGAACAAAAACGCCTAACAAGTGAATAGTGGAGAATATTATAGAGAACAGGGTTTGATAAAAAGAGAAGGGTTTGGTCAAAAGAAAAAAGTGGGATGGTTAGCCACGAGATAATCAACTATTCTTGTAAACCTCTCTATCTTTCAAAAAATAGTCATAGAAATTCTTTAAACAAGCTGCATTCATTGTAAAGAAGTATCTTTTTGAATAAATTTTACATTCTATTAAAAAAAAAAAAAAAAAAAAAGGAGAAGAGTGAGTGATTTTGAGAATACCTGGAGATGAGTAGAAGGTGGATCCATCAATTTGTTGATGTTACTTGCATGAAGACTATACCTTCCCAATATGTCTCTCATTCTACACGTTTCAACAAACAATCCATCTTTCATATGAACCTTTCCTTCGTCCATATATACATTTGTAAATTTATTAATTAAGTGATACACTAGAAGCCTTTTGTTTTTGTCATAATAAAGAAAAAGTAATCATAAGTACCCATCATGATGCAGACAATATTTATTAGATGACTCCGTTCCCAATTATGGTAATGCTCCCCAAGAAAAACTACTACTATAAACGAGTGGTTAAGACTTAATCCCCAATCATACCTAAGTGACAGTGTCAAAGACTTTTGTAATACATAAAGTCAAATATTAAAAAAGGAAAAGAAATTCATTCTAATTGTGGTAAGTACTATGTATCCATATATACATATGCTTCCATAATTAACAAAAATCACACTATAATATTCTGCTCTCATCTTTCCGAGTATAGAAATCTTAACCATGAGTCTAAATGAAAATGATTGACAAATTCAAAGTTAATAACCCATAATTATTTCAGAAATGTTAAACGCAATTAATTACATAATGTGTTAGAACATAAGTGATAAACAGAAACATAAATCCTATATTTTATTCGGGACAAAAAGGAATGAGAGCTAGTACAATAATTTATGTCTTCACATTATGCAGAAAAACTGAGTCGATTTCGTACATAAGATCTCCAAGCCTAAGGATAATTAACTTTAGAAAGTAAACAAGAAATTTAAATACATATCTTAATATATTATCCCCAACCATATTCTCTATAATACAAACATGTATTGAAAAAATTAAGACGACTACTAATAAAAAGAAAGTAGATACCTTGAGCTAGAGAACTCGAAGAGCTTTCCAGTGGCAGAGAAGATGATGAGAGCAACATCAGCATCGCAAAGAACTGAAAGTTCATCGGCTTTCTTAAAGATTCCTCTTCTTCTCTTAGAGAAAGTAACTTGTCTCGCTGTTATGTTATCAATCTTCTTTATCCTTATCTTCTCTCTCGCCATTTTACCAGATCTCTTTCACTACTGTTCTTGAATCTTGCCTACCCATAACACCATTTAGACAAAGAACAAAGAAAGAAACCAAGTGGAACATTGGTTAGCTAAAGAGGGTTTATATGATATTCTCAAGAAACCCTAGCTGGGTAGAGAGAGAGGGAGAAAGAGAGATCAGATCCAGAAACCATGAGAAGCAAACGAATGAGCAGGACTAGATGAATCCATCAAACACTTTGCTTAAGAAGAAAGAACACAGATTCACAGCTTTTACCTTTCTTTGAGTAGGAGGATCTTGGATTAGGTTTTGCAATCTCAGCACCCACTTTTTAAATTCGTGAGAAGATAAAAAAAGGTTTTTTCTGGTAGCTTTTTTATTCCCTAATGTGTGAGTGAGAGAGAAAGAGAGAGAGAGATGGTGACTGTGTATGTGTGTTCAAGATTGGAAAGACGAGTCTACTTTTTTTTAGCTAAACAGTGATCTATACTTATCAATGGGCCATATCTTTTGTTTTGTTTATGTCATTTTCCCAAACTAAAATCATTAAATATACACATAAACCCACTTTGTGTTTTGTCTGACTGAGCTGCCAGGCGAATAGACTGCTACAGTACGTTGTGATTTTAATAATTCACCTAACCTTCTAATTCAATTAGTCTGCCAGTACTGTATTTGGTCATGGAATAATGTGGAATTGTAAATTTACAGTAGCGGGTTTCCTAGTTTTACTGTTTTAGTCTAGTTTGTATTTATTAAAAAAACATAATAAAGATTAAATGACGTGAATAGTGAATACTACTCCGTATAAGTTTAATATATTTATCTATAGCTAGGTCAAATAAAATGATACAAATGACCCAATATTAAAAATAAAAATAAATGATAGAAATCTCAATAGACAAGGAATTACCAATTCTAATGGGAAGGAAAGTTTGGTTACTTTGTTATTCGTAAGATGCTATTCATCTACCTTTTTGGTTTTGATTTATCACATATATACAGTAAATGGTGTCTATTAAATATTTCATCCCTTTTTTTAGTCTTTCACCTAAGCTAGATGCGACACCTGATAAGATCACTCGTATCCCACCATCATCATTATCTTTTATTTTTGGGTTAGATCAGCCTTTTATACCCTTTTAAGTTTTAACCCTAACTAGAGATGATCCCCAGTTACACTAGGGTGATATCAATGGCCGATCTTGTATTATTATTTTTCCAAAAGTGCTACTAAAAATTACATTAAAAAGAGAAAATACGTTGGCTACGTACCATCTCATAATGATGTCAAAAAGAAAAAGAAAAAAAAAAACCTACCAGCTCATAATATGAATATATGATACATGTGAAAGTAATATAGATAATTCGTTTTGGGCACAAAAAATCTGTATAAGATTAAGATATCTAAGACTAAAACAAATAAGCATTTAGAATGTGATAGAGACAGAATTAGTTAGGTGGTAAAAAGTGAGTGTAAAATCATAAAGTGGGAGTTTTTGGTGTAGATCAATGTTCTTCGTCTTTAGGATCTTATAGTAAAGTTTAAAAGAGATTGGGGACGAGCTCAGAGATTCCCAAGGTCGTATAAATGTGAAAGTAAACACTAATTGTAATTTTGTTCAGGAAGTATATATTTCTAACACGTTTAAAAGCTTAGGCTTGTTGTCGAAGCTTGTTAGAATTTGTTATATCTTGTGTTTCCTACTCGAGTTTAGACAAAGAAAGCTCTTAGACCTTTTATTTGGCATTCTTGGTCATCTTGTCAGCCCTCTATGCTCATGCAGATCTCCCGATTGTTCGATTCAGAAAGTTTTTACTGCTAATTTATTTTCAGATGACCTTCGTTGTCGCTTGTGGGGTTAATCCTCAAAGTTTTATCCAAAAATAAATTATGTGTGTACCCTTCAAATGAACTCACATTGTGATTTATCGTAAACAGTGATCTTATCTTTCTCCTCCAAGATGGAACCATCATCTATAGTACTACTCTCTATTCCTTTTAAACACATAATGGTTAGAAATTTTTAGCGACATAAAATTTCACAATTTGTTGAAAAGATAATTTATATCCAAACAGTATAACATAATACATATATAAAAATAAAATAAAGCTTATAATACATATTTTAATTTGCGGTGATGTAAAATTTGATAAATTGATCAGATTGAAATTGAACATTTAATTTTTTGCGGCTTTAAAAAAAAGTTCCAGATAAAAATCGACAGTTTGGGCCATATTGATGCCCGAATATAGGCCCATAGTAGAACACGAAATCATAAATCACAGAACCTTCCATCTCATGAAGAAGCTTCACGGTAACGACGGCAATTGGTAAAACGTGAACCACCTCACCACCAGATTACACACAGACGAGACCGATCGGCGATCAGTAGACTCAACCAAACTCGCGGTGAAACAGTCGGAATCCACCGCTAAGGGACGATGATGATTTCCCAATTCTTCGTCTTATCTCAGCGAGGAGATAACATCGTCTTCCGTGACTGTAAGCTCCATTTCTCTTTCTCTCGATCTGATCCTCTCTGCTTCTTCCTGTTTTGCTTTTTTCCTTCAGAGCCGAGACTTATTGTCACTGTTTCGTGAGATTTTTCAATTGAAATCTGCTCTATGCTCATTGATCTGTTTGATCTTCCAGCATTTCTTATCCGATAACATTTATGTTGAGCTGAATTTCCAAATCAGACTGTACAATATAACAGAACTGTTCAATTGGTTGGGGAAGATGAATTTTCTGCAATCCTGCTGTTCACTAGATATCTGGAATTCGTAGTTTTTCGATTTTCCGGAGAAATCCCATTAGAGTCTCTGTATGTAATGTAGTAGAAGAATTGAGCTTATGCGATTTGGTTGAATCCGCTAGAAATTTCAAGTCGTGTAACGTTTTATTGCTGCAGACCGGGCTGAGGTACCGAAAGGTAGTACAGAGACTTTCTTCCGTAAAGTCAAGTTCTGGAAGGAGGATGGCAATGCAGAGGCGCCACCTATCTTTGTAGGTATTATTCTTTCTGTTTGGTTCTGAGCTGTAATGGTTTCATCTAACTCTTGTTTTGTGTGATTATAGAATGTGGATGGCGTGAACTACTTCCATGTCAAGGTTGTTGGTCTATATTTTGTTGCGACAACGAGAGTTAATGTGTCACCCTCTCTTGTTTTGGAGCTTCTACAAAGGATTGCTCGTGTTATTAAGGATTATCTTGGTGTTTTGAACGAAGATTCATTCAGGAAAAATTTTGTGCTCGTGTATGAGTTGCTTGACGAAGTTATTGTAAGTCTCATCTTGATTTATTTCTCATTATTAGCATGTATACTTCTATATAGTAGCTATTTTTGTTTCTTTTCACTCTATTTTGATTTTTTATTAAATATGACTCTGTGCTCTTTTGATTAGGATTTTGGTTACGTGCAAACTACATCTACCGAGGTTTTGAAATCCTATATATTCAATGAGCCAATTGTGGTTGCTCCTGCCCGCCTTCAGCCTATCGATCCTGCTGCCATTTTCACAGTAAGCTTGATTTTATTTCTCCCCTTCCTGGTATATGTGACTGACCCCTTGAATTAATGCTATGCAGCAAGGAAACAAAAGAATGCCTGGAACTGCAGTTACAAAATCGGTTGTAGCTAATGATCCTGGGGGTCGGAGAAGAGAGGAAATTTTTGTGGACATTATCGAGAAAATCAGTGTTACTTTTAGTTCAAGCGTGAGTAGTTACTTTTTTCTAGTTTATTATATCAAAAGTACAGAAGTCTTGGCATGTTTTCTTCTTGCCATATCAAACCACCCATTTCTGCAAATCAATGCTGTGTGTTATGTCCTATTATATGTAGTTGCATCTTAATGTTAGTTTTCTTGATGGAAATTATCCATAATTTATCTGATTTCTGAACAGGGCTATATACTGACTTCTGAGATTGATGGCACCATTCAAATGAAGAGCTATCTTTCTGGTAATCCAGAAATCCGTTTAGCTCTTAATGAAGACCTAAACATAGGAAGAGGAGGGAGATCAGTATATGGTACTTCTGGTTTCATCCCTTTAAATCAACCTTATAATATTTGGAAGGAATCAACTTCATATTCTATTTTGTCTCTCTCTTTGAAATCTTGGTGCCTATTTCTGTGACATTCGGCGTTGAGAATGCTTGAAATGTCAACTAAGCTGCATGTCTCCAGTACTTCTGGTTTCATCCCTTTAAATCAACCTTATAATATTTGGAAGGAATCAACTTCATATTCTATTTTGTCTCTCTCTTTGAAATCTTGGTGCCTATTTCTGTGACATTCGGCGTTGAGAATGCTTGAAATGTCAACTAAGCTGCATGTCTCCACTTGCAAGCTTCGCTAATAAGTCATAACCTGATTCTTTATTATATGTAGCTACTCCTGTAGCATTTTTCTGCCTCTTTGAGGCACACCATCATCAACTGGGAATCGATCTAGTAATACAGTCTAACCCTTGGTAACATCACACTTGAAATGTTGCAGATTATAGGAGTTCTTCAGGTTCAGGGGTGATACTTGATGATTGTAACTTTCATGAGTCTGTTCGTCTGGATAGCTTTGATTCAGATAGAACTTTGTCCCTGGTAAGCTTCAAGAAATTTACTACAGAAAACATCTTGTAGCATATTGTTTTGCTCTCTAACTTGCGTTCTGTTTTCAGGTTCCACCAGATGGTGAATTTCCAGTAATGAATTACCGTATGACCCAGGAGTTCAAGCCTCCTTTTCATGTTAATACCTTGATTGAAGAGGCCGGGCGCCTTAAGGTGAAATTTCATGCGTACACGTTTTCTGAGTCAGATGAAAAACTATAGAAATTTCTTAATTGCTCTATAAATCTTTATCCCAGTGCTTAAGTCGTATATTATTTGCTTGCTGAAATGTAGGCTGAAGTGATTATTAAAATACGCGCTGAGTTCCCTTCAGACATAATCGCAAACACAATTACTGTTCAGATGCCATTGCCAAATTATACTTCCAGGTACATAACTTTTTGATTGGTTTGTACAAGTGCATTACTGAGATATTGTACATGAGGAAGAGAATAAGATGAATTTATTAAATTCCAGCTATAGTGATAAAATCAAATTCTGAATCACACAAGAAATAGAATCAATGGGTTATGTTTGTTGTGACAGGGCTAGTTTTGAGTTAGAACCCGGTGCGGCTGGACAGAGGACAGATTTCAAGGAATCCAGCAAAATGCTTGAATGGAATTTAAAGAAGGCAAGCGTTGAATCTCTCACGTGGTTTGTTAGTTTAGGTATATTGGACTGTATTTTGCTTCGATGAGCTAACTGTGGTGTTCCAGATTGTTGGCGGGGGTGAGCATACACTGCGTGCAAAGCTGACATTTTCACAGGAATTTCATGGTGACCCTCTAAGACAGAAGTTTTTCATCTTTGTTCTCTCAGGGAAAAATAAAGCATCACTGATAATTCTCAAATTTCGTTTTAGGTAATATTACAAAGGAAGCAGGGCCAGTCAGCATGACGTTCACGATACCTATGTACAATGTTTCTAAACTTCAGGTAAGTAATATACCGATTCTTGTATTACCATTAACCGTCCTCTTCAATCATCGCTAATGAATTGAGTGATGCAGGTCAAATACTTGCAGATAGCAAAGAAATCAAGTAGTAATAATCCATATCGTTGGGTGAGGTACGTGACACAGGCCAATTCATACGTGGCTAGGATATAGACCTGGTTCAGATGATGTTTGTCCCTCACTTGTATGTTTAAGTACTTCCTCTTTTCATTTTCGGATCACACTTGCTTCACAGTACTGTGTTAAATGTTGTGTCTCTCTTTGGATATTTTCTTGTTTTGGTACTATCAACATATGCTTCTATTTTGTTTGCCCCTGAAAACATCATATGATCTCCTCTAATGGGGATTTATGCTTGAATCTCTAAGGTCTGAATCCAGGATTCAAAGTTATGCAATTGCAAAGAAATAAAGGTGCAACGATGAGACAATATCAGATTAGCTTTATTGATTGATTATAATAAAAGTCAAAACAACTTATTAACAAAGGTAAATTCCGTTCCATTACGTGATACAATTTCATGGGCAAAATCTCTCTTCCCCACTATACACTACTATATACCACCACTTCTCTCATTAACCACTTTCACCAAGCCTAAATACGGGTTGTTAATAAAACCACTCCATCTACGTGTAATCAAATCTACTTTCTTCTACTACTTTGACTTAGTTGGGGCCAGTGGACAAAAAACCATCGTTGTTTCCCTTACCTTTCTCCTCCCAAGGGCAACTGATGTCTTGAGGTTCCGTAAGTTTCTAGAGAAGAACGACTGAGCGGCGAATGCCTTGTGAAGGGAGGAGAAGACGAGGAAGACGATGATGTTGGTGAGGGAGCCTCAGACTGTCCGTGTGCCCGTCCCTGATGATCTCCAAAAATGAAATCAGCAAAGTCGTCCATGCTTGTACTGTCTGTGCTACAAGAGCATTCATCTGAGTTGCTGTCAAAGAGAGATGAACTGTCACTCGCCGAGTCATCTTCTAAAATTTTCTGCAGCCTTTGGAAACTGGAATAAAATGACTGTATATTGCCGGATCGACCACCACCGGGCGTGTTGGAAGACAAAACAGGACTTGAAGTAGACACAGACCGTGACATGGATATGGTACTTTTCTCTTTAGCCTTAGGTACTGGCACTCTGCTTTTTTTGTTGGATGCTTCAGTTTTGGTACATACTGCTAATTTTGGAGGCATTGGAGTGCACCTGCAGTCAATTCATTCGATATGTACTATAAGTAACCAGATCTAGCATAATCCGAAATCTTAAGAGTGTGAGAGATGCATTATAATATTCTTTACCTTGCGTAGAACAACATATACGCTCCCTTTGTCAAGATCCTTTCAACATCCGAAGTTACTACCTGCAAATAATCAATGCACAACAGAGGAATTAAACATCGAAATTTTCTTCAAAATTATATAATACTTATCCATTCAAACTAAGAAACTCATCATTGAAAAGGACGAAGCATAATGTAAACCTAAAATGCTGTAACAGAAGTAAGAAACTCCTAGTTAATTCCAAAGATCAACAAATAACAAACTCAAGTAAAAAGGGAACAAAAAATAGAGCTTCCTTAGAAACTAATTCACAACCAACTTTCCATTGATAATATATGAGAAACTTACCGTGCTATCATCAGCCTTGTACCACTTATTCTGATTTCTAATATAGCAGACATAGTGGCCAGAAAATGCTGCATTCATTATATCCAAGTGAACAATAACTCCATAGAGTTTGTAGTCATGTGACTTTTCACTTCCCCCGCTGACATATGGAGCCAAATCTAGAGTTTCTGGAAACCTGATCAACTTATTGAGCTTCCCGAATTTCCCTGCCTTTAAGAATTAAGTGTCGCAAAATTGTGAGAAACAAGAAAACACAGATGGAACTCAACAGAAACAAACCGGGAATCATTGAAGATATAGATTACCTGGAATCGTTTTAGTGCAATGGTAAGGACATTCGGAGGCTCTGTTATTTTTAGCTTCTTTTTGGCTCTCTCATAGGATTTACAGCTGCTCACAGGAAAAAAAATTTGAGTAAGCACCCATCAACCAGCGAATGTAAACTCGCGCTGCCAGGATCAAATGTAGTTACATAATAGGTTACATGTGACTGGTTAGAACTAAGCAAATGAAAGACCATAATGGTACTACAAAAAAATTCTGTCTTCATAAGCTAAAGGGGAACTTTATTGCAGCTGGTCGTGGAATCTAGGTATTGTAATTGAAGTATATGAAAGGGAATACTTTGGCTGGCCATAAAATCAATTTCAGCTGGCCAGAAATTCTATTTCAGCTACCCATGAAATTTAAATCAATCGGTATCCTACCCACCTCAGAACCATATAAAGCTAATGTAAAACTCTATCCCCAGAACTATGAAAAGAGGATTGGAAATATCAAAGGACCACACGAAGTTCAACACATGGAAAGGAAATTCTGACCAACCTGCCACATCTGTATTTGTTTTCTCCATCCAATATCTCAGTCCTTGTAAATCGACGCAAAGCATCATCCAGGGTGCTAATATCTCCATCAATCTCAACCGTTAGATCCATCATTTTCTCACGCAGCTCAGATTTTACTTGACATTTCATGCATTTAATCTGGCAGAGATCATAAGTAACAGGATTACAACTCCCTCCAAAACAATGTAAAATGAGTAAAGTAGAAATGTAGTAGGTAATGATACCTTTGATCGGAGGTATCCCCCAAATGTCAAACCAATAAGAGTTGTCTCTTCTAATTTGCTACTCTTGGGCATATCATATTCAGATGCCTTAATGCACACAGACTGCATTGTATCGACAACAAACCTGCAAATTGCAAGAAAAAAATGGTAAGGAAAATGAAATTAACACAAGATCTTCCAGTTATAATATAGATATATGCATCAGGATTTGCTCGATTTCCGAAATGTCAGTTCACCTAAGGAATTCATGCGCATCTTCTTCCTTGCCATTCCCAAGAAAGATTCCAATATTCTGTAGCTGAGATAGCAAGCCATTAGGGGACAGTGGAGACTTCCCTTCTTTTGCCTTTAAGACCAGCTTCTCAAACCCACAGGTGAAGCACTGTTCTTTTTTTGTACCTATAGTTAAACGACCTATTAAAGGCTTGATATAACAATGATAATAAAAAATAACCTACCAAAATAGGCAGCATCTATCACATAAAAAAGGAAAAAAAACTTAGAACCAGTGACGCACATGCTCTAGAATGAAATTGCTGGATGAAGTATGTCGTCAGAGGAGGAGTGAACATCAGGCATTGGAAGACAACATTAGCAAAGCAGCTGCAAGAAACAGAGTATATTCTTCCATCAGCGAGTGTGAGCTACACATTATTAATATTTTTTACACCACAAGCTGAAGATTATAACAGCTAAAAAACATGCATTTCTTCAGAAAGCATAATCCCCAGAACAAAAAAAGACTAGAAAAAGAGGAAACTGAGATTACCTATTGCCAACGTTGATGAGGCCACAAGGCTGGAACTCAATTTTATTTGTATACAGCTTAGCGAAGACTTCATATGGAAAGAGCCCCTGTATGTCACAAAAGATTGATAAGAAAAATAGCTGTGCTGATTTGTTAATGTAGGAAGTAAGTGTTTGCATAATGATGATAACATCCTAGAACTCAGTGATTACCTTATGACCATGTCTTCCCGCCATCTCATTTTCAGACTTCGGTCTAGTCCACTGGTCTACAACTTTCAGTACTGATGCTTTCAAACCACTTTTTCCATGTAGAGAATTTATACGGTGGACGGCAGTACCATTCTGTTTCTGATGATCAAGAACTCTTACAGATTTTGCACCTAGAGGAGAATGTTTCATAAGATCAGCACAATCCTTGGTATTCGATGCCTTGGATGCCAAAGGTTGGACTTCCCCAACCTTCAAAGGGGCCAACATACAGCCATTTTCACTACTGGCGCTCTTTAACTTTGGAAGGGTCACAGGGGACAAATTAGAAGTGTCCAAAGGACTCAGCGCATCAGTAGAAGAGGAAGTTGGTAATGCAATTTCAGCTTCAACAAATCTTTTAGCATTTCTTTCTTTTAGATTTACTCCATCAGAAATATTACCAGTCCCTAATGCAGGATTAGTACCTTCTTTTAAAATGCTACTCTTGTGCTCAGAAACTTTAACAGCTGAGGTGTCTCTAGAGGAGCCAAAGGAGTAATGCAGAGAGGAGTTACCAGGTCGACCAGATTTAGATTTATCACAAGACTCACTTACACGTTCTGCTGATCCAAGAGCCGTGCCCCAAAAATCAGATGACTTCAGAGATGGGTCAGCGGATACTGGATGTCTATCCTTAACTAATGAGTGTAAGCTCCTAGATTGGCTCTGGTTCTGCCCAGCATCACCCCCAGGTTTATGAACACTTAATTTAGGCAGATTAGCGAGGTTATCTACAGATTCAACCAAGTGCACAAATTTAGGAGACAACAGGTTGGATGGAGCAACATCAATGGTGCTGAAACAGGTGTCCTCTGGCTCAACAGAAACATGAGCATCAAGTAGGGACTCAGATCTCTCGGATTCAGAAGAACTGAAGCTCTCACAAAGAGAATTCTCATCACCAGAGTCATTACGGGGGGAGGAGGAGAAGCCAGAAAACGAGGATCCAGTTGTTTCAGCAACAGAAACAGCTTCTTCCTTATCTATAAGGTCATCTTTGTTATCTGCAATATCTCCATTCCCATCTTCAGGAGATCTTGCAGGATTAGATAATATTGCTTCCCCTATTGGTATAGTAACTGGCTCTGGATCCAGTAGTGAAGTTTCCACAAGAGTATTCCGTTCATTTTCTTCTCTGAATCTCAAATCAGAATCACTTTTCTCATCTTCACTATCATATACAATGGAAGCAGGATGACATTCATCTTTGTGACCTTGCCGCCAGTGAATGATTTGACATTTCCCGGAACTGGAAAAAAAAATAACAAAATAAGTCTTAATGAAACAACTATCACTAAGACATGTTGGGAACGAAATTTCACATGCCCTAAGGGGAAAAAGGTTGAAAATTTGACAGACTATAGTACATTTCTTAAGCTATCTAATTGAAATAAATTCCTCAGCAGCACATTGTTACCCACAGATAAGCCATGAATCAAATACTACACTTCCTCCCAAGCTAACTAATTACCCATAATTTTTTTAACATAGAAAAGAAGTCACTTTTCTTAAATCTCTGATCCAGTATTGCTAAAGTTACAGAGCTACCTCATATTCTTTCCCTACTAATCACTCCAATTCATCACGTCACAGCAGAGAGTGCAGATGCAATCATAACTCTAAGATCATACAACTTAATTCGGACATGGAGAAAGTGATAGGATTTTTGCATACCAATATCGAACGGATTTGCAGCGAGAGCATCGAGTCGTGGCAAGACAATAGCATACAGGACAATGGAATACATTAGAGACGGTAACAGAGGAGAACTCAACAGAGGCCTCTAGCTCAGCCCTAGCAGCCTCTTCAGACGCATGAATAAGAAGTCTCCTAATCTCCTCCCTTCTTTGGGCAGCGACCCTCCATTTGTGACGAACAAAGAGGCCGATCAGAGGCAGAACAAGAGAGATCACAAGGACTAGACTAGAAATCCCTAGATCCAAAACAAGGAGCATTTATCCTCCACCAGATGCACAAACAATTGGAAATAAATCTGACCACCAACCATAGATTTCACCGGCGAATTAGCCGGGAACAGAGGTGACAGTGAGGATCAGTCCGGCGATTTAGCACATGCAGAGAGAGAACCCAGAAATCGTATCGCGGTTATAATTTCGCTGGTGGGTAAGCTTCCAAAATGATGACCCACGAAAATCCAAAGATGAGAGGAATAAAGAAAACCCTCGAGAGCACAAGTTGGGTTTTCTATTGTTCTCTGGAAAAAGTTGAAAAATTCTGGTGCTTCTTCTGGTTTAGGGTTTCGAAAGAGGGCAAGAGTGGAGAGATTCTTCGGTACAAGGAGGAAGAAAATAGGAGAGGAGGATATTACTTTTCTAAACCAAGACGCTTTGCTTTTTCATTACCAGAGAGAACCTTTTTTTCTAACGTCATTTGGGTTTCATTTTTTTAATAATAATATAGTTCAACGGAAATATGAATTAGCCTGTTGACAAAATGATAAAAAGTTTTGTATTAGTCAATTAAAAAACTGTATATGATGGGAACTTGTAGTTTATCTACGTAATAAATGTATATTTAGTGCCATTTTCGTGTCACACCATTTCTTCAATTTTATTTTTCTTTACAATTTGTTATATTATTTTTTTTGTTTAAAAAAATTTGATATATACTTTCGACTGAATTCTGATATATCATCGTTTAAAAGCTACTATAAAATGGGTATATAAATATATATTTTGCAATCTACACGACATTAAAAAAAAAAATCTATACTATTCTATATGTTATATTATAAAGATCATGACATACTGTATTATTCTATCTATAAGACTACAACGTACGAGATTATGATACACGATTGATTGTATTTGCGGCACATTGACATGTTTCCGAAAATAATCATCAAATATCAAACCCAAAATTTGATGTGAAAACACTAAAACATGTAATTGATCACAACTATACTATCATTTGTTAAGTTGAGCTTAGAAAGAAAATGAAAGAGTGTAGACTGTATAGTATGTACGAGTGTCCCAAAAGATGGCTTGAATATTATTGGGAAGAGACTTGGATTGGTTCGGTTGAATGAAGATTTTTACCCGCCGTATTGATAGATAAAGGCAAATATAGGGGTCGATGTCTAACGTAAAGACTGGATCAACCAAGAGTCCACCTCGTGGAAAATTATAATCTAATGAATTTTTCAATAACTATACGTCTATACCAAAGGAAAACTATATCAAATCAATTTAATATTTTTTTGAGTAAATAATAGACTAAAATTTCTACTTACCTATATCAAACTAATTCACAAAATAAAGTTATAATAAACTAACGTAATAATAACAAAGAAATTTAACTAGATCCACAATAAGTCAATAACCACACACTATGAGAAATCATAATAGAAATTTTAATAATTTTGTTGAAATGATATCAACAAGTCGCTTTGGCCGAGTGGTTAAGGCGTGTGCCTGCTAAGTACATGGGCTCTGCCCGCGAGAGTTCGAATCTCTCAGGCGACGTTTCTTTTTTATTCTATTCATAAATGGAAAAAGCCCAATTAACACGTCTCGCTCGTAAGCCCATAAAGCAAACAATGGGCTGTCTCTGTCTCACTCACACACGCGTTTTTCTACTTTTTGACTATTTTTATAACCGGCGAGTCTGACTTAATTAGGGTTTTACTTTAATAATCAGACACACTCTCTCACACTTGTTCGTCAACATTGAACACAGACAAAACCGCGTCACAAAAATACTCGCTACAAATAAATACCTTTGTTTCCCTCTTCTTCTCCTTCACTCAACAACATCTCAATTTCATTCTCTCTTCTCTCTTCAATTTCACAACAATGGGCGTCAAAAGTTTCGTAGAAGGTGGGATTGCTTCTGTAATCGCCGGTTGCTCCACTCACCCTCTCGATCTCATCAAGGTTCGTCTTCAGCTTCACGGCGAAACTCCTTCCACCACCACCGTCACTCTCCTCCGTCCAGCTCTCGCTTTCCCCAATTCTTCTCCTGCAGCTTTTCTTGCCGAGACTACTTCGTCTGTTCCCAAAGTTGGACCGATCTCACTCGGAATCAACATCGTCAAATCGGAAGGCGCCGCCGCGTTATTCTCCGGCGTCTCCGCTACACTTCTCCGACAGACGTTATATTCCACCACCAGGATGGGTCTATACGAAGTGCTTAAGAACAAATGGACTGATCCTGAGTCAGGGAAGCTGAATCTGAGTAGGAAGATCGGTGCAGGGCTAGTCGCTGGTGGAATCGGAGCCGCCGTTGGAAATCCAGCTGACGTGGCGATGGTTAGAATGCAAGCTGACGGGAGACTTCCTTTAGCGCAGCGTCGTAACTACGCCGGAGTAGGAGACGCAATCAGGAGCATGGTTAAGGGAGAAGGCGTAACGAGCTTGTGGCGTGGCTCAGCGTTGACGATTAACCGAGCCATGATAGTGACGGCGGCTCAGCTTGCTTCGTACGATCAGTTCAAGGAAGGGATATTGGAGAATGGTGTGATGAAAGATGGGCTAGGGACTCACGTGGTTGCGAGTTTCGCGGCTGGGTTTGTTGCTTCGGTGGCGTCTAATCCGGTAGATGTGATAAAGACAAGAGTGATGAATATGAAGGTGGGAGCGTACGACGGCGCGTGGGATTGTGCGGTGAAGACTGTTAGAGCAGAAGGAGCAATGGCTCTTTATAAAGGCTTTGTTCCTACAGTTTGTAGGCAAGGACCTTTCACTGTTGTTCTCTTCGTTACGTTGGAGCAAGTCAGGAAGCTGCTTCGAGATTTTTGATACAATTCTTTTATTGATGATGATGATGACGACTATTTATATTGATTTATTCATTTTTGAATTAGTGATCATAAGAAGGAAGAGGGATTCAATATATATTTTTGTTCAAGCATTGTTTGTTAAATACAATTCAATTTTTGTTTCTATACTGATATGAAATGTCACTACCAAAACAACAGATCCAACGCGCAGTTAAAACACAGCAAACAAAAGTGTAGTTTATTTAAAAAAGCTGAAGCAAGATAAGACAGACTAAAAAGAAGAAAGAATCTGTTATTTGGTTGTTGGGGGTGAAGAATAAGCATAACTGGAGGTGGAGTTAAATGGCGGCTGTACATCTGAGGGAATGGGTTGCTGATGAAGAGCATCATCTGGAGAAGGTCCTTGGTGTAGTGTTGGGATGGCTTCCTCCAGATGATCCTCTGCCTCTGTCTCCTCCTCCGTTCTCGGATCTTCCTCTGTCAAGAATGTGAGGGCTCTGTAGTTTGCTGCTGTCTGAATCCTGGTTCGACCCTGATCCTTTTTCAGTTTCCTCTGATACACGGTTTTGCCCTGAGGATGGACTGGATTGCCCTAGGGTTTTGCCTTTGTCCATGTTTTGGAGCTCGTTCGCGATCTGACTCCGTCTCTCCTTTAGGAAGTTGAGTCGCATTGTCAATTTGGAAAGCGCAGAAGTTGTTGTCGTGCTTCCCTGTTTGTTGCACTCAGCTTCTAGTCATCAACGATATTTGGATGAAATTTAATGGTTTCAATATGGAAACTTACCTCTCCCTTTGTGCCAGACCTCTTCGACATGCCCACCAGTTTTGAGCTGCCACGTGATGTTTCGTGTTGCGAGCTTTTGCTCCGTGAATCATGTTGCTTCTCTGTCTCATTTTCTCTTGCAGCCCCTTGCCCATCCTGCAATATGTTACCCGTCTGTAGAGGATAAATACAGAGGAAGAAAACACAAAATTGATAAGACATATATCAGATGTTTACAGTGGTTACCTTGGACGTTGACCTTTCAGAAATGTGAGTAGAGGCTGCTTCAGTATCTTTTTGTTTCTCTTTCCTGTGTGACAAAGTTGAAAGAAGACTAGTAATTAGCTTTGATATTATTTAAACCATAGGTTGTGAGGTTAAATGTTAATCTGTTGATGAATCCGTACATCTTTGCATTGTGCTCTGGCATTTTCCGAGAGTCTTTGCTGGCACCATGCGTGGAACCAGAGGCTTTTCCGTCATGTTGACCAAGCCTATTTTCAAGATCATCAACCTTATGTTCTAAATTGGCAATATCAGCCTCCGCCTGAGCTACGTCTTGCAGATCTTTCTTCAGCTGTTAACATGTCTTCCAAGTTAGATATATGTACTTTTAACCAGACAAAAATCAACTAAATGCTAGATAAAAATGAAGAGGAGCAACATTTTCATCGATTGTTTCTGGAATAGGTTGATTCCCTTTTGACATGTTCAGTCCTGTTTCCAGAGCTAATTTCCTATCTCTCTCTTGCTGCAACTGTTCTTGTAGTCTTCCCACCTAGAGGAAGGTAAAAGCACATTCATATTACTAAATCTCAACACTCAATAATAAAAAAATTCACATAGCTAAGATAGGTTTTATTTTACACTTACATCTTGCTCTAGAGCCTGGCGCCGCCCATACAAAGCCTTCTTCCGTCGCTCCAAACTAGCCTGTAGAACTGCATTGCTTTTAACCTGTTGTACCAAACATGGAGGTTGTTAGAGATCACATACCACTTGTATAGCCCACCTGAGTTCGCAAAAACAAAAATACTCAAAAGGACTTATCATGACCTCTTCTGTAATTCTGTTTTGCAGGTCTAATTTGGTTGACTCAAGTCTCTCTATGTCAGCACTGCAGGATATTAACATTGTCAGATGAAGTACCATGTAGACACCACATTAGTTCTAGTCCAAACAAATTTGAAGTTTTGTAAGAAACATAAAGATGTAAATCATTTGTAGAGATGATGATACTTACTTGTCCTCGTCCACTTCCGCTGAGAAATCAATAGATTCCATCGACAGGTTTTTCTTCCCCTGAGCACATAAAAAACCAAACTTTTATTTAATGTCTGGATCCCTTAAGAGATAGAGCTGCTCCCTCGGGTAATAAAGGCAGAAGAAAAATATACTTACAGGGGTACGGCCCCAGTGCCTTTTACTTCCTCCCGGTGCATCGGATAACTTTGACGGTTTCTGAGTGTCAGATGCCACATCTGATGTTGACGAATTCTTATCCTCAGTTATCGAGACCTCTACAACATCCTTTACCTCAGTATTATCAGTTCCCTTAATCACAATATCCTCATCCTTTTTACCGTTATCATGTCGTGGTAGAGAAGATCGTCTAGAGCCAGATAAAAGCTTCTTAGGCTCCTTACTTCCTTTTGGGGATTTTGGTCCAGGGCTTAAGTTATCATTTATCTGCAGAAAATAATTATATGAGCAAAACGAATGTCTATATTCTTTCAAACACAGTCATCAAGTAAAACGAATGAGGACCAAGGAACTTGTATCATCAGTGTAAACTTTGAATGAAACTCAAGGATCCAAATATGTAATTCTCGATTATAATCAAAAGTTCTCGTTATCATAAGATTTTCATTTCAGGAAATGGATGAAGTATTGAAGGTTAGTATAGGACCGTGCCTTATGGTCATCAGGATCAATGCTGTCTGCATATTTGTCTTCTGAGGCGACACTCTCACTGTATGATCCATTAGATTCATTTTCAAGGTCCTCTTCCTCATCCGTGTAGTCATCAGATCCCTGTGTGCCATCATCTTCGTCATCATCATACTCTTCATCATCAGATCCCTCCTCTGTCCCACTACCACTCTCTTCTGAGTCAGAGTATAAGCCGGGTGACAAGGAACCTTCCTGCAGACATAGACCATTTATGAAGCTAGAAGTCAGTGTCTGAAAATAGGCACACAGGTACAACTATAATAAGAACCAAAGTTGTCCTTTCACACTGCCTCCAAGGTTGTCACTATACTACTGTAATAAAGAGCGGATTACTATGCAGAGAGGTAACCACTTCATCAATTATGATCATATGACTAAGAAGGCTCTTAATCAATGAGAGAAGTAAAATCTTACTCCAAATATACTTTCATATTCTTCTAATAATGTTATCACTATAGCCTGGGCATGATTCGCTGCAGCAGCTGCTTGCAGAAGTTGCATAGAACCATCACCGCCGACATCAAAATCATTTTCAATTTCACAGTCACCAGCCAGAAGGGGTCGAAGAAGTAAAGGTGCCATACAAGCTGCAACGGCGTTTGTGTTCATCCGGTTCACAGTTTTGTTAGAGGCTACAGTCTGCATCATCATCAGGATTCTGCAAGAGGGAAAATAAACAGAATTAATGACAGAAGTTATTTACTCCCTATGCATGTTAAATAACTTTCGTAAAACGAGGAAACAAAAAAGAGACTACCTTTGCAATAGGCGACGATTTGGTTCAGGGAATGATTCACAGATTGCTGCCCGCATAGCATTGACCCTATTGCCGCGGTCAGTACCTGGTAAAGTTACACGTCAGAAAACTGGGAAAACGATATGTTGCAAGGAGAAGAGGCGAGTAAAATCTATATTTATAACATATATGAATATATTCAGATGTCGATAAAGTAAACAACCAGAGAGAAGTTAGGAAAAAACAGAAAGAAATTTGTTTAAAGCTTCATTCCACTCATAATTTGTTATTGGAAGGAACCCAATGGAGACTGAAATTTCCCTCAAGTTCATCATCTAGATTTCTCAATGATGACTAGTGTCTAGTTATTGTACAAAACAACAAAAAAGAAAACACAGCAAAAAGGACCTGTATGTTTTCAGCAAATTTTAAAATAGAGATATCTGATTGTCCTTAAGAGAAAAAAATATAATGATCACAGTTAACCCCGAGGAAGATAAATGCATACTGGAAAAATATGGTATCTAGCTCTGATGGAGCACAAGGGGACACACACACACAATAAATGAAACAGAAAGAGAATGATAAACTTACGGCAAGCTTCCAGAAGGGCGTTGCAACAAGATGCAGGCACTGGAGAGGAAGGCAACTCTCTGAGAAAATACTGCGCATTTATGGATACAGTTAGAGAGGTTTAAGAGTGAAAGGCTAACTCAGCACTGTAGTTAACAGCAGCAGGTACCTTAAGGCAATCAGCAATAACATGAGCATCCTCCTCAGGACTGAACTCATTTTTTCCTGAACCAAGTGACTACGTATTAATACTTTCCACAAAGCAGGAAATCAATAAAAGAAGAATAAATATACGTAATCATGTACATATACATTGAAACTCAAACCTTTCTCATATTCACGAATCCGGTGTTCAACATCATCAACATCAGCAGCTTGTCTCAAAATTCCTTCTATCCTGACTCCTGCAAGATTTTGTTGTCTTTTTCAGCTCAGAGTGAGTAAAACAAAGCAGCAAAACAAGCTGAAAGCCTGAAACTAATACCATGATTTTCAACAAATCTAAGGGCCTTTTCCAAGAAAGATGGAGCTCCATCAACATCTTCTAGAGCAAGTAATACTGGTCTTCCAAGGACAGTTGATTTTGTTGGTGTCTCATCTTCTGTAAAAATATCAAAAAATGCATCATTGTCTAGTGAATTGAAAAAGAAACAAATCTTGAGATGTCGCCGACTATCTAAGCAATGCCCATATTCTTGTGAACCATTCAACACTAACTGGTCAGCTTATACTCCACGAAGGGGACAAATGTTAACATGATAATATTATTATGTAGCTTATTTTCTAGAGAAGACGAAACTTTGACATTCTCACAACACTCAAGACATATCTTGTTATACATGTAAAGACTAAAGTCACTAAACCATTGAAAAGGTGGCAAACATACTCTTTTCATCAACACCAACAGCAGGATCTGCATGATCATTCCTGAAAATACCATTTTGACCCATAACATGGGAAGCACTAGGTGCTTGTGTCAGAGCGTTTTCCAGAGCAGCTTTCCACTCATGTAGATCCTCCATAGTGTCAGCCTGCAAAAAAATTAAGTCATAAAATCATAAGAAATGTTCAGAGCGTAAATTAAGATGCAGGATGAGGTGGATGCACCTGATAAAAACAAGATTAAGTACACTAAC